GTATGACTTTGTGTTTGGTCTACAGCGTGATGCGGCAGCAACGCTAGAATTGTGGTCTTTGTTGGCCGACTGAGCAAGATGACGCATTAAGCGACAGTGACGAACTCCATTGATGGAGAAAGAACTGCTAAGCTGATCATGGATCGTGTGCTTACACAACACTGCTTTTTGTGGACTCCCCATTTAGCGGGTAAATCTGGACGTCAGTGTTTAAAGTGCTGGACTGGAAATGCCCATGGCGGATTATCCACAGAAAGACGGTCAGAAAGAAAGCTTAAATCGCGTTATTGGTGATATGCTTTGTAGTGTTTGTGCTGAAACACCAAATCAGTGGAGCACGATGCTCTCACTCATTGCGTTTGCGTTAAATAACGCGGTGAGTGCCTCTACTGGCTTCAATCCGTTCTATGTGAACGGCTCGGTTAATCTTCGCGTTCCATAAATGCCACCTCTGCCACATAAGGGCTTAGTGAGGATGAGATAACCAAAGGCTTGACTGATATCAGACCTGTTGCAATTCTCAAGAAGGTGGAAGCGTTTCTTTTGAAGCTTTTTGACGTCTTACGTCGCTATGGCTGAAAGCCAGGATGTTCTAAAGGAACAAGCAGATGCCAAAGGCAGAAAGAACGAGCACGAGTTCAAAGTGGGAGATTTTCGTTTTTATTATACGTTAGGATTTTACCTACTGGTGCCGTTCTTGCGGTGTACAAGACCAAACTACGTCCACGCTTTATTGGGCCCTAATAGTCATAAATAAGGAAGGCTTAGCCTATACGCTGAAACGTCCTAAGAAGATGCGAGCACACCCTGTATTCTATGTCGGCTTGATAAAGCCATATCTTAACCCAGCCTCAGTGAAATTCGAGTAGTTGTTCCCAATCCCGGCCAAAGGAGGAGGGGTACGGCACTGGAGGTGCAATGACGCTGGAGGCGTACCAGGAGGTCAATTTGACACTGAAGCTCTGCTAGAGAACGCTCAATTGCCGCTAAGCTATCAGAGGTCTCCGAGCAATAACGTATAAAGGATCGACGATGTCGATCGTCACGGTCATCGAGCGATGATAGGTGAGACGTCACCGACCCAAGAGCATCACGCTTCAGGATTGTCAGGCGACGCTCGATCTCAGAGAGATCATGGGTCAATGGGTCACAGACCCCCGCCGAAGCTGATTGATGAACTGAGTCATTAAACAAATATACGTTGAGCGCCTCTTACATCGACGTCTTCACCAGGGTAATCCACAATATCTGGTGAAGTGGAGTGCGAGGTACTTTTTCGGCAGGATTTACCTGATACCTTTGACACTTTTGACCGTCCTGGTCAAAAGAGACGACAGCAGTCGTCGGACGCTTCCTAGCACTAGGTGCTGAGGAAGCAAGGTCACTCGGCTGGCTTCGCCTTTGACCTTCAGAAGAAGCCGACGCCGGTACATCACTTGCATGAGAGTTACGGGTAACAGCTCCAGAATCTTTGCCCTCTCAAGTCTTTGACTTGTATGTGGAAGATAATTCGCGCTTAGCTTTGAGTCTCGCGAATTTGAAACGTAGACGACGTTCTAACCAAACGTCTTGTTCTTTAGCACTTAAGCGCAAGTCAGAAGAATTGGGAGATTACACGCGCGTTCAACCCAATGAGCGAACTGGAGATCATCTTGCGCAGATATCTCACCTGATGCTAACACCACTGGTATGTCGTTCACTGGATGCACCGGGACTTCACGTGACTGTCGCAACAACTGATACTGATACGATTTCATCCTTAACTACTGGGTAGTACGGAGCGCTTGCAAAGCGCGGCACAGTTCGCAACCTTGCAAGCAGTGCCGGTCTGAGAGCCAATGATATAAGTACGCAATTATTGCGATGCAGCCCGTCGAGCTGCCTAGTTGGGGTCCTGAGGCACAAAACTAAAATCACGTCGTGAAAAAGTTTGTTTAAGCCGTGTCAAGGCGGCCGCTCGGGCCTCTTCATCAATTTGACGAGCGTTAAGATTGTTAGATATCTCTTCGTTGGCTCCCTCACGAGAGGGAAGCGGTGGCCTTTGGCGCAACGCAGTTGTATCCTTTGTGGAAAAAGCGCGGAACGTAACTGACGTCCTTCGATCGGCAAGCGGGGTAAACGCGGAATAAGATGACCCGACGTAGAATCAGCACCGCTCCCCTGGAGGGAAAGTCACTGCCATCGTCTCCAAAAGTACCGCGGCGTATTGCATCATCCGTGATAGAGGAAACGCAATACGGACAGTGAAAAAGCAAGTGTTCAGAACACTAGAATGCTGTAGGAGCAAGTATTCGTAAACACTAATGGGTATAAAAACCAAGTGCTAGGCACTTAGTGCTTATAAGCAAGTGTCGTAACATTTAATGCTTTAGCGTGAGTGCAATGCACTGTATGCTCAAGAAGCAAGTGTTGCAACACTAGGGTGCTTAAACAGCGTGTGTGAAAAGCACATATACTCAAAGAGCGTGCGTCGTAACACAAAATCTTTAGACGCAAGTGCGAGGCACTTCATTGCGAGGCAAGCAAAGTGAAAAAACATGAAATCGACACAACTCTACATAAAGTTCGAAAACCGTGGGTACGCCGGGTCCCACGGATTGGTGGGGGAGGTTGTAACGGGTTTACACGAAGGTGTGTATTGTACATACACACCTGCCACACCACAATGGTGTGGCTGTACCTTGGGTACAAAAGTAGGTTGATGTGACCGTACCTGAAGTACGAAGGGTCAGAAAGCCACGTGGTCACTATACTTACTTACAGTATAGTGACGATGCATGTTTGCATAATAATAACAGGCTATAGAGCCAGTAAATAGTGACTAGAACTAAGTATAGAGTAGGTACTTCTATATTTAGTGCTAGAAGATAAGCAGTAAATAAAGCGGTCTCAAATCTGCTCTGAATAGCTTGCGTGCTAGAGCGTTCAATTCTTTTGTAAAAGGAACTGTACCTCTGATACCTGTATCACGGAGACATGGTTGTTTACAACCATAAGGCATTAGCTTGTAAGCTAGCCTAGGAAGGGTTAAGCACCCTAAGACGTATAAGCTCTTTGATCTTGTCTTTTTCTGCACATAGTGTATAAGTAGCTTTGCTCCAGTAGTTTGACTACTTCCTCTGCACATAGTGCATAAGTAGCTTTGCTCCAGTAGTTTGACTACTTATTCTGCCAATAGTGCATAAGTAGCGTAGCTACAGTAGCTCGGCTACAACGGACATTCCCGTTTCGTTTTCAGAGAACGCCATCGCTCTCGCTGCTGTTATTCTGGTCGATTCTAATGTGTTAGCAGTATCGTCTTCAAGAGCGGTATTGCTCTGAAATTTTTTTCTTCATCGATGCTGATATTATCAGCGTCGGCATCTTATTCAACGACATTTCCGTCACTGCACATTATGTGATGGCCCGAATGGATCTGGCTTGAACGAGTCCTTCAGCGCAGTGGCCTAACTTATATATTTATGGCTTGTGCAACTGCACCAGAACAGTGTAACAAATTTCCACCCTGTGAAGCAATCTGTCGGCGTCTGTGCAGATGCACAGGCAGAATCAAAGACCTACCGCTCAAATAAGTTGAGTGGAACGTGATACGGATGCTCGCTTATAAGGCGGTATAACAGAGTAACCTGTTGCAAGAAAGCGGCAACACGGTAGTCCTAAATTGATTAGGAGTCTATCGACTGTGGTTGATCCCCAACAGCTAGAGGCAGTTGGAGAGGAAGGTGTCTTTGCTCCTGATGGAACTCACCCCCTCCATGAACGTATCTGTAAAGAAACTAGGGCTTAGAAACTAACCGAGACGATAAACGTCTTGGCTGATAACGGATCAAATCCAGAAACTTATACACTTGATCTGATTGCACCTCCGAAGTTAACTTTGGAGATCACTCGGTTGCCAAAGCTAGAATCTAAGCGGATCTTGCAAGATCTGCGTAGTAGAAAAGTCAAGCAGATCTGCGTAGTATCGAAGTCAAGCGTAGCTGCGTAATCTTCTTCCGTGATTGTACAGAAGTCAATTACAGCGTAAGTCTGTGCTTGAGTGATTATAAGTACTATCTTTTGACATCACGGGATACCCGTGAATCTGTCGGGCAAGGGCTCTCATTTGCGGCGGGTTTTTGCTATCCGTGTTCGGATGACTCGGAACACATTTAAACATGTCAATTTGTGACCATATCGAGACATATGGTCAGACAGAACGCTTCAACCGCGCCCTCAAAAAGATGCTTTAACTGTGCATCCACTAATTTACGAGCTGGAGTGAGTTCTTGCCGATGGCAAGATTTGCCATCAGACTCGGTGCATGCGTCGACAGCGCATACATACATCGTTTAATGTGAACAGTTTGCACCATCTACGTATTTTAATCTTGTTGAAGTGTGACTCGTCAATGGGAATGAATAATTCCTCATCATCAGGAGCAGCAACACGCAGTGAATATGTGAGAGAATCCTTCGTCAAGCATTCTAACGATTTGCTTGACGTTGCTGAGTCGTCATGGCGCTCTGCTCCTACTGATACCGATCGCTTTTGAAATTTCAGGTTGTTGCCTATACCAGCCAATCAGCAGATACTTCTGGAAAAAATATTCCTAATATTGATAAATGTTACTAACCTTTATAAGATTATAATTGTGTTGACACCTAATAATGGTGTCAATAGTATTTAACGGGCTCACCCACACTATAACAAGACGTATGGTTCACAATATCATCTTATCAAAGATGACATTTTTTTTCTATACGCTTCTCCATACCATCTGCGGCACAACGCAAGCCAAACCTGGCCGACATCTAAGCCTACAATCATTTCGAAACGCGAGAGCATCTTGATAGTCATCGGTCAACTCTTTCAAAACCCCTGGGAATGAATTGCACGCCTAGGTGCATGCAACTACTGCATTTTGTTCACATTTACAAACAACCAACATGATAATCACAGCATAGAGAAGATTCAGATCAACTGATTTGCCAAAGCGCCGCGATTGAAGCGACTCACGTTTACTCGGTCGTCAGGACATCATTAAGCGTAACGAACTGTCCTTGTCGAATCGAGGTTGTGTTTGAATCGTCACATGGAAAACCAAGGTGTTCCGCCGCTGAGCATACGTTCACCAGACCCCATCCATATATATTGTTAGGGAACTCCTGGTACGTGGTGTTGCCACATTTGCTGGGTACGAGAAAAGGCTTGTGTAAGTTGCGCGTGGTCGTCTCGGTAAGACCCCGCAAGATGTTTTCGTACGCTGGCGGCTTTGTATGATTTAAGCCGAGTAGCAATGCGATAGCACCAGCCACATGTGGTGTCGCCATTGACGTTCCAGTGAGCCGAGTATAGGCGCTGTCCTTAACGCTCATTGCCGATCTAATGCCAACTCCAGGTGCAACAAAATTAGGCTTAATGATGTACTTACTGCTTGAACGGTTTGGCACGTTATCAAAACCCTGTGTACTCTCCAAACTTGGACCCTTGCCGCTTGCGCCCCATAGTGAGATTCCTCCAATCAATGCTCCCACTGCAATCGTGTCTTCGCGGCTACCAGGATAATACACACTCCCGCATAAAAACCCGTTTGTGTTCCCACTGGCAAAGACTGGGTAGACTCCAGCCGCTCGCCATGTATCAATCACTTTGCTCAGCCACGTCCACTGCGGGTAAACAGGCGTCGATCGGTCGACGCCGAACGAGTTGGTCACCACGTCTGCTCCAAGCGAACAGTCTGCACCCGTCCCGTCCATCTTGGTTGGGCACAACACCCACTGTGCTGCCAACAAGAAGTCGCTTTTATTTGCCGCACCCCAGATATCAAACGCTCGTGCAGTAATCCACGTCGACTCTGGAGCAATGCCAATTCCTTTTCTTCCCACTGCCGTCCCCATCGTGTGCGTTCCATGGCCTACCTCATCCGCTGTATCTGATGTTTCCTTTGCTATGTCCGTGCCCGGCGTGAACCAGAAGGAGTAATCGAACTCAACCACGCCGTCTTTTTTTGTTCCTGCAAGCAAACAGTATTGCAAGCCCATGTGGTGCAACAACTGTCAGTATCTGCCTCAAAAATAAGCTTCCTCACCTTACCCCTAAAGTTATCTCTCAGAGCTTCGTGAGTGTATCGCACACCCGAGTCAATACTGGCCACGACGATACCTTTTCCCTTTACTCCTTTTGCCCACAATTCCGGGGCACGTAGCAACTTGACGTTCCTTTGAATCTTGTCTTCTGTTTGTTCATTATCGTTTTCTTTATGAGCTTCAAGTAATCTCAACACTTGAGTATCTTCTTCCACTTCCAAGACCCCTGGGAATCCATTAAGATCTCGATTGAAAAACCTGTCCAGCTCTGTATTGCCCTCTTGATAATGAACCACCAGCGTATTATGTATCCATAGAGGAAAAACCTTGACTGCATCCTTGTTTTGGGCCTCGATAAAGCTAGAAACGCTTTGTTGCACGTCGTTTACGACGCTTGACAAGGTTTGATACACCTTTTTTCGACGCTTCGAGCGTGAGAGCTGCAGTGTAAGAGGAACTAGTTGCGTGTCAATCGAAGGGTGTAAATGCACGAGGAAAACGCGACTGACGGAGTGGATAGGGAGCAGCAAGAGCGTGAAGAAGAGCGCGAGGTGGCATCGGAGAGCACCCATGGCACTTGAAGTTGAATTTGGTGGTCACTACATAAATATCGGTGAGCCCTTAAGAAGCTTATTTTTGGTTTTGCGGAAGACAATTCGCAAATTTGAGTGGATTGATAACTAATAGGAGGGAAATTAAAGGGTGATTTATATATAACTTACGTTTGCTTGCCTGAGGAAGTAATTTAATCAAAACATGTGGTTCTAGTGGGTCATGAAAAAGACAGCTGACACATGGGTTGACAAGTATTTGTCAGCATTGCACATTTGAACTAGCACATGTGTGCTACACAGCCACCATAAGCCTAAAAAACGCGATAGAATCTGCATGACCTTTATTTAAAAGACGCCAACATATTTTTGTGGTCATCTTGCATGCCTTTGTGTATCTTTCTCTCTGTTGCTCTTGAAATCATGAAACGATGACTGTTTAACAAGCGTGACAGTTGTCTAGTTACTCTGGATTTGATATTCAAGACAACATCAATTGATTAACAGAAGGTGTCAGGCTTAATAGCAATCAAAACTGGCGTCAGAAGCAGCAACACTCCACTTGCCTTCGACTTTCCCTCTATCGTTGCCATTGTTGTGAAGCGAGAAAAGACACGACGAAAGGGCGACTTGTGTGTTTCGCTATTCCAACAAGTTATTGTATTGTACCAAGAATCTACGCAACGTCATTTTGGTGCCATTGTTCTTAACCTTCTTCCCTTGTTGGTGCCATTGTTCTTAACCTTCTTCCCTTGTAGTTTCAGTCGGTTGCAGCAGCCAGCCGCCTTCTCTCCTTTTTCGAAACGACAAATCATGCCTCAATCTAATCTTTTTGGGCTCTAAAAAACCCGTCGGAAATACCAAACAACAGTCCAGTCAATAAACTAAACACCCCCCCCCCATCCAACAACGACTTGTCCTCCTCCTCCACGCTTTCGTCCATTTCACGACAGTCACTGGAAAACGAAAAAATCAAGTCCATCCCGTCGTTGAAACCAAACGATTTACCAGTTTCTCTTTTTCATACTGTGATCAAGTATAGTCTTGCGCCCGTCTTCAAAGCGGAACTGTCACTCGAACCACAAAAACGCGCGGAGCCTGTTTGCCGATATTCATTTGAAGTTTTTCTTTACGATTTTGGCCGCACGAATCAGATTTTTTTAGTTTAATGGTGTGGCTAGCTTCGTATTCCGAACTGCAATGTGTTAGCTGGACGCTAATGCCGCCTATGCTGCTAGAAACGGTCTTAGTTGGCCTTATTTTATGGCGTACTTCCCATCAACTTTATTGGAGCTCGCATCCGCGTCGTATTTTTCTGCATCTTGTACGTTGTAACAAATATTATCTTTGAGGATACTTTATTTTCTGACGATTATTAAATGAGACAGGTATTACTGTTATCCAGTGTATTACGGCTACTGTTTTGGCTTGGAATGTGTAATTCCAGTCTATTAACTTTCGGGGTGGCGTGTTTATGGTGGTCCAACTCACTGGTGTTGCTCTGTACGGCGGCGGTGATTTTTCAGTGGTCTAGTGCAGTTATGGCCGGAAGAGTGACAGCTCAGGAGCTTCAGAGATCCAAGCAGATCACTGTGTTGCATCCACTGGTCCTTTTGCACTCGATTCATTTTATCTGGACGATAGTTATGGCAATTCATGTCCTCTGTTATGGATTGGACACTTCTAGTAGCATTCAAACGTATGTGGATGATGCAAATTCCTTCTTCGTTACTTATCGAGTCATCAATATCGTCACCCTGGCACTTGATGCAGTGGTAGCATGCTACGTCGCTATTCAGTTGCGAGAAAGATTATTATCAGCTGCCATGGCTGAAGATATGAAGAAAAAGTCGGTGGTGCAGATGTCGTTGCTGATGGCTCTGTTGACAGCGTCACTAGCGTTGCAGATCATCATGGACGTACCCGTTTTCATTTCAGGTGTCAAGGACTCGTGGTCCTCTCTGAGCTTTGAGGCTTTTTGCGTTATTAAGTATCTTGTCCCAGGGCTGCTCCTGAGTCTAGCTTTTTTGTATATTATGCGACGCGTCGAACAGCGCGAGCCCACACGAATGGTGGTGGTGTCGTCACGGTCACTAGTGGAGTTTGTGGAATGCTCATCGCCGAACTGCGTGTGGTGTGCGCACCACCGGCAATACCATTTGAATCAGAACAAGTGGGATATGACGCTCATGACGTCATTTTCTCCACGGACGGTGGATTCGAGCTATCATTCGTCCACTCACGCCAACCTCTCTCAGGGGTCGTGGTCCTCAGAAGGCACGCCGGAATCGTTGCCAGCTACTTTACATATGTCTCGTGATAGTCATCACCGCCTTCACCAGGCTTATCCATCTCACCACCAGACGCATCCGGCTCGTGGCCGCATGCAGTTTCCAGCCTACACGCATGGAGACTATGAGCCACCGGAGGAAATTTCAAGATGGCATGGAGCACGTTACAGCTGAACAGCTTTGCTTCATTCTGACAGCAATGTTCAAGTAGCGCCCAACGAAACAAAGGACAAATAATATGCTCATTTATGAATGGAGATCCTGTGAACAGAAAACAAAGGATCTACGTCGAGCATCGAATGTCCAAGCACTGCAATGAGACCAGTGGCAAATGAACACTGCTCTCTTTATTTATTATGTCAAGATCACCCGACGGAGCAGAACCTGTAGCTTTAACAACATTTGCAGAGTCCCTCGATAGTCAGACTTTATAAAATGAACTCGTATGTGGATCTATTCGTTTTCGTGGCGTCTGACAAGTTTCTAGTGATGACAATACTATAGTTGCCTTTTAGTGTAGACTGAGCTCGTAGGTTTTTTTAAAATTGATTGGATGAGCTTCAAGCGCGTGGTCAATGTAGTTGAATCGATGTCCATATCGGCAAAACCACTTGACAGTCTTCCGCAGACCCTCGCGCCAGGAAATCGTTTCTTTCCAACCCAGACGGCGAATCTTTGCAGCGTCAATAATGTACCGGTGGTCGTTAAAAGGCCGGTCCCGAACGTATGTGATCAGCTTGGTCATGTCGGATTCTAGAAGCTGTGGCTTCATCAGAGCCAATAGATCCATCGCGACTTCTTTGTTGGAGAGTTCGTTCTTGCCACCAATGTTGTAAACTTCTCCCACTTCACCTTTATGCACAATAAGGTCAAACGCTGCGACAACATCGGAAATGTACAAGTAATTGCGAGTATGCATGCCATCGCCATGGATCGTCACTGGTCGGTCACGCAGGATCTGGTTTACTAGCTTTGGAATGAGTTTCTCGGGGTACTGATGTGGTCCATACACGTTATTACTCCTCGTAATGATGGTAGGAAGTCCAAAGGAATGATGGAAACTCTTGACGAGAAACTCAGCACCTGCTTTCGTGGCTGCGTATGGATTGGTAGGTTCTAGCACATGGTCTTCCGTCATTGGAGCTGAATCTGGACTTCCTTCTCCATAAACTTCATCCGTGCTCACATGAATAAACCTTTTAATATCATGTAGTCTTGCTGCCTCCAACAACACATGCGTACCAAGGATATTGGTCTTGCTAAAATCAATCGAGTTTCCAAACGAATGATCCACATGAGATTGAGCTGCAAAGTGAAGAATAGTGTCAATACACTCGGTTTTCAGGATATAGCCTACTAAATCGGCTCCTGTGATACTTCCATGAATAAATTTGTAGTTTTTAGGCAGCATTGCAACATACTCGTCACTCAAACATTTGTCCCCAGGTTCACAGAAACTTCGACGAAGACATTCATACACATTGTCTTCATCCTCATCGTTCTCTGTGTCGTGTTCTTTCTCCATGTTGTAATTGATTGTAACATTATGTGGAGTCTGATGGTTTTGCTCACTTTTACACGACGATATAGTCGAATGCACGTTGCACACACAGGAGCAGTAATCCAATGAATCAAGGTTTACAATATAATACTCAGGATAACGCTTAACGAGGTGAATAACCACATGTGAACCAATAAAACCAGCACCACCAGTCACAAGGATACGCTTAGTATAGTGTCGTTCAGGCGTTGTCATTGCTATTTGTATGCCGACTTGATAGGAAGTCGCTCCATTCAATTGTTGGTCAGAGTTTGAATAAGTGTACTATTACAAAGTAAATAGGATATACTGTCATGACAACGTGGGTCTGAGTAAATTGACAGTGATTCGCGATGGACAGTGAGGATTGTTGAGTTTATATTTGCTGGTCAAAACTGTGCATCGCGTGATCAATTGATGCTGAGTAAAGTCCATCGTGCTTTTCTACCATAAGTTCGTGGGACTTGTCTAAAAGAGCTTGCTCACGGCAACGCGAACGGTATCATCGTCTGCTTCATTTGCCAAGGTTACAGTCAGCTGTAAACAATCACAGGAAAGAATTGAAAACAAGCGCAGGTTAGTACCATCGTCACGACAGTCTTTTGTCACAAAAGTCGCACAATCGTACCAGAGGATCAGCCTTCATTTCACAATCGATAGCAAAGCGTGCGTTCGCGTTGCGTGCCCATGCACGACGGGCCACGCCGTTGTTCACATCCCAGCTGAGCATGCACCCAGCCTTCTCACGAGCATCGTCGGAACCGTCCAACACCATGCCAAAACCTCCGTTCATGACCTCACCCCACCCGACGCCTCCACCATTGTGTAGCGTAATCCATGTAGCTCCCCGAGCAGCGTCACCCAGTGCATTCTGCACAGCCATATCAGCACAGAAAGCAGACCCGTCACGTTCGAGGTCTCACGGAACGGACTGTCCGTGCCGCTTACGTCGTGGTGGTCACGGCTGAGTACTACAGGAGCAGATATCTCCCCAGAGGCCACGGTATCGTTAAAAGCCATGGCGATCATTCCGCGTCCTACCCGGTCGGCATACAGGATACGGGCCTCCGAGCCCACAACCAATTCGTTGTCCTCAGCAGCCTCGATCCAGCGAAGGTTTTGCGGAGCTGAGCAGCTACTTGCTCCGGGACCTCAATCTCGGCGAGCAGCTCACGTAACACGCGTGCAGCAATTGCGTCTATCTTTTGGATATTCCATACTTGCCTGACGTGCACACCCAATGGAACGAGCCAAATCCCAAAGAGAAAATATCCCCCATGATGTCTTGCACGGAGCTCGGGTACCTGAAGGCCGTGGTGGACACAGCAGCCTCCTCGGGCTTCACACCAAGACGCTATACATCAGCACCAGCACGCTGAGCTTCCAGCAAGAACGAGTTACCGTAATCCCAAAAAAAAATGCATACCTTTTGCTGTTAAGCGGTTCACAGCAACAGTGTGACGGCGTAGAGACTCCTGTACCAGATCCTGGAAGCGCATCGGGTCTTGAGCCATGACACGTTGAGACTCGCCAAAGGTAAGCTGCACAGGGTAATAGCCACCGTTGAACGGGTTGTGAAGCAACGTCTGGTCCGATCCCAACTTCACCAGCAGCTCACCCGTAGTCTCTGCCTCGTGGGCCAAGCGCTCCCACAGAGTGAAAACATTGCCGTGATAAGCCAGATTCACCACCTCGCCCTTTGCCTTTGCCTCACGGATTCGAGCAATGCAAGCGTCCAGGTCAAAAAAAAAAAACTCACTACCTCGTTGACCCATCCCTGTTCACGACGCTTTCTTACAGCAGCCTCATTAATCTCAGCCGTCACGGAGATAACGCCAGAAATGACTCCAGCTTTGGGTTGAGCTCCACTCATGCCACCCAAACCCGACGATACGTATACTGTACCACGGGTGTTTTTACGCTGTAAATACTTACGGCATGCGTTAAGTATAGTGATAGTCGTGCCGTGGACAATACCCTGTGGACCAATGTAACAGTAGCTACCAGCTGTCGTCTGGCCCCATACTGGGTGTTGCCCATAGCATAAGCCTTGTCATACAGCATACGCGTGGAGTAGTTTGGAATCATTAAACCATTGGTGACAACCATACGAGGTGGCGCTGGACGACTTGGAAAGAGACCCATGGGATGACCCGAGTACATGACGAGCGTCTGGTGTTCCGTGAGCTCCGACAGGTAGCGCATGGTGAGCAAATACTGTGCCCAGTTTTGAAACACACTGCCATTGCCACCGTACGTAATGAGGTGATGAGGAAATTGCGCTACCGACGATCAAGATTATTCATAATCATGAGCATAATACTCGTAGCCTGTGGACACTTGGCCGGATCCATGTCAATCGAGTACGCTTTCATCTCGTATTGAACTGGACGAAAGTGATGCATGTAGATATGACCCTCGTCCTTGAGCTCTTGAGCAAATTACGATGCCAAAGTGGGATGAAACTTCATGGGGAAGTAGCGTAATGCATTTTGCACGGCTAACACTAGTTCATCCTTGGATAAGCCATCAATATTACGATAGGAGCTTGGGTAAATTTGTAGTGCCTGGATGTGGTGGTAGTATATCTGGAATGCCAGTACGTAGGACTCTTAGATCTAATGAAGATAATAAAGCCATAATGTAAAGCGCGTGAATGGAATAGAGTCGCTTGTGCAATGTCAAGTGAATTGAGAAATAAGAAGGATACATCGATGATCATGGACGACGTGATCCAAACCTCTTGATGGTTGATTTTGTTATAAAAGATAAGAGGTTATAGATTAATACTGGACATGTAACAATGACGTTTTGGAATGAATTTATCATGATTGAGATAGTTGAAGTAAACGTCTAATCAATGGCCTATTTCAGGAGACTTGGGCGTGGTATTTCACGATTATGCACTGCAATGTACTTATTTAATGATAAACAACACCTAGATCCAATCATCGTATACTGTAATCTACGGTCCATGGCATCATTTCATGCAAGTTGCTTGAATCCAATCACGTATTTACTTACAGTAACAATATCCTAAACTCAGTGGTACTATTATTTACAGACGTTCCATGGTTTCGTCATCAGCCTAAAAAGTGCTTTTTATCCCATAAAAAGATCGCAGTGTTTATCTCAGGTCCTTTTTTTAGATTGTGCTTTTCTTGATTCTATCCATTCTTTGACTCTAATTTAAAGACGTTATGACAGAGACACCGGACGTTCTTCCACCTTCATCAACCCCAAGCAACGTCGTGCAGGACCCTGTTATAACCGCTATTGAACCCGAGAAACACGTGACAGGGGATCAAAGAGCGAAAATTGTAATTTTATCCGTAAACGACGTGTACGATATGATTCCAAATGATTACGGCCATGGCGGTATTGCAGAGTTTGCGACACTATTAGAGCAACATAAAGCTGCAATTCCAGAGAATGTGACGCTATTGGTCACGCTAAATGGTGACTTTCTTTCAGGCTCAGAGATAGCGGAACGCTTTAAAGGGTGCGCTGGCTTGTTTGCTACTTGTCTGTACAATGTTTCGTAATCATATTGACTGTCTTGTTATTGTTATTGTGCACTATAGAGCACACATGATTGAGTTAATGAACCATTTAGGCATTGAATACGTAGTGCTGGGCAACCACGAGTTTGACTTTGGCGCTGACGAACTTAAAGCACGCATGCAAGACTCTTCAGCTAAATGGTTTGGATCCAATGTGCGTGATTCTGCATCGGGTTCACTGTTTGAAGGCATCGTGGATACCGAGATCATTCATTTAAAAGACGGACTCAAACTAGGAATGTTTGGCGTTTGCACAGAGGAGACCCCGACGCTGTCATTTCCGGGTAGTACCATTAAGTTTGATGATATTTTATCCACCTCTCGACGGTGTGTCGACGCTCTAAAAGCTCAAGGAGCTGATTTTATTCTAGCGCTTACACATCTGTCGATTTCGCAGGACAAAAGGCTTGCCCGCCAAGTACCTGGCATCAATTTGGTACTCGGTGGCCATGACCACGAGCCATTTACAATGTACGAAGGCAAAACATTTATTCACAAATCGGGACAGAATGCATTTTGGTTGGCTAAACTCGAGTTTGATCTGAAGCGATTTGGTGAACATCCTGAACGTGGACTTGTCGTTTTGCCGCAATGGAGCATGATTGCTAACGCATACCTGCCGCCGCAGCCGGCATGCCAGCAAATTCTTTACAAATACATGCATCAAATGGCAAGCGAAAACGATCCGGAAAAGAATGAGTGTGTGTTAGCTACTTTGGCCACCACATTGTCCACTCGAACAGCACTCTTGCGAGCTGGAGAAAGCAGCGGAGGCAACTTGGTCGCGGATGCTCTACGCAGTGAACTATCCGCTGATGTAGGTTTTATCAACGGAGGCTTTATCCGCGGAGACAAGGAGTATCCCGCTAAGTCCAACATTACAGTGGGTATTTTGAAGCACGAGATGCCGTTCCCGCGGCCCGCTGTTCTAGTGCGAATCAAAGCCAGCGACCTGCGTGACGCCTTGATTGAACATTTGAACAAATATCCACAGCAGAGCGGCTCACATCCTCATGTATCTGGTCTCCTTTTGACCATTGACATGCATTTGAACCCTCTCGTGGTTACCAAAATGCTTGACGATAAAGGCAAGCCAGTGGACTTGGAAAAGCAGCTCCTTGTGGCTACGTCCAAGTTTGTTGCTGATGGTGGTGATGGCTGTTCATCATGGCTTAAAGGAGACATTGTGCGTGAAACTGGTAAAATACCCGACGTCGTGGCTGACTTTATGATGAAAAAGCGGTTGCTGGCGTATCCAGAGCACGAAGGACGCATTACGATCCTCGAGTGAACAGTGTGCGTCGAAGAAGAGATATTGTAATGATCAATAGAGTGATTGGATAGCAAGATCAAGTGACATTGTCGTCGCAATGCCGCCTGAATGCGTCAACCGGCTACAAATGCTTCTGAACACATGCATCATTGAGTTTTGCTTGTTGAAAAGGCATAAGGCCAGAGGTATGACAATCATAGGACTATCCTATTGTGTCACATTAAAGGTAGAGCATGTATGTATACATGCTAAAGAAAATGTATACACAGCCGTCCAACGGCTGTAGGAAGTAATTTATTGTTTGCATTTTTTTACTTCGTATTGTTACAAAGCATGTGACTATCTGACTCGGTCCTACGTGCGTTGATTGGTTCACTCGAGAGCAATGAATCTGTCCCATCTGTTCGCTGCTCTCTGACTTTCACGCCATCATTAGCTTCCGTGGGACTTCTAGTATCAAGTCAATAATAATAATCAACCTTTCGTCTGTCTCGAAATTCGATTCCAGTCTATCGCTTGATTTTCTACTTCCGATCACGTCCTTTGTTGTTGTTGTTGAGATCATCATCATCATCATCATCATCATACCCTGAAAACGACGAGCATTGATATCTTTCTATCATACGTCTCTCTCTCTGTATTAACAAGGACCAAGTGTATATTTGTAAACGATTTTTCACCTCGTTTTTCCTGTGGTCAGTAGAGTCATCAAGATAGGTTTGTACACAAGGCTGTCGATACGAAAAGAGTTATTTCGACCACCCCTTGCCACTAATACGTTGTATCTACTGTGCTCTTTACTCTCTGGGATATATTTTTTGCTTGTTATCTGAAGTAGACGGAACAGACTTGTTCAAGACGTATTACACGAGTTATTTGAGGACGAATCATGCATTTATGGATCATTCTGATCACCTTGTCTGCGTCCTTGTTGTGTCTCTTTCAAGGTATATAAGACATCATAGACTGCATAGTTTCTACCGCCTTTGCTTCCGTCCTGATGAGTTGGAGTTTAATTTGCTTACTTTATTTGTACGTGTTCCTATAGTGGAAGCAGCAGAATGTGCTGAAATCTGCTACACGACCGAATTGACGGGCTTTGGACCAGGAGGAATTGCTGGATGTGCTTGTAGTGGCTTAAAACCTACACGCTCGGGACCTGGGAATTGCAATTGCGGGCAGTGTTATGAAGAAACGAATGGAGCTGTCATTGGCTATGCTGTTAATAGTGACGGCACGTGCGCGTTTGGAACAAACTGTGGAGACTGCACGTTCTCAGCGGATGCATCTTCGAGCAAGACGACGGCCTCGTCTAGCTCTTTGGATACCAATCCCACGACACCGCCTGCGCCGCCGACGTCAACACCGCCTACGTCAACACCGCCGACGACGACGTCGGTAAGCTCCACCGCTGCTACGACAGGTACTGGAATGATTGGTTTATTGATGATGCAAAGTGCAGAATGCTTCCACGTCATTCTGACCGCTTGCTTTATTTCTGGTGTTGCTTTTGCACTTTGCTGGCTTTGGTTTTGTTGCTTCTGTGTCTTCTGGCTCGCTTTTATCTCACGGTATTTGTTTGTGTGTTGCTGCTTGTCTTGTTGGGGTTTTGTTTGGTATTAACGCTTTCAGATGCGCCTGCTGCTACGTCTCCTATTCCTTCTTCAGGCACTTTATCGAACGGGACTACTGGAATTTCTACTTTGATCACAGACTCAAGCAATTCTCTCAGCAGCTCGGGCTCTGACGACAACAACGCGGACAAAACTGCTGGCAGCTCAACCGTTTACATATGTGAGTGGATCGAAACGTACACTGATTTGTTCGACTACAACTTTTTCTGACGGTTTGGATATGTGTTTTGCGTAAATAGCAAATGACAATGGACCCCTGAAGACGTGGCAGATTGCATTGATAATTTGCTGTGGCGTGCTGGTCTTCACAGTGGCCGTCGTGTCAGTACTTTCGTGCTACTGTAAGGCGCGGAACCGCTTGTACGAGAACGAGGATAATCTAGCCGATGCCAGCTATTATCAGCAGCAGCACTCTCACCAGCACGGTGTCGTTGTTGGATCGGATGCGTCGACTCTATTTCCAGCGAAAGTCCACAGTCACCAGCGATCTGGAAGCTCTGGAAGCCTGACGAACGAGATGAAGCCCTTGTACGCAAATTCAACCAACAGCGGCAGCTCAGATAGGTTAGGAATGGGCTTTGCTCCTGTTCACATGCGTAGAAGTACGTCTGGTGACCGAAGCGATGTGGCGAGCAATAGCTACCGCAACGTGGAGCCGAGATACAGCAAAGCACGTGATCGAGGCTCGTTGGCCGTAGAATTGTAGCGATTCTAGTCGTTTGGGCTCATCGCGGAAACAGCTTGACATTGAAACATTCTGGAAAACGACAAGAGTAATAACCGACTGGAGCGGTGTGCGACAACAATCACAGCAGCGTATGACAGACAAGACGTCGACGGTAGCGTCAAAGAGAATCTAAGTCTTTGGTTGGTTTGCATGCATGCATGCTTCCTCCTGCCCCCCTCCCCACAGCAGCTTCACGTAGACACGCACCTAGCCAGGACAATGAAGTCTTATTATTGTAACATGTTCTATTGAACCAAAGGGGTCTTGGCAGTAGAGCAATAGGAATGTTAACTATGACGTAATCACGTTTTACTACTTTCATGTGTTATATATATCGAGATTTCGAAAGGATCATGACACGATACATTTCGAATCGTGGTTGATTTTGTTTTCAAGGGACAGAAATGCTGCGAATCAACCACCGTGTGTATCACAAACAAACGACACAGGACGTGAACAGGAACTTGTGGTTACTATCATCACGATGGGACTGACAAAGCACTTGTCAACTCAAAAGTATCTGCATCCTTTTGTCAATCATCATTTCCTCTCCATATTTACACCCCAATGACCGACCCACGAACGAACCTCGGATCTAAACGCTTTTTAACACAAAAAAACCCCACCTTTTATCTTGATATCTGGATAATATCGGACTCAGACGAATATTATTGTAGCAAAGTATCTCTTAAGTACCACCTCTCTCTATTCTCACATCATGGGCACCCTGGGCAAACGACGACGTGTATCAAGCACTGACAGTGACGACGACGTACCAACGACACAACGCGCTATGGTCGTAGGATCTTCTCTCCCGTCTCCTCGTTCTATCAAGCCGCGTACACTCCCACCTGGTCGTAATCGTAGAGGATTTCTAGAGCAGTCTCAGTTGACAGACAAGGACCGACGTCATGTGCGTTGCAAGGAGCGTGAATTACTGCAAAGTATCAAGGAAAATGCCAATGATTTAGCCAAGATCTCGAGTGGAATGTTTGATACACATACACAGGAACTGGATCAGATGTATGAGAATGTTTGTTACCCGCGTGAGGCGAATTTAGATGCAAGCAATCTGGATGAATTGAATGTCGCAGTAGCGAAACAATCACAAGCTCTGGGTTCCAGTGACTTGACAAAGGTTGGATATGATTTCTATTGGATGAGTTGGATAATTTTTCATGGACTAGTTGGATTTTTTTGGATGAAAAATGTTACTTTATGATGTTTGTAGTACGATTCGATGGATTTGATTCAGGCGACGTATAAAGTGTATGCAATGGAATCACAGCAGGGTGATCTGGACTGGGATGCATTGGGAAATGCCGCAGGAGCTTGTTTTCGATCAGTGCCGGAGATTAGTTTCTTGTAAGTTGTGGTTTTATGAAACATGTGAACAGTAGTGAGGGTTTGTTGAGTTTTGACATTTTTTACGTTTGTTGTCATAGGTTTGGACTGATGGATACGGAGGTGGTGCGTAAGGAGAGGAAAAAGTTGAAACGAGTGCAGGATGATGCCGGTGCTGAAGAAGCGCAGCCAACGGAGTATACGAACAAGGTCAACGAAGTTGCTTGTTCATGGTGGTTTGTGGAATGAAATTTTCACTCACGATGATGAGTTTTGTGGGTTTGCACATTTCTAGGAAGACCGTAAGGACGCGCAGGCTCGGCGGTTAGAGATTTTGCAATCGACATTGATTCAGCGCCAGTGTCGTCAATCACTTTTTGATGTGGTAATTGATCCGAAGAGTTTCACTCAGGTGCGTGAGGCGTACATCTTGTTTTGGGGAAGTGTCGCCTGGTAAATGGTAGATTAAAACGATTGTGGATGTTATTGTGTGTTGCGGTATGTATTACTTCACTGTGTATGATTTTGTAGACGGTCGAGAACTTGTTTGATACGTCGTTCCTTGTGCGTAACAACTCTGCTGAAATAGGCATCGATGATGATACTGGGCTTCCTTATCTGAGTAAGTCATATGAAGGCAATTATGTATGGCTGGGTTTTAACTAAGACAGGAAATCTGTTACGACAACAGAAAATCAGGAGGGAATTGGTGAGGTTGATATGCCCACATCGACACAGAGCATCATTAGTATCACCCCAGCTCAATGGGAGCAGCTCGCGCAAGTTACGGGGCGCGATGAACCTCTGCTAGTCCGTCGCTCGTAGCCGCACGGGCTTAAAAATTAAGTGAGGGCATAAATATTGTTAACCTTATGGGGTTCTTTTGTCTTTTCTTGCAAGGTAACTGCACTGGTTTGGAGCTTCGTTGACAACAAACCTTGCGGTTCAGAATCCCAGGTTTGTTCTTCCGTGCGCGAACTGTAGAAAAGCAGCATGATATGTATTACTGCCCGTAATGGACAGCTCTGCTTCTAGTGGCTATTGCAGACTGATGTCCGCATCGCTGGTGTGTTGTTGGCTCTTGATGGCTTTTCACGTTGCTCATGCACAAGCTGGACGGAAGATTGGCAATAAAATTGTTGGCTGGCCAGGTCTGGCTATCTGTAGCTCGACGCGCGGTGGTGTGATTGATTCAATTTGAAGGTTGAAGCTGTGGATGATTTCGCCAAGCATGGTGATCTTGGGTTACGCTATAGTGCTGTCCTTGCTAGGGAGACTAAGGCGTTGCCTGTGGGATATTCCTGCAAAATCTTGTAGTGTATTTGACAGGTCCGTTCTCGGATGCGTTTGATCTCGGCGTTGTTGGCATATAGCTCTAGCTACTACGTTTTTGATTCAGACTGTACGTATTCGCTTTTACATCGAAACAGATGTACATTATCTTGTCGCTCAACGGGTATGTGCTGAGCGTTAAAACATTGATGTGGTGCCAGTTCAGCGCTAAGAAGCTTTATGGTCTCTTCGTCGCCAATTGGATTCTAGACCTCGGATCCAGCAATGACTTCGACAATGAACGACTGCTTGCGCTTATCCAGTGTCGATATGAAAGAAACTTGCATCTAGGTCGCGGTGTCATCGTTTGTGTAGCGTCCGCGTGCAATGACAGCATTATCTGGTCCGCTGCAACGCTTACTAAGATCGTCGAGACAGCAATCCGTCGTAGATGTCCGTGACCAGCGCCTTATTATCCACGACGTCGAAGGTCATGGTCATTCTGACTATATAGCAGTTTGGCTTGTCTTCATGAGGTGCCTACGTATGGCAAAGACCAACCACGACAGCCGCCACTCATCTTTGCACGTGTTTGCGTCGTTTAGCGAGGCGCACTATGTTCAAACTACAAATCGGCACTGTGTCAGGTGTCAGTACCGTTGTCACCAGAGATCCTGTGTATCAAGTCGGCTGGACCAAATTGATACGCTTCAGCAAAACAAACCACAAGCTGGCACTTTTTTTTCTGGACTTTAGATAACGATGATGCCGTTGGGTATGTGGGTTAATCTAGCTACGTAGCTGTGGATCCTATTAAGTACTGTTTTTTTAACATCGCGAAGTCGAGCGCAAGGCTTTCCACATACGTTCTACCTTTGCGACATCGGACTTGGATGTGTTGTAAGCTACGAGCAATTTGTGGTGGCTACGTTAAGACTGGGTGCTACTTTATAGTGCTCGGCGGCATGTCAGGATGGTTACATCGTTCGTTTGGTAAGATTGATCGTAAGATGAAACAAAGCCGCTGCTGGATGTGATTTGCTGCTTGCAAGCTATGAAAGAACCTATACATTTATTACTACAACCATGGAGTATGAGAAGAGATAATCGTTGCCATGTGCGATCCGTGCAAGTCAGACGTGTAGCAAAAGTTCAAGACTCAATTGAAGTGACAAGAATATAATGGGATACGACACTTTGGACTGGAAATATGGAAAAACATCGAATATCAACTTTATACAAAACTCATTGCAGTGCCCAGCTACAGGCGGGCATAACTAAGACGACTACAGTTATGCGCACAACTTGTGGTCCGGAGAAGCCAGCAGCAATCAAGCCACCACCCTTCTCCTTGTTCACAGATGTGTGGCAATTGTCACTAGCGCTCTCACCGTACTCCTCAAGCTATACCTGCGTCCGTACACATAGTAGCGAGCAGGGGACTCACGCCTACCTGATCAGCAAAAAACGTCACCTCTACCTCGCTCGTCGCGACCTTCATGAAGACCATCTAAGTCTTCCCTCAATTGTCTCGCATCGCCAACACCATCGCGCCATCCGTAATCAGCACTAATTTGACCGATGACTCATTACCCGATCAACATGCATAACGCCTACATCTTGCCGTTCACGATTGGCACGTGCGTCACTTATGCATAGACATTCGCGACAGCAGGCGTTGGCTCCGGTGTCGTTTCTGACTCGCTTTCGGCGATTGGCGCGGGCGTCTCATGGATCGCAGCATCAGTGGTCGGTGAAGGTCCGTATGCATGTTCAGTCGTGACAGCAGGCGTTGACTCCGGTGTCGTTTCTGACTCGCTTTCGGCGATTGGCGCGGGCGTCTCATGGATCGCAGCATCAGTGGTCGGTGAAGGTCCGTATGCATGTTCAGTCGTGACAGCAGGCGTTGACTCCGGTGTCGTTTCTGACTCGCTTTCGGCGATTGGCGCGGGCGTCTCATGGATCGCAGCATCAGTGGTCGGTGAAGGTCCGTATGCATGTTCAGTCGTGACAGCAGGCGTTGACTCCGGTGTCGTTTCTGACTCGCTTTCGGCGATTGGCGCGGGCGTCTCATGGATCGCAGCATCAGTGGTCGGTGAAGGTCCGTATGCATGTTCAGTCGTGACAGCAGGCGTTGACTCCGGTGTCGTTTCTGACTCGCTTTCGGCGATTGGCGCAGGCGTCTCGTGGACCTCAGCATCAGTGGTCGGTGAAGGTCCGTATGCATGTTCAGTCGTGACAGCAGGCGTTGACTCCGGTGTCGTTTCTGACTCGCTTTCGGCGATTGGCGCGGGCGTCTCATGGATCGCAGCATCAGTGGTCGGTGAAGGTCCGTATGCATGTTCAGTCGTGACAGCAGGCGTTGACTCCGGTGTCGTTTCTGACTCGCTTTCGGCGATTGGCGCGGGCGTCTCATGGATCGCAGCATCAGTGGTCGGTGAAGGTCCGTATGCATGTTCAGTCGTGACAGCAGGCGTTGACTCCGGTGTCGTTTCTGACTCGCTTTCGGCGATTGGCGCAGGCGTCTCGTGGACCTCAGCATCAGTGGTCGGTGAAGGTGTGACTTCATGTTCAGTCGTGACAGCAGGCGTTGACTCCGGTGTCGTTTCTGACTCGCTTTCGGCGATTGGCGCAGGCGTCTCGTGGACCTCAGCATCAGTGGTCGGTGAAGGTCCGTATGCATGTTCAGTCGTGACAGCAGGCGTTGACTCCGGTGTCGTTTCTGACTCGCTTTCGGCGATTGGCGCAGGCGTCTCGTGGACCTCAGCATCAGTGGTCGGTGAAGGTCCGTATGCATGTTCAGTCGTGACAGCAGGCGTTGACTCCGGTGTCGTTTCTGACTCGCTTTCGGCGATTGGCGCAGGCGTCTCGTGGACCTCAGCATCAGTGGTCGGTGAAGGTCCGTATGCATGTTCAGTCGCTCCAGCAGGCGTTGACTCCGGTGTCGTTTCTGACTCGCTTTCGGCGATTGGCGCGGGCGTCTCATGGATCGCAGCATCAGTGGTCGGTGAAGGTGTGACTTCATGGTCAGTCGTGACAGCAGGTGTTGACTCCGGTGTCGTTTCTGACTCGCTTTCGGCGATTGGCGCGGGCGTCTCATGGATCGCAGCATCAGTGGTCGGTGAAGGTCCGTATGCATGTTCAGTCGTGACAGCAGGCGTTGACTCCGGTGTCATTTCTGACTCGCTTTCGGCGATTGGCGCGGGCGTCTCATGGATCGCAGCATCAGTGGTCGGTGAAGGTCCGTATGCATGTTCAGTCGTGACAGCAGGCGTTGACTCCGGTGTCGTTTCTGACTCGCTTTCGGCGATTGGCGCAGGCGTCTCGTGGACCTCAGCATCAGTGGTCGGTGAAGGTCCGTATGCATGTTCAGTCGTGACAGCAGGCGTTGACTCCGGTGTCGTTTCTGACTCGCTTTCGGCGATTGGCGCGGGCGTCTCATGGATCGCAGCATCAGTGGTCGGTGAAGGTCCGTATGCATGTTCAGTCGTGACAGCAGGCGTTGACTCCGGTGTCGTTTCTGACTCGCTTTCGGCGATTGGCGCGGGCGTCTCATGGATCGCAGCATCAGTGGTCGGTGAAGGTCCGTATGCATGTTCAGTCGTGACAGCAGGCGTTGACTCCGGTGTCATTTCTGACTCGCTTTCGGCGATTGGCGCGGGCGTCTCATTGATCGCAGCATCAGTTGTCGGTGAAGGTCCGTATGCATGTTCAGTCGTGACAGCAGGCGTTGACTCCGGTGTCGTTTCTGACTCGCTTTCGGCGATTGGCGCAGGCGTCTCGTGGACCTCAGCATCAGTGGTCGGTGAAGGTGTGACTTCATGGTCAGTCGTGACAGCAGGTGTTGACTCCGGTGTCGTTTCTGACTCGCTTTCGGCGATTGGCGCGGGCGTCTCATGGATCGCAGCATCAGTGGTCGGTGAAGGTCCGTATGCATGTTCAGTCGTGACAGCAGGCGTTGACTCCGGTGTCGTTTCTGACTCGCTTTCGGCGATTGGCGCGGGCGTCTCATGGATCGCAGCATCAGTGGTCGGTGAAGGTCCGTATGCATGTTCAGTCGTGACAGCAGGCGTTGACTCCGGTGTCATTTCTGACTCGCTTTCGGCGATTGGCGCGGGCGTCTCATGGATCGCAGCATCAGTGGTCGGTGAAGGTCCGTATGCATGTTCAGTCGTGACAGCAGGCGTTGACTCCGGTGTCGTTTCTGACTCGCTTTCGGCGATTGGCGCGGGCGTCTCATGGATCGCAGCATCAGTGGTCGGTGAAGGTCCGTATGCATGTTCAGTCGTGACAGCAGGCGTTGACTCCGGTGTCGTTTCTGACTCGCTTTCGGCGATTGGCGCAGGCGTCTCGTGGACCTCAGCATCAGTGGTCGGTGAAGGTCCGTATGCATGTTCAGTCGTGACAGCAGGCGTTGACTCCGGTGTCGTTTCTGACTCGCTTTCGGCGATTGGCGCGGGCGTCTCATGGATCGCAGCATCAGTGGTCGGTGAAGGTCCGTATGCATGTTCAGTCGTGACAGCAGGCGTTGACTCCGGTGTCGTTTCTGACTCGCTTTCGGCGATTGGCGCGGGCGTCTCATGGATCGCAGCATCAGTGGTCGGTGAAGGTCCGTATGCATGTTCAGTCGTGACAGCAGGCGTTGACTCCGGTGTCGTTTCTGACTCGCTTTCGGCGATTGGCGCAGGCGTCTCGTGGACCTCAGCATCAGTGGTCGGTGAAGGTCCGTGACTGCATGTTCAGTCGTGACAGCAGGCGTTGACTCCGGTGTCGTTTCTGACTCGCTTTCGGCGATTGGCGCGGGCGTCTCGTGGACCTCAGCATCAGTGGTCGGTGAAGGTCCGTATGCATGTTCAGTCGTGACAGCAGGCGTTGACTCCGGTGTCATTTCTGACTCGCTTTCGGCGATTGGCGCGGGCGTCTCATGGATCGCAGCATCAGTGGTCGGTGAAGGTCCGTATGCATGTTCAGTCGTGACAGCAGGCGTTGACTCCGGTGTCGTTTCTGACTCGCTTTCGACGATTGGCGCGGGCGTCTCATGGATCGCAGCATCAGTGGTCGGTGAAGGTGTGACTTCATGGTCAGTCGTGACAGCAGGTGTTGACTCCGGTGTCGTTTCTGACTCGCTTTCGGCGATTGGCGCGGGCGTCTCGTGGACCGCAGCATCAGTGGTCGGTGAAGGTCCGTATGCATGGTCAGTCGTGACAGCAGGCGTTGACTCCGGTGTCGTTTCTGACTCGCTTTCGGCGATTGGCGCGGGCGTCTCATGAATCGCAGCATCAGTGGTCGGTGAAGGTCCGTATGCATGTTCAGTCGTCCAGCAGGTGTTGACTCCGGTGTCGTTTCTGACTCGCTTTCGACGATTGGCGCGGGCGTCTCATGGATCGCAGCATCAGTGGTCGGTGAAGGTGTGACTTCATGGTCAGTCGTGACAGCAGGTGTCGACTCCGGTGTCGTTTCTGACTCGCTTTCGGCGATTGGCGCAGGCGTCTCGTGGACCTCAGCATCAGTGGTCGGTGAAGGTCCGTATGCATGTTCAGTCGTGACAGCAGGCGTTGACTCCGGTGTCATTTCTGACTCGCTTTCGGCGATTGGCGCGGGCGTCTCATGGATCGCAGCATCAGTGGTCGGTGAAGGTCCGTATGCATGTTCAGTCGTGACAGCAGGCGTTGACTCCGGTGTCGTTTCTGACTCGCTTTCGGCGATTGGCGCAGGCGTCACGACGGTCTCAGGAGCACCAGTGGTGGCGCACGGAGCGGATGCATGGTCAGTCGCGACAGCGGGTGTTGGCTGTGGGGTCATTTCTGACTCGCCTTTCACGATTGGCACGGGCGTCACGACGGTCTCAGGAGCACCAGAGGTCGGTGGAGGTGCAAATGCATGGGCAGTCGTGACAGCGGGTGTTGGCTGCGGTGTCATTTTGGACTCGCCTTTCACAATTGGCACGGGCGTCACGACGATCTCAGAGGCACCAGTGGTCGGTGAAGTCGCGTATGCATAGTTAGATCGGGCGAAGGGTTTGTTGCAGTCACTAGCAAGCTTGGCACCGTAGGCCGGCTGTGAAGCTTTCACTGTCGCATTAACTTTCAACGAGGTGATCGAATCCTGTACCACTGGAGACGCATGAATCAATAGATTATCCGAAACCGCTGCAAGCGTAGCGAAGATGGCAACATAACGTGTAGCATTCAGCATTTTGAAAACGTCTCAAGTCGGTGAGCTGCTTCTGAGTAGAGTGGCTAGTATGGAACTTCAGGTCTAGCCGCAAAATTTCCGAATGAGCCAAAGCAAAGCTGTCGAAGACACTTCGAGTGGAGGCTGTGTTTGATCACTGACTTGGACACTATCCTCATTCACGGTATAAAATAACAAAAGCATAGTGCAGGATCAGCTGTGGGGTTTTGTCTGTAATATCTGCTCGAGGTCTTCTTTACTTTCTTATGTTTTATCATCTCTCTTGCATCTTGCTACCAGGTTGTTCGACAAATTGTCAACAAAACCTCGTGGCCATCAGGTTAGTGATAAGAAAAACGCATTCAACAAGAACGTCACTAATGTAGCTACAGTATTAAAAAGACTCTGCCACAGAGCTGCTGCTTTACGTGTCATCATATGTTGCTACATGTACCGCAATATATTACGCAAATGAACCAAAACCATGAGTTATTACCAGCCGGCGGTCATTCTTTTCACAAACGCGGCATAAGATGCATCCAACTACTTTGTGGGACTGGAAATCACGGTATACATATTCACACAAAAGTCTGTTTGTAGAGGAAGGATAGTATTCTTGTAGATTGCTAGTGTCGTAGGAGTGAACAGCGTAAAACACTGACTTTATACTATTTATAGCACACTGAGCCATCGTTTCTTGTCCCTAGGACACTAAGCAACGGAATTGTTGATTTGGATTGAAGTGATACCCAAACCAATGGCAACAATGACGTTTATTTTTCAAAGCAAAAGGTGTCGTACTGCATTGACCCATATGGGTGAAACGTCGCATAGGACTTTACGACGTAAAGAGTAGCAAAGTCGCCAATGTCGTCGATAGAAACATCAATCTTCATAATCGATGCAGTTGTGGATCCAGGACCCTGAAGGTCAAGAAAAGGCCTCGCAGCTTGGTCGGAGTGAGATCATCATTGCTCCATGAATAAACGGGACCCTTGGTTTGATTGTGAGCTAGTTGCGTTTCACGACTGATTCGATTGATTAGTCGAGTTAGTCGGTCGGTTATAGGATTTTTTGACAACTTGTATATGATGATGTCTTAGTTGGATAACTTGAAAAATCTGTCGAAGGAGCATACATCTGTCATAGAAGATGATGCGGTGTTTTCATTACAAATCAAGTTTCGGCTACAAGTCGTTAGGATTCGGAGTAATGATGTCCAGTGAGTAAGTCTCTGGCGTCTCCAGTGAATACGTCGGATGAGTTGTGGGCGAGTCAGTCTCTGGCAAGTACGTTTTCGATGACACGTACGTCAAATTTCGAGGTTTGGATTCCGGGGTTGTGGTGGCCGGTGTTACATCTGCTGGATTCTTGTTAGATGACGGCGACTTTGATCGAGTTATTTTAATGGATGGTGGGGTTGGCATATGATGATTTATTGTCAAGTCTTTACATTGAAGCGATTGTTGAATCAACCCTGGACGTCTGTGAACGAGATTTCGGTGTCTGTGATTGTTACTTTTGGTCATTCGGCTTGAGTTGATCGCGATAAAAGCGCTATAAATGTCGAGAATGGAGGTAGCATTCACAATGAGGCAATACGCGATCAAGCAAGTGAAGTCAATGAAATGGGACGTCTAGATTGTCGACTAGTCAGTTAGTCTACTATGAACGTGACTTTGGTATGAATGATATTTACTGGCTTCGTCTGAAGACCGGTGGTCGGCAATACTTGTTTTTTGAACGAGTTAAGCTGAATACTGTAGATACATAGATGTTCTCTAGCATCCTAACTATCCTATCCATGCCTCCAGTATGAGGTACAATCAACTAAACACCTCATTTACGTAGTCCTTACGTCTTTTATAAGATGTAAGCTCGATGCAAAGTACAAACTATACTTCATTTTGGGTTAGTTAGTGTCCATAGTAAGCATTTTAAAAAAAACCTACTTCAAAACTACAATTTTTTTTTTGAGGCAAAAGTTTTTTTTTTTCATTTTTAAAAAGTCCGTTTTAGCAAGATACCGCTAGTACCGGTATTCACCTCGTGAGTTCCTACTCACCTTGGTCATTCTTCCTCTTCTGAATCGAATCGTCCCTACGACCTTGTTTGGTATTATAACCCCATGACAGATTTACTAACTGTAGCTATTGTACGTGTATTAGCCTCTTTAGCTGCATGCATCTTATTTGCAAGTCTATTACCGTCCATTAGGATTGTACACCGACGTAAAAGTACTGCAAGTATGCCCAGTGTACTTCCTGTATTGTCCATGATAGCAAATTGCATCACGTGGGGACTCTATGGCGTACTCATTGACGACTTTTTTCCATTAGTATTTACTAATATCATTGGAATATTCCTCTCACTCTTTTATCTCATTGTGTACTACTACTATGCGACGAACAAGGGTAGTTTAAGTCTTGAGATTCTAGCAACAGCTCTAGTGCTTGTGGGTATTTTACTATATCCATTGATGGCAGCTTTTGACAGGGTACAAGATGAAACCGTAGAGCACGTTGTGGGATTTCTTGCAGTAACTTCTTCGGCCATTATGTTTGGCTCGCCGCTGGTTCTAGTCAAAAGGGTGATTCGAGAACGCAACGCGAGTTCATTACCATTGAATATGATTACCACTGGAGTAGTCAATTGTGTCTTATGGCTTTGGTACGGTCTCTTGCTTGAAGACGCGTTCGTCATTGTACCGAATGCGGCAAATTTGCTTCTTGGCACCGTACAACTTGGACTCTTTTGCATTTATCCACGTAGCGGAACGTGCAACAACGTTGATTCTTCTACTTCTAAATTGAAACCCGAAGATAAAAAAGTACGGCAGATAGAAACGGAGTGAATCAATAGTTGTTGTGAAGCACGAGAAAGGAGACCGCGGTGGTCAATATGGAAGAGAACCTGAAGACGGCTGAAAACAACAAATAAATTTCAACGACTTCAGTCAGTCGACTGAGTATAAGACAACAAAGAGATACATTAAAATGAACATCTTATACTACCAAGCTTGCAAGAGTTTCTAAGATCTTGCCATGATATGTCACGTCGGACCTGTATTCGCACTGGCATTTGTTAGGAAGGACGTCTATCGTGAAGAAATCTACCCAAGACACCACTCATTCATTGTCCATATGTTGGATGTATCATGCTTTGGCTGCTAGAGATTAAAACCCTGCCAGCTATTGGCGTCAAGTAGTGCTGAATGATACCTTCGATTCCACTGACCACTGACAGTAAAATGGAAGCTAGCGGGTGAGCCATTGACGAATTATCCTGCCGCTTGAACATCATCAATTGATCCTGTAAAGTGTCGTTCGAAAAGAAGAATCGTTGAATACCACAACAAGTTGTTTGTTGTCGCAGTGACACTCAGGGAATGCAACAATGTTATCCTCAATCAATAAAATCAACTTCGTGCGTGAGTTTCGATGCGTGGTCATGTGTGACCATTAGACGTTTTCGTCTATGCTTGCGCTTCGTCGAATCAGGATGGATTGAAGGTCCCAACAGATCATAGCAATAAGGCTTTGTATGACCAACAAAAGTAAAGACGTTGTCAGAGCCAAGTTTTGGTGATTCACGGTCTCTTCAAACTGTCCGTTGTTAATCACTATACCAACTACATCGTCAAACAAAGCCCAACAACTCTTTTGAGTTCTCGATCGAGTAGTTTCAACTGTTTGGCACAAACTTCTATCGCACACAATTCACATAATGTAACAAGTTTTTGAATGAACGAAAGTGACTTCAATTTCAGTTTTCGCTCTTAGAAAGTTCCCCTACGATGCCAGAAAGACAAAAGGACTTGTGCTAGTGCGCGACTCCATTTGAAGCCACAGCAAACCCAGCACAATCTCCTCCTTCACGTACTAAACTTCAACTAATCAAAGCTCAGTTATTGGCCTTCTTCTGCTTAAGCTCACGCTCCTCCAAAATGTTTAGCTTCACGCCTTTGCCCTTTGGTAGAGATACCCACGGACGGGTTTCCTTGCCAACAACAAATACGTTGCCAAGACGAGTGGCAAAGTCGTTACCAGCCGAATCCTTCACGTGGGCAATGTTAAACGAACCCTGGTGTCTAAAGTTCACAATCAACAATACACACCAATGTCAGTTACCAACTTCAAAAAGCCAAACTGACATTGAGGCAGGACAACTATTGTCACCCCGCTCCAAACAGATGATGATGCAACCAATAGCTACCACCACACCCAGCTCATCATGAGTCGAAAAGGTGTGTTCCTACCTCTCAATGTGATGCAAAACACCAACACGACCAGTGTTTCGTCCACGAGTAATCGTTACGAGATTGCCAACCTCAAACTTGATGTGGTCTACGACCTTACCCGTTTCCAAATCAATCTTGACTGTGTCACCAACTTTAATGACTGGGTCAGGATAACGAATAGTACGACCATCATTGGTAGCAATGTATGGAATCGCCTTCTTAGTATACTCTTGACGAATAACCTTTGCAAGCTTAAACTTCTTCTCTTCATCCGAAATACGGTGCAACACAAAGCGGCCCTTTGTGTCATACATGAGACGGAACTGATCACCTGACTTGGGTATCTCAACCACATCCATAAAACCAGCTGGGAAATTCGGATCAACACGAACTTTTCCATCGACTTTCACGCTCTTTTGCATACAAATCATCGTCACCTCCTGCTTTGTAAGCGCGTATTTCAGACGATTGCGCAGGATAATAATCAGTGGCAAGCATTCACGCAACTTGTGCGGACCTGAAGATGGACGTGGTGCCCAAATCCCATCCAATTTCCCAAGCATCCAGTGCTTGGGTGCGCTCATGCGCTTAAGGTGCTTACGAGGTCCACGAGGCATACTTGTTGATTCGAGCGAAAAGGAGAACTAAACTACTGGTTGTCATTGCATTCCTTTTGTTGATAGGTTCCAAGTGATGGTGGGGGGATTATATGGGCCCATCTATAAATACCGCATATTGATATTTGTATCCTAGAAAATGAACTGATCTTTTCATTCCGATAATATAAGAAAATGTACTGCATTGGAGATTTTGCACGTCCAATGAATGATTAGAAAAAGGGACACTTTGGAGTTGGAGTACTTTATCCACTTTTCAGATATTCAGCTCGCTGCCTATTTAATTCAGCCTGAATTACTAGAATCGTTTAAACACCCATTATGCTTTTCAGCAATATGGACTCAATGGATATTCCAACGACGTTACTCACAACGTCTATATCATTTTGACTGCTACACATTGTTCACCATGTAGCAGATCGTCTTCTATATCAATCACTTGCATAGTCTGCTTGTCTGCAAGATTTAACTCATTCGTGACGCTAGAAATTGATTCAAAGTTGACCTGTACCCCAGGAAGAGTTTACTCAAAAACAAGGCCTGGGCACAATGAAGTGAGAGTGAATCCACAATTTGATGCACACCTTTTTGTTCGTTATACTTGACTCACGTGCTTGGCTCTGAATAAAGCTCTACCTGCATCATTTGTCGGAGGTTTATGGGCAACATGGAAAGCGATTTTTTGTGACAGAGCCCCGAGCATCAAACATCCTAAGATACTCAGCAATTGATTCTTCTAATCCTGACCGGTCGGTGATCGCAAGAACGCCGCTGATACTTTTCGGTTTTTCGGTCTGACATATACCTTCAGTCATCACTTACGCCTTTATCGATAGCGACGTGAAGTACCGACTGTCGATGGCAGTCACAGCTCCTCGTTGGTCAAGGCTTCAGCACATACGGTAAATTACTGTGATGTTTGACGTGATATATGTAACAAACTGGCTGGGTGATGATGAAATCATACAAGTGAAAAGCACAAGTTCCTAATCATTCGATAGTAACAATAATGCATAGTGACCATTCCCACTGTTTTGTCGACTTTGGTGCCTTTTCGCATTGACCTCGTATATATATCCATGTAGTACGATTACTACATAAATATACATTCGTATATTTCTACAGCTTCACTCTTTTTTCAAGTTTCAATCCCTGGTGGTATCTCAAAGCTCATGGCCGCCATGACATCGCTCTTGCTGCGTCCCTCGAAGCGCTTGCTACAATTCCAGCGCTCCGTACGACCTCCTGTGCCATTCCAGGTCCTATTTCTTCTCTTCCGTCGTGTTTTTTTGGCTTCAATCGCCTCAATATCGTTGTCAAAACGCCATTAACTGTTCGTATTGACAATACCGTTTGTTTTTGATTCTTTTGACTGGCAAGATGGCAGCGTTCAGCTCCCCCACTGGTAATACTAGTGCTGCTACAGGTCTTACATCGTTACAGAAAGCTTCGCTGGCTCTAGCTGCCATGTTTGGTGGCGGGTATGCTATCGGATACTTCTTTGGACCCTTCCCGTTTTTGGAAGACCTCATGGGAGTTAAAGCTATTGGAGGAGCTTCAAAGTATAAGGGAGAGGTAAGTAGAAGAAGCGTTTGTTACATTGTGTTGGTTTGCAAATAGTGGGTATATAACGTGTGACGATATTTTGCTTTGTTTGTTCTTTTTTGCAGCTGCTTGTGACGGACAAAGTGTTCTTTGACATTGGCATCAATGGTGATTATGTAGGCAAAATTGTGATGGGTCTGTATGGACAAGTACAACCTCGGACGGTAGAGAATTTCCGAGCATTGTGTACGGGAGAGAAGGGCGCGTCGCGTGCAGGACCACCTTTGTGGTACAAGGGTTCAAGCTTTCACCGCATCATTCCCGGATTCATGTATGTTGTGTTGTTTGAAGTGTGTGGTACTGCTTATACTGATGCCGACGTGTTTTTTTCTTTATTAGGATCCAGGGCGGTGACTTCACTCAGTTCAATGGCCGTGGTGGAGAATCTGTCTACGGACGTCGCTTTGATGACGAAGACCTGAGTGTGCCTCATGGAGGTCCTGGCACGTTGAGTATGGCGAACGCTGGCAAGAATTCTAACGGAAGCCAGTTCTTTATTTGCACGGGCGATACACCATGGCTGGATGGAAAGCACGTGGTTTTTGGACGAGTGCTGGAGGGTATGGATGTTGTAGACATTGTATCGAGCTGCGGACGACGCTCTGGCAAGCCCAAGGCTGAAGTCAAGATCATCAATTGTGGTATATTGGATGCGAACACTGCTACCGAAGGCGGTGCAGGCGAAAAGAAGCCGCGACGAATGACGCGGGAAGAAATGCTGGATCGTCTCGACTCGTTGCGTGAGGTGGAGGGTAATTTCTTGGCTCAGAAGGAGCAGATTGATTCCACCATGTATAAACAGTTGATGGTAGAGATTAAACATGAGAAGCTGCGTATAAAGAAGGAGCTGCAGGAACCACAGCAAGAAGAGCAAGCTATTTCAGACAAGGAATCTTAATGGCACAAAGGGAAACTGAGCAACAAAGAAGGCGCCACATTACAAAATCAAGTTTCTTGTTGAGTGGTGTTTCTGCTTGTTGGGCTGTGTCCAGGGCCCAACCAACTCACACCAGAGCGTAGTAACCATTCAATTCTGTCTTGAACCCAAGCTGTCACTATTTCCGCTCGACGTCTCAATGACCGTCATCTACCCTTCGCTACTTGCGGTTAGCAAAGTCGTCTCGAAGCGCAATGATTCGGTTCTGTGATCAAACAACTCAAAACTCATGATGACATGTCAGCATGCTTGTTCCCTGGCAACTCAGCCAGTACCCGATGACCGCACGTGTAGAACGTTTGATGAAACTTTGCTGAGCGTTTCAAGCACTAGATTTCCAGCTAAATGCGTCAAGTTTCAAATTTGACTTCGACATAGAAATACAGAAATACATGTTACGTGCTTACATGTTTGACAAATGTATTTTCAACGATGTAAAGGTGCTACGCAATAAAAAGTCGACGGGTTCCAAGTAGTTGAATTTTCAGACCACTAGAAGTGTAAAACTTCAACATATCTAGATTGGCTGGGCGTTTGTTTGTAATGCAACAAACACCTGGATCAAAATCGAGTGAGTACAAGATGACACATTTTCCGTCGCATCAAGAATCCTGAAACAAGCAAATGCCGGAATTGGAGAGTGAAACTTGTTGCTGCTTTCAAAAGAAAACTCAAAACGGCTTTAATTGAATGCAAATGTACGTTCATCTAGAACCCCAAGGCTAACTACTGTGCATACCAACAACTTGATTCAATCACTCAACCACCTTATTTTTCTTTGGACGATGGTTTTTCAGCTGTCAGAGGAATAATCGCCTTGTACACCTGCCACGACACTATGCCCTTGATTTGACGAATACCAAGCCAGTACCAGCGAAGCAAGCACTTCTGCTTGCACGACGAATAGTCGATTATGTGGTCCTTGCCAGGATACTGCGTGTGGCAATCCTCACCGTCCAGCACCAGCTTTTTGTTTAGGTATACTGCACACGGTCCATTGTGCGTGTAACCCGTGGTGCGAAAAATGCGCTTTGACGGAATTGGCCGCGGGGTGCCCTCGGGGTCGGTGAGCCGCTGTAAAGTCGGCACCCTTGGTCACATTGTACTTGGCTTTGTCGAAGAATGCACGGAGCGTGCCGTATGTTTTCTGTGCTTCCGAACCGGCAAAGGTTAAGCTCGTTTTAAATCCCTGGTTCTCGAGAAACGCAAGCGGATTGTACCTGGTGTCCTTGTCGTCTGTCGTCCAAACCGGGCAGCGGGTTCAGCACAATTTGATGGGCAAGAGCAGCGGGGGCTAGTAGAGCCATGCTGCAGTGGGCCGACGCTGCGGCGAGAGTTGGCAGAACCGAGTGAACCATGAGCACTCGTTAGGAATGTCGTGTGCGTGTTGGCTGGTTCTTGGTAAATAAGGAACTGACAACTGCTGGCTGAACAGATTCGACCTATGCCATTCACTAAGACATATTGTCGCCAAAGTTGCGATAGAAAGTGTGCTGGTAGCACGTAAGTCTTGCATTGCTTGTCCGCGTAGACTAGCGACGTAAGACTTCAGCCGAAAATATGGATCAATGTATACCATTTCGTCGATTTTACGAAGCAGTGGATCTACTGCTGGGAAAACCACACGGAAAGTTGGACTCTATCCCTGCTAATAACCTGGTTGACCAACGTGATATTGCTAGGTATCCGCGATGTCATCTAGTTTGAATGAAGATAGGAGGAACATGTGGAATGAAACTTGAATGACCTGTTTAGTGAGATTCTTATGACACTTAAGTACACACTGTTCAATGCAAAGATAAAACTCAATGCTTCTTTGTAAAGTTTACCACGAATCAAACGCACAGCTTTTCGTACTCACTAGTAGAGAATCATGTATCAATATCAACAATGGCGGCCTTGTTTGGTTTTGGTTTGCTTAGGTTTGTTTTAGGTTTGCATTACTTACACATGTAAAGGCATTGATAGTTGATACTGAGCGACCGACATGTAAAGCTTCCTTGGCCAAGTATTTTGCACATCTGGGGCGAGTGTTGAAAAGGTGTCGTTCCCTTATCACGGTAGGGGACTAAACTTAGTCTTATAAAAGTAATAGGAAGAACTTAGTGGTACACGTGTAAGGGGTAATAGACCCGTCATGGCGGAGATGTGGTTACTGGACGACATAGAAGTGTGTTAAAGGAGTGTGGTGGAACACTATTAAAGTTAAGCTTTTAGTCACATGTACAATGTATTGAACATCTATATACATATCCATATTCTTTGCATAATTCACCGAATCTTTGGTGAAGTTGTATGGAGCTAAACGCTATCCCAAAAGCTGCAAGAGATTTATCAAGAAATTCGATATCTCCAGAGTAGCTATGAACTGTAACACACTCGATTCGAGACCTTACTGTCCTTTCTTATCAGAGTTAAACAATAGTGGCGAGCTCCGAGTAGCCCCCCCCCTCCTTGCTGTCAGTAATGCAATTGACAGCGATAAAACGTGTGGAGAGGCGGTTGAGCTCAATCAAGTCGATGCTTTGACACAAACGTCAGTCATTGGCTTTTGACAATACTTGGCGCACGTCTTTTGCTTGTACGCCATCGACGAGATGACGTTCCCGTTTTAACTGCATGGCCTTTGTCCAAAGTGCGCGCAAAAACACTCAACCTATTCTTGGTCTGGTCATCGGATATCTACCACATGTACTGATGATAGTTCTATACGATTAGACAGTGGGGACTCTGAACAGCAATATTGTCCAGAGTCTTTATGATTTGAGCGGTGACTTTGCCGCTGTGGTGGAGAATCTGTCTACGGACGCCGCTTTGATGACGAAGACTGACTGTGCCTCATGGAGATTCTGGCACGTTGAGTATGACGAATGCTGGCAAGATTACTAACGGGAGCCAGTTCTTTATGTGTACAGGAGTAATACACCATGGGTGGATGGAAAACACGTGGTTTTTCGACGAGTGCTGGAGGGTATGGATGCTGTAGACATTGTCTCGAGCTGAAGACGACGCTCTGGTATACCCGAGGCTGAAGTCAAGATCATCAATTGTGGTATATTGGATGCAAACACGGCTAACGAACAGAGAGGTCTAGGCTTTATTATAACGATCAAAAATTAGACCAATGCTGCACTGCGTCATCTTCTGTCGCGGACCATAATGGTCCGGTACATGGTGATACTGACCTTTGTAAGCATTTAATTGGACCATGGCGTGCTTATTGAATACAGAGTACAACATCTTTATGGATCGGCGGGCTGAGCACAATAACGAGCTTTGAACGGAGCTTGCGAGTGGCGCTACACCTTATTGCATAAGAGTCTCATTGCCAAAGCGGTGTTTGAGAAGCACAAGATGGCGAAGACTTTGCACTTGTGAGCGCACTTTTGACGGCAAAGACTTTGCACTTGTAAACGCACCTATGACGTCAATCAAGTACGAGCATTTCTTTTTTCATGAAGAAAGCTTTTTTTGTCAGGCTTTCTTGCAAAGTTGTGGCCTCAGGTACGTCAACACTTTGAGTGACTTACGTTTGCATTTTGATAGAATGCAAGTTGAAAACTTGTAGATGTGAATGAATACAGTTTATGGGTTACCTGCAACTGCTAGCAGAGGCAGCATGAATCAAAACATGAAGGAGGCGCTACATTGAGCGTATGATCCCTTTTCAGTCAAAAAGGGTGAACGTCACTGCATTTAAACAGCAATCTTCAGTGATAAGCGTTTGACAGAACAGTCATCAATCTTTCTATCGATGCATCGCCGCTTCAAACTTACGTTACGTTAGTAATTAACACCATCAAAAGACCTTTCCACTCACATCAACAAAGTCATATTTCAGTTAACTCATTAAGGCAACGAATGGGCAGTGATAGGACAAGAATCTGGACAATATTGCTGTCCAGAGCCTCCTCTCATCACTGTCTAATCGTATAGAACTATCATCAGTACGGATATCCGATGACCAGACCAAGAATAGGTTGAGTGTTGTTGCGCGCACTTTGGACAAAGGCCATGCAGTTAAAACGGGAACGTCATCTCGTCGATGGCGTACAAGCAAAAGACGTGCGCCAAGTATTGTCAAAAGCCAATGACTGACGTTTGTGTCAAAGCGTCGACTTGATTGAGCTCAACCGCCTCTCCACACGTTTTATGACTGTCAATTGCATTACTGACAGCAAGGAGGGGGGGACTACTCGGAGCTCGACCATAAAACATCTCAACACCACTATTGTTTAACTCTGATAAGAAAGGACAGTAAGGTCTCGAATCGAGTGTGTTACAGTTCATAGCTACTCTGGAGATATCGAATTTCTTGATAAATCTCTTGCAGCTTTTGAGATAGCGTTTAGCTCCATACAACTTCACCAAAAGACCAAAGATTCGGCAAAGAATAAGGATATGTATATAGATGTTCAATACATTGTACATGTGACTGAAAGCTTAACTTTGACACTTTTTATTCGAATCAAGATAGGAACATGTGGAATTAAACTTGAATGACCTGTTTGTGAGATTCTTATGACATGGTTATCCATAAGTACACACTGTTCAATGCAAAGATAAAACTCAATGCTTCTTTGTAAAGTTTACCACAAATTGAACGCACAGCTTTTCGTACACACTAGTAGAGAATCATGTATCAATATCAACAATGGCGGCCTTGTTTGGTTTCGGTTTGTTTAGGTTTGTTTTAGGTTTGCATTACTTACACGTGTAAAGGAGTGAGCGACGTGTAAAGCTCTCCTGGCCAAGTATTTTGCACATCAAGAGCGAAAGTTGAAAGAGTGTTGTCCCCTTTCTCTATTGCAACGTTGACGACAGTGTGTCGCTTTGAATAGCAAAGGTCAAATTTGTTCGACCAGCAGTTGTCAGTTCCTTATTTACCAAGAACCAGCCAACACGCACACGACATTCTCAACGAGTTCTCATGGTTTACTTGGTCCTGCCAACTCTCGCCGCAGCGTCGGTCCTTTGCATCATGGCTCTACTAGCCCCCACTGCTCTTGCCCATCAAATTGTGCTGGATCCGCCGCCCTGTTGGACGACAAACGACAAGGACACCAGGTACAATCCGCTTGCGTTTCTCGAGAACCAGGGATTTAAAACGAGCTTAACCTTTGCCGGTTCGGAAGCACAGAAAACATACGGCACGCTCCGTGAATTCCTCGACAAAGCCAAGTACAATGTGGCCAAGGGTGCCAACTTTAGCAGCGGCTTCACCGACGCCGAGGGCACCCCGCGGCCAATTCCGTCAAAGGGCATTTTTCGCACCACGGGTTACACGCACAATGGACCGTGTGCAGTATACCTAAACAAAAAGCTGGTGCTGGACGGTGAGGATTGCCACACGCAGTATCCTGGCAAGGACCACATAATCGACTATTCGTCGTGCGGGCAAAAGTGCTTGCTTCGCTGGTACTGGCTTGGTATTCGTCAAATCAAGGACAAAGTGTCGTGGCAGGTGTACAAGGCGATTATTCCTCTGACGGCTGAAAAACCATCGTCAAAAGAAAAATAAGGTGGTTGAGTGATTGAATCAAGTTGTTGGTATGCACAGTAGTTAGCCTTGGGGTTCTAGATGAACGTACATTTGCATTCAATTAAAGCCGTTTTTGAGTCGAACTCAACAACAAGTGACGGTTTGGTACAAAAAGTGACAGTAACAATAATATCTACCCGCAAAAGTGTGATATTCTGTATGCCTTTATCATGTTTCACAATATATCAACTATGAAGAGATCCCTTTATGCTGTATATTCTTTTTTTTCTGTCGTCAAGATAATACACTAACTTCTGTCCGTCCTCTCACTTATAACAACCAAGATAATTTCTGATTCCTCACTCCAATGGAACAAGAATCTCCTCCATCTTCTTCTTCTTCTTCTTTTTCCACTGCGCTGCACTTGTCCAAGCGCTCACGGAATTCTACAAGTCCATCATGTAATGAAAAGAAACGTAAACTGTCTTGTATTGATGGTATCATGCCGCCAATACGTATTGTAATGGAGAAAATACCGAACGAGAACGATCCATCATTTGTCCAAGCTCTAGATGGTTTAAAAAAAAGAAAAAATGATACTTTGTAAACGGTTTCGAGAGGTTTCTCAGAATCTGAGACCATTTGATTTGATTTGTCTTTTGAAACGAGAAGAGTCTAAGGATATAAGGAATACGGTACTACCGTTTCAACCATTAATGGTCGAGATGGATACATTATTACACCAGTATGAGCTCTTTTCACGCAAAATCGTGTCCTGGAGTCATGAGTTTGTGCAGCAAATGGAGAAGCAAGAGGTCGAGAAGGTCGTAAATGATGTGATAATGAATGTCGAAGTCCGGACGTTTCAAGATGAGTTGAAAACAGCACAAATGGAGCTCCAATGGGCTTTTTGGTTCAAAAAAGATGCAAATAATTGCGTCCAAAAGCTGTTTAAGGACATACAGGAGACGGAGATGTTTGAAAGCATGGAGAAGCAGTTGATGAACGATCGAGTGGTCGAATTGGAGACACAATTGGCTCAAAAACGAGCTGTGGAGAAAGAAAAAGAGATGGAATTATCGACATTACGAGCGCATCAGGAACAGCTCATGGAATCAGGTTGTATGAAGTTTCATCCTGAAGAAGAGATCAAGACGTTAATTGCCGAGAAAAAAGCGATGGATGTGGAAGTAGAGCAATTGAAGGAGAGAGTTAAACAACAAACACAAGAATTGACGTATGTCGAGAAAGAGCGTGCAGATTTGAAAGCAGAGACTCAGAAACTGGTGCAAGAGGCGCGTCAGCTGCGTGAAGAACAAGAGACGAGAGAGTATCAGGCTATGATACAGCAGAATGCAAAGCAGGAAGAAGAAATTAAGAAATTACAAGCAATGTTAGAGGATGCTAAAACCACCGAGGCAAAAACCATTGGAGCGTTGGAAATGGCAGAAAAAGTAAGGGAGAAAAACACACAGCACAAGGAGGAGCTCAAGATTTTGTACGCCAAATTCAGCTCGGCTATGGATTCAGTGTCCGAGAAGACAGTGCGGCTAGAGGAGCTAGAGCAGACGGTGAAAGATTCAGAGAGTATTCGAAAACAAAACAAACTGTTTGAGAAGCAGGTTGCCCAGCTACAGCAGGAAAAGGCAGAATTGTCAGCTGCTCGATATCGCGAAAAAGAGGATATGAGCGAGGAGCTGGTTATAGTGCAACAGCAACTTACGGAGATGAATGAATTGGCATCCCAGCAGAAGAAATTAGCTAGTAAATTGCAGTCTGAGATCACGGAGCTGAAGGACGAAAACGAAGCTTTGAAGCAACAAGTCAAGCAGGAGGATCAGAGCGTTGGTCAATCGTCCAAGGATAATGACGAGGGAAACACTGACATTGATAACGATTTGGTGGTCCAAGTTGCTGAAAAAGAAGCGTTGCAGATGTTTGTGCAACGATACTATGCTGCCGCAGAAGAAAAGTGCCGCAGACTGCTCGAGAAAGTCAGTGAGCTGGAGTTGCAATGCAAGCGGACGCAAGAACAGACCAAAGAGTCATGCAGCTTATTGCGCATGTGCACCCAGGTTGACGCGTGCGACGAGTCTCTTCGCGCTTCGCTACATGACGTTATGGCCAGGTTGGACAGTTTGACGTGATGCAGATCTACTTGGCTTGCTGCTGTAAAAATGACTGCTTCACTGGTTGATGGGTAGGTGCTTGGAAAGCGTCTTTGAGCAATTTTATTGATTCTGAACACCAGATTCGGCAGCAGCATTCAAAATGATCCAAAAATATGGCATGATTGCCTTAGTGTCGCTATGGACAGCGTCGTCTCGAACAGAGCCGCCCGAGGACTGAGTGCTATGTTGCTGGTGGTACATATGTCTCAATCGTCTTAAGCTTAGCCGGCAGTAGTTGTCTGGGGGCTGACATGTTGAGATGGGCTTGCAGATGGTATACGTATTGAAAGATGTGCATAATGATGAAAAGGCTAATGACATGTAGCTCTTATATCCATTGCACTTAGAAAGCTTGGTTTGGTCAAGATTATGTAGCAAGATTGGCGTGACCACACTGTTCAATTGGAAATGAAATGGTGTATCGTTATAAAGCTTTTATGTAGACAAGCGGAGCTATAGTTGATTGGCACTGCTTGCAAGACGCTGAGCGAGCTCGAGTAGAGAACAAGCAGCTACGGTAGCTCATGAGACTGAGATACCCAACATCAGCTATATCCTGACGGTTGAAATGTCAAATTCTTCAGGTTTAACTCAACACGCTTCAAGAGGAGCTAAGAAGTGTCAACAAGCTGGAAGTATTCTTGAACAACTTTTTGGCTGCACTACACACCAAAATTTGGTGAGAATAGGGAGCTTCAGAAATTTGCTTCATCATCTCGTCAACTTTGTGGTCGATTGAACGCTTTCTATCGCTTGAGTCACTTGATCAGTTCTGCTGAAAAGTAGTCACACGTCATCCGAATGGGCCCGGGTGAGTCCACGCTGTACACTTTCTCTGCCCACATTCGCCATAGAGCGATATCCAACGGATCGTGATCGCGCAAAAGCGTACGGGTTGCTTCCTTGTGGCAATGGGGAAATACCCAAGCGGGGCGCCGAACGTTGAACGAAATGCGTGTTAAAAACAGTCGAGTCATTGACAGTGGGCTCGTTTTGTATAACAAAATGCTCGTAGGCAGACATGCCATTGCGCCTCGAAAACGGGTCAAATCCAGCAGAAGACGTGCCAAACATCGACACACGCAGTGGCGGCGGTGGCATGGGGAGGTTCTCAGCTGCTAGAATCTCGCCAAGTCTGTCGTAGTTTGCCGAATGGTGTTTGACAACGCTCCTGCCAAGCGCCAAACGACAACCTTCGAGACGCCTGTCGGATAACGATTGTATTGAGTCACGATTCATAGAGCAGGCAGCAGCCACAAGGTCGCTCGTTGTGCTGATCTCTTGTGAAAGTGATTCAGCTAGCTTCTGGTTCAAGAGTGCCATCCGAGTCACAATATTTGCCAAAGCGATGGAAGGATGGATGATAAGTGCTCCCAGCTCTCTCAGTTCCTTGCTGTAAATGCAGTCTGGGACAACTGCAGTCATGCGTGGATATGTTTCGCCCAATAGTGCCCTCAAGGTTCGGACATACTCCAGCGTACGCATGCCGTCACCAGTGAAAATCAACACATCTGCTGACGACATTTCCTGCATGTGCTCTTCGCGCTCGTGCTCCCTTACTTTATCCTTGTACTGGATCAATTCATCCTTGGCTGACCGCTGCAGGATGGTTTCATTGATATTTTGCCACTTGCCGGCCTGTTCCTTATCTAGCAGAGGCACGTTTACTTGAGCTCCGTATAAGGACAACTCCAACGCAGTTTCAAAGGCCACCTCGTCCTCTCCAATGATCACAGCGCTTTTGACTACGTGAAATGGGAGCAATGTACGTCGATCATCTTGCGTACGACGGACGTTATCTGTGGTATCCAAACCATCCACATTTTGTTCAGCTTGCTGACGTTCGTCAGCGCCTCGATCGTACATACTCTCGCCTGCATGACGAAGTCCAAGAGCACACAATACTGGACCAATAATTTGATTCACCACCACAGCCGCTATGATTGTTGCTGCAAACTCTCCAGCCCAAGGATCTGAGCTGAATGACTTCATCTCATCAGCAAGACCTAGTGCGACACCAGCTTGGGGAGTCAATGTAAGCCAGAGATTGTTGTATTGTCTTGGTGAAAGCCGAAGCAAGAAGCGCCCACCGAAGTAACAAGCAATGAAAACTGCAACAAAGCGCAGACAAACATACAAGCTCATAAGAGGAAGTACCCTCACTACCATGTCCAACTCGAGTGCTGCTCCAGTCATCACGAAAAAAGGCAGAAACATGTATGGTGCCACGGTATCCAGGATCACGTGCATATCGTGACGAATCAAAGAATAGTGGCCAGCAAGACAAGAAGCGACCATCAGCACTAGCAAGGGCTCAAATCTGACCTCCCACAAAGCTCCGTATGAAGCAATAGTAGCCTCAGCCAATATCGTATTGGCGATGTAGAGCATGTAGCCGAGCGTCAACCACAAAAATCCTTTCACGTATAAAGACACGTTTGTCGTCCAAAAGTGGTGTTGCGTTCGAGGTTTGCGGTCTCCGTCCGTTTCTTCCACGTAGGCATTGTGTGGGTGTGGCATCATGCCTGGGTCCTGTGAAGTTTCCAAACTCGAATTCGACGATGTCGTCACCATTGAGTCCTGTAAATCTAAATGTTCATCAGCAGTACTGCCTGGGATCTCAAAAACCAAGATGATGACAAGTCCAATCACAACACCTGCTACAAGGTTTAACGCCACAATTGACAGCGTGAAGACAATATTCGTTAGTGAGACTTGTAGGTCGGTACAATAGATGGAGCTGATAAGCCGTGAAATCGAGAAGGACACGAGCACGATAAATTCTGCCAGCATGGTCGTCCCTAGCATGAGATTCGTGAAAGCTCCGACACTATTGAGTTCAATTTTGATAGCCATGACGGTTGTAGGAGAGCCAAGCACCGAGATGGATCCAAACATGAGTGCGATCCCCACTTGGCAATTCGTGACAAAATCGTCATAGAAGAAGGCGTTATTAGCAAACAAGTGCACGCTTACGAGAGCCACCATTGCCGTGACGTAGAGACAACTGAGTAAGATGAAGATTTGTTTCAATTGTGGTCTCAGCTCTGGTAAATAAATCTCTTGTCCCGCTTGAAATGAGATGAACGATAAGGCCAGCGCACTCACATACGTCGACAACATTTCAACGAGTGCTTGAGGTAGTAAATTGGTAACAAACGGTCCTGCAATGATCCCGATCACTAGGTACCCAGTGATCAATGGTAACTTGAAGTACTTGGGGAAGAAGAGACCCAAGGGATGGGCAGCCACGAGAACCACAATGAAAACCAAGCCATACTGCAGCGTGTCAATCGTGTTGTTCCACGAGTTGAAAGGCACCGTAGCATCTGCATCACTTGCTGTCATAACTGGAGCCAATACACGATACTCTTGAAATTTGATTGAGAAAAGGAGTTAACTGCGCGTCGTTAACAACTGCGACAAGAACAAAAGAACATTATTTGAAACAAATGAACTATCAACAACCTCATTAATCATAGCGACAGAATTGATCCTAAAGCACACCATATCACTAGAAACTTCGTATCTAAAGGCCACAGACAGACGTGTCAGTTACTAAATATTTCTCCAATTCAAGAGGAAAATAGAAGCTGTCTTCACTCACATTTTTCAGCTTTCTTAACATACACACGTACATCATATACCGGCAGGCGTCAACTATGTGATCTTAGGCTTGCTAGCAATATGAATCCGTTACAGTCATGTTCTTCAAAATGCACCACTAAGCTTCGAATCGACCGACCTTGATCACCTCAGTAACTCTCTCCATCGCAGCTCATTCACATGACACTGCTTTTTGTTTTTGCTCTGTCAGCGTGGAATAGCGATGATGCGAGCCATACCACGGTGGACCTGAGCCTCGAGGTATGGGCCTTCCACCAACTCACCATCAACGCACATGAGGTCATTGGACCGCTCCGGAAAAAGCTTGAAAGCCCGTGTGCGCACCTGCTGCACGCCTTTCTTTTCCATGTGGTCACCAGTCTCAATCGCAAGCATCATAGCTAACAAGTCCTTGCGTCGGTGTGAGCCATCCATGAAGACAATGTAGTTGTAGCCATCATCAAACTGTGCGCTTGGAGCAACGTGGGCGTCGGAAGCCGCATGCGATACGTTCATCACCCACACGATGCGGAAATGACCGCTCAGCTCCTTCCACTTTCCACCTTGACCTGCTTTCTTATCCGTCTTTTCTTCATTCAATTGCACCTCTTCATTTTTCAAGTCCTTTGACTCAGGCGGGCCTTGACCTTCTCCATCAAACAAGTCCATCTTGGGACGATCCGTGGACTTGGAGTCGTGCGTTTCAAAGTAGCGGGGTGGAGTCTCGTTCTCATCTTCAAGATACCAGATTTTGCCCGGGTACTCGGGCCTTTGGAACAAGAGTTGGTTAATGAATGCAACCGTGAATCGCAGCCCGCCCAGCATGCGCAGTTTCTCGGATCCAATATCAACATCAGCGATAGATGCCCACTCGAGCGACAAAAACGAGTACTTTGTCTCCTTTCCGTTGCGCACAGAGGTAATATCCAGTTCTTGGGGCACACCCTTGGCCAGAATATATGCAGCATTTACTGGTTTGCCTTTTTCATCACTTTGATGAGCAATTGAGTGCGCCAGACCATTGCCTGATCCACCAGGAATGACACCAATAGGCTGTCGAATTGCACAATTCCAATCTGCTCGCTTCATTAGTCCCTGTACAACTACAACACAAAAACAACACCGTAAGATTCTCCATCATTCCATTGGCCATGTCACTGCTCATACATACTCTCGTATAAACTCCCATCTCCACCAACAGCAACGACACAATCGTAAACATTCAATGGTAGGTCCATCACAATGTCCATTGCATGATTTGCACGTTCCATGATCTTGACCTCTGTCTCGACATTAGCAAATTGCAACACTGGTGCGACCCTTGATTCATATATCTGCAATGCACGTCCTACAAATAGTCCAGCATTGAATCAAACAAACCACATCAGTTTATGACAAATCCTTCTCCACCCTCCACCACTTAATTTCATCGTCATCGTCGTCGTCTCTCTCTTCCTTCCTCTTACCTGGTCCACTAACAGGATTCACCAATACTAAAAACTTGCGTCGTGCTTGCTCGATCACGTCCAGATCGTCCAATGTCTTGACTTGTTGCACCGTTGCTTGGTTTCGAGGATCTGCCACAAAGTTAATCGTCCGCTGTAGCTGAAGCACCTGGTGGAGCTGTTTTCCATCAAATTTAAAAAAGAATTCACTGGTTTTTCGTTTCTTTAATGTCTTGGGTCTGTGATTCAAGCAAACACAAGCATATAAACCCAACAGGAACGACGTCTTGTGCTCTGCTGATTTTTGTGGATCAATAGTATCCCCTGGTGTTTTCACAGGTTCTCCATCAGCTGTAAGCACGTGAGCACCGAGTACATCACTCCATGGAAACTTAAGCATCTGTTTCTGATTAGTATGAACTGATTTCACCACACAATACGACGGTGTGAGGTGAAAACGAACGGGTTCATAGCTATCAACAGACCAAAAGGACTGAACCACTTGATCGAGCTGTAACTCAGCTAATACTGTAGTGAGACACGTGAGATTTTCACGAGGTATAGAAGACATGGTGATACTAGGCTCGACAATAGGAGCAGTGCTAGAATGAGCTGCAGCCATCGTCGGAGTCTCTGACATGGACACAATGAGATATCTTCCTGTTTCGAGGAAGCTTTCAAACTGACCATGGATTTTTCTCTGGCGTTATTGAGATATTACTGTATAATATAATAACCTGTAATCATAGATAGTACGTATGATATCAGTAAATACAGGATACGTACTTATCTATCCATATTAACATTTGGAACAAGGTCAAATATGGACAAATGAACGTACTTAACATGTCTCTAGGACGTAATGCAGCGTGTGTGCAGTTGTATCGATGCGGCCAATTGCACCTTGCGTGCGTATGAGTTGCGACCAATGATTTTTGCCATCTATATGTGACAATGACACATCGTCGTTGATTTTCTTGAAGTGCCTCGTATATTTTATACTTTTTGGTGTCAAATTGTGTAAAGAGAAAACTATTCAGTGTACTGTTGATTCAGTCTATCCGGATGAGAGACCAAAAAACAAACAGTCCAAGAAAGCGGATTAGTATATTTCTGCTTTGCCACTTTTTTTGTCTTGTCGCTTCAATCACAAGTGTAGGTAGCCGCCACTTATATAAATTACAGCTGTAAACTTAATCAAGGAATCTCTATAAATTATAGCAAAACCTACCAATTAGCCTTCGCTTTCTCTTCATTAATGATGAAGTAACAATTGATGGTCTTAGTAAGCAGAAACCTTCATTCTTCATTTTGCCTTGACCTGAATTTTAGTACCTCTTCAGTCTAATAGTAATACAATCAGTCCATCTTTGATAATGAATATCAGTTGTCACGCTCCACTTCTTGCTACAATTAACACATTTGGCGTCGTCAAAGTGCCGAAACATCTTCGTAGCCATCTCTTATCCTAATAGCAAACACAAAAGTGATAATTACCTTGACTTTACTATTGCAGTAGCAAGAGGCTACATCATTGTAAGGAGGTTACCATCATTCTTGGTCTATAGCACAATCATCTGTAGGTAGAACCAGATTATAGCGACTGCAGTATCTCTCACTCTTCAATCTACTTTGTCCTGTGTAGATCACGTGTGTTACGTTAATTGATTAGTTACAATCAGAGTACCTATCTATCTATCTATCTATCGTATTCGATCATGGTCCAGTCCTCGAACGCGTTCTCCTCGACATCGTCGACGTCTGCAAACAGTGGCAGGTTTCACTGCGACTGCATAGAGCAATTCTGGCAGTTCATTTGCAGTTGCTGTCTCGAGGCACATCATGGAGCAGTACCACCAACAGATTCAGCCAAGACTTCGTCTCCTGCTCTCTCGTGTTTCTTACAATCATGGCGAAAACGTATCGACGCCATGGACAACAATGAGCCACAAAGCGACAGATGCAGAGGTTACAGCTACCCCTTTTATCATTGGAGACCGTGCTCAGGTTATTCCGCGAGTGATGCGTCATTGTCTCTCGTGTCCATATTTCGTCCTCCTCGGATATTGCATCCGAGACTGGAACGACAACAGGCTACTGTGTGTATATTCTCTGACATCTGGAGCAGCTTTACGTCGTCGTCACAGGAAATTTACGCCAAGCCAAGGCACAATCAACACTTTTCTTCAGATAGCAGCTATAGTGATGTCACGTGATTACGGAATGCCATTGTCAGAGTAGAGTAATCGGCAACCGTCGCCCAATATGTAGCGACAGAGATTTTTATTTCACTGGAAGTGATGGTTTAGTACAACACGTCGCATTTTCGTTCTTTATCTCTTGTCTTTACTAACCGTAACAGCATGACGTTATTAGTTTCTCGGTGTGCATAAGGTATCATTAATACGGAAGATTCTACACTGCCAAAGTCAAGATGTAACGTAGCATTTCACCAACACAGATCATTCTCATGGAGTATATATGTTTCGATAGAAGAATTTGAGGCAACACTACATGTTGGCATAAGGATACATACATCTTGCCGTTTGTATAGTTCTTGTTTGTGTAACTTTATTTCATGCCGGAAATAGAGGCGGGCGGGTGATGCTATTATTGAATGGTTTAGAGTGCATTGTATTGCCGCTATGACGTTGAAGTTGATTTGTCAACGCGCTATTGATTGGGCCGCATCTGATAGATGGGCTATGATTCGTCGAATATAAATTTAGCTTGGTTTTAGTGCCAAAACCTGATTTAGTGCAAGGAATTAGCTTCATGTTTTTATTAAGTAAATATGTACACAATTTTAGAAAAGAGAATTAAAATGGGCAATTTTGGTATAGAGAAAATAGATCGTATCATTACAGTTGATGAGTCATCCAAAATTTAAAGGAACGTCGAGGGGCGAAGAACAAGATAACGAATTAGCTTGCAATATTACTAACAGTTCATGGTCGTTGACTCTTGATGATCCACTTTCGTTTTGGAGTGGCGAGCTGTCTCTTGCCAGCTTGACAGCATCTAGTTTCAACGAATCACCGTTAACGAATGATTTTTGGGCCATGGTTGAGGAGCCACGTAGTCAAACATCAATGTAGAACTTGTGAGCTGTACACGGCTAAGCAGCATGTAGACCACTGCCTCAAAGTTGCATTGCGTCATCTTCGTAAAGGGACCAGCTTCATGATTGGTTCATGTTAGTTGAAGTTGAACACTCCAAACTTCGACGGTTTCACACAAAAGTGTGCGTGTCACAGAAGTCTACTTAATGCTGTATATCGTCGAAACACACAGTATCTTGCAATATAGCGCACCATCGTGTCAGGTGTTAGAAAACGACACAGCTGATGTTTGTAAACAGATAGTAATTGTATATGTGTATGACATCGATGACGTGATATGCAACACAAGTAATGAACGTGTTCATCGTGCCAAGCTCGAATAGACCTAGCTAACCATTTTTGTTTAGTCTAAGATGTGTAATACTGCTGCAACCACGAATGACAACCGACAAGTAATTTTTGATTTTCTGCGACAAGTTGCCGCATGATCCTCTCAAGTCGTTTAAGACAGATCGTCTTTTCTCTCGTTCATTTAAAAATTTACGCCATGCAGCCTTTCTGACCAAGTAAATGAGTAATCACTGTCCTTTCGTAAGGTGCTGATCGAAGGAGAGGAGACCGAGGATAGCAGCTTGAAGTAACAAACAGGATGTACTTAAAAATAGATACATTCCCAAGATCATGCGATGCAAAGATTTGCTAGCAAATCTCTGCCTTGTGTGTCTATGTAGCCAAGTTGAAACCATACAAAATTTATGCGGTCGTTTGGACGTTATGTTCGTTCATCCTATTCGTTAGAGACGTCATGTTGGCCGTTTGCCGCAATTGCGTGCTCGGCTGACCCAACGCAGTTAAGAAACTGGTGGTGGTTCCCTTATTGAACCTGATCAGCATCCAACAGATACCGTCTGGGTGCGGCAATATTCGTGCCGACGTGCACTCCACTCATTATTCTCACCAGCCGCTTCAGAAAGTGATTGAAACGTACCAATGACACCAACACCACTGCTTGTCGTTACAACGTAGATAGATTTGAATCAAAAGGTATTTGCACACGGATTGAATAAAAATTTCCCAGCTGGGGATGCATGTACCTTTACTACTTTGTATATACTAAGGTGGGAAAAGCTCCCCATGCCAGGATAGACTCATCTGGCAAACTAGGTCTCTCCCATCGAGAAGAACAAAAGTTTTGTTTTACATGTAGATAGTCGCTCAGCCGGCTGCTGGTCGCAGCTGGACGACATCACCCGTTGAAACCAACACAGACGTATCCTAGCATGGTTTTAACGCTTGATGGTCTCTACTTTGAGCTCCGAACGTCTGAAGTTTGGATGTCGAGAAAAGCTCGAGTCCACCTCGGTTCATTTTCAAACTTGCACCTTGACAACCACAAGCTTTTCAAAGCCACTGCAATAACTCTGTCCTACATAAACGACTTTGCTCTCTCTCTCTTCTCTCTTCTCCACGATGGTAATACACAATTTTTTGTTTCAAGGTGCTACAATGGTGACGATCCTGGGTCTTTCCATTGCCGAGACGACCGACAATAACACGCAAATCACAAGGACGCCAAGTGGTTCTGGGAGAACGAAGAAGACCCGGCGTATGCTGCCGACACTGGGTTCTTTGCGGACTTTCGACCAAATGATGCAAACCGAACGTGCTCCAGTGATAAGCACGCAACTCCTTTTGACAAGCAAGTGCGTGGTGCCAATCTCGGTGGTTGGCTAGTGCTTGAGCCTTGGATCACACCTTCTATCTTTTACCAGTTCCTGGGAACGCAACATCGCTACGGTGAAAAGGCCCCTGAGAAGACTGCAATGGACATGCATTCCTTCTGTACGGCATTGGATAAAGAGGAGGCCAACCGGCAGCTTCGCATTCATTATGCAACGTGGGTTAGTGAAGATGACATTAAGGAAATGGCCGAGGCTGGTGTCAACTCCTTGCGCGTTCCTGTCGGTGACTGGATGTTCAAACCCTATGAACCCTATGTCGGTTGCACCGATGGCGCTTTGGAGGAACTTGATCGCGTTGCTGACTTGGCTGACAAGTACAACATTGATCTATTGCTGGACATTCATGGCCTTGTGGGCTCACAGAATGGTTTCGACAATAGCGGGAAGACGTCTACTATCAAGTGGACGTCTACTATGAATACACAGCCCATTGGCACCACTATGTTCGAGCATTGGCCTGTTCGTTCCGCTGAGTGGATTGGAAGCTTTGACGCCGAAACAGGCTCCTATACGTCTATCAACTATGAGCACCTGATGCACTCTCTTGACACGGTGGTTGCTATTGTTCATCGCTATGCTTCGCACCCGGCAGTTGTCGGAATCGAGCCTGCCAACGAACCGTGGGAGCTGACGCCGATCGATCTGCTAAAGGAGTACTATTGGCGAGCATATAAGCGCGTAAAGGCCCGTGCCCCTCGCTGGAAGTTTGTCATCCATGATTCTTTCCGCTTTGGAGTGCAATACTGGTCGCAATTCATGGTTGGTTGCCCAGACATTGCCCTCGATACTCACATCTACCAGGCTTGGATGGCGCCAGGCACGAAATCCGACTACTATGCCAACGCTTGTCAGCAAAAGTACACGATTGCGAATATGGAGAGTTCTGTGATGCCTGTGATTGTCGGCGAGTGGTCTCTTGGCACAGATAACTGTGCAATGTGGCTGAATGGCTTCAATGACAACTTGCCTGGGTTTCCAAACACTCAATGCCGCATGGTTGATTGCCCAGTGTACAGCACCTACCTGGGTAAGGATTTTCCAGGCACACCGCTCGACACGACCAAACCAATTCAGGGTCCATATGGTACGGGTCAGTCGGGACCTGCTTTTGGTAAATGTCCAGTGACCAGTGATACTGCCTTCGGTCAAAAGGACGACATTGAATTCTCTCGCAATTTGAATCTAAAGAAGCTGAATGCATTCACACTCGGCCACGGTTGGTACTTTTGGAATTTCAAGACCGAGTTTGGCTCGCGGTGGAATTTTCTCGACTTGGTGCGTCAAGGTGTTTTTCCAAAGAACGTGTCGTCATACCACGAAAGTGACGAGGTATTTTCCGCCTGTGAAAAAGAAGACCGTGGTGACTTCCTATGCACTGCCAAGCGAGGCGTACATGCTGACGACCTTGAACGTGGCTTGGACTATGCTTGCGGCAGTGAGCATGTTGATTGCTCTAAGATCGGGACCAAGTTCTTGACTCTCGAAGAGCGTGCGGACTGGGCATTCAACGAATTCTGGCACGCTCATCGTCACTCAGGAGCTACTTGTGACTTTGGTGGCGCTGCTCATTTACTCAGTACGAATCCGGATGCTGTTTCTTCGACGTTGGACCAGCGGCAACAGCAGCGTCTCCACCTTGCGAGATCATCTTCATCTTCCTCAAAACTTGCTGTCTGGTGTTTTGTCGGTATTGCAGTGGGCATTATTGTCTTGGTAGCTACTGGAGTCCGCATTGTGTCGCGCCACGCAAGACGGAAAGAGTATTCGTCACTTATGACTGTACAAGTGTAGCCATAACAACTTCAATGCCATGATTTGCAATCAACATGTTCGGACATCTGATTGGCTTATATTATAAAAAAGCTTTTGTTTACTAATTAAGGTATTCAATTTAAATGTAGCCATGTGGATTCTATCATGGCGAACTCTAGAGGGTTTCCTATAAACAGTCGCGTGGGTAGAAAATCCTTATGACGCCAGCGTTGATTACACACTGTACCTCCTGTTTTTTTGCAAACCCTGATCGTGAAGTGCCCAAACTTCTTTATGGAACCCAACGCAACTGCTCCATGCCGCACCATTTTCTGCCTTTTTAACCTTCTTCTCAGGTTCAAGGATCCCGTCGCTTGCTAATTATTGCCCAAAACAAGAGGGAAAGATATTGTTTTGGGCTGGGGACGCGACAGATGCCGGCAAATCACGGCTAGTGACACCGATTTCGTGGATATGTATGTATTCCTACTCAATAGCAATGTCCTACGCGCAAGTTCTTCATGCTTGGTTAAACCTCTGCTTTTCACACATCTTCAACGTGAGCACAGCCACGGAAATTCCATCCGAGTCATGAGGGACTCAGCACCTTTAGACTTAATAGTATGGCAATACGTTAGTCAATCATACAAGCTACAAGCTAAAAAATGGCAGTAGCTACTTAGCTGCTAGTCATCACAATAGCGCTCGAGGAGGGTGGCATGGTCGCATTCTTGGGAATGATTTTTTCGGTTCTACAGCCGCGATCTCCACAGGTTTGCCTTCAGCCGGTCGTGTGCATGCAACGAGCTCCACGTTGATGCGTGACTGTGGTCCTCTTAAGCCAGGATACTTCAACGTCCCACACAACCACTTGGGTGACAACTGACCACCTTGAGCCAGATGCTGCACCTCGTCAAGAGTCAAGATACTACTGTAGAACCGAAACTCATCTGTAGACCATGGAAACCGTACCACCCGACAAAGTCTCCGTGAGGATAATTACCTCCATCTGCTGTAATGTATCCCGTTCCAACCTGTTCATGAAGTACATACTGCACTCGCGGTGTTGTTGACCAAGTCTTTTTACCATCTACGTATACATTCTGCAGTTGTTCACGATGATCGTACGTTAATGCGAGATGATACTAGTGATCGCATTTGAGCTCCTTTGCCACTGGTTTCTTCACGTCCAGTACGGAGCAGTATAAATGCCTCTTTGAGTCCAATATGACAAACTGCTGGTGATACTGTGGCCACTTCTTGCTTTCTCGTTCTTCAGACTGCAGGCCAAAGATGATTCAACCAATGTATTACTCTCAGCTTCATTGTTCATTGTCGTAGAAGGCAGGAGACAGAACCACAGATCAAAGCTAAAACTTTCCTCTTGCAGTGTTCGAAGAGAAAAATACATCCGTCGAAACTGCCCCCAGTCTGTTGGTGGTGGTGGGGGGGTACTCAACACAGGCAAAGGACGTCCGCATGAGTTTGTCACTGTCGTCTGTGTCTAGTCCGTGGAACAGCATGGATCTCGCCTGCATGTAGCACCATTTCCAAGTATGTATCAAATGCTGTTGCTTCTCTGGGATGGTGCCATACACCATGCGGTCGTGCCATAGCATACCGTCTGAGAACAAAGCTAGCCATCGTCTGCTTGTGTGCGACAAGAAAGGCATAGAAACCCACCAGGAAGCTGCAAATAGCGTCCACTACGTCCACTGGCAGCCCTTCAATTTGCATACAGAACTGATCGATGCACAGTCAAAGAATTAGAGACTGACAAGGACATAAAAAAACGAACACGAGTCTATGCAGGGTCCTGCCGTTCCAGCAGCTCACCTTAGAGTGGTTTATTGCCCGTTTTTGGTATAAATTTTAAGAGGGACACGTCGTATGTCATCTTTTATGAAACAAATGATTCACGCAACCAACCATCTGAGACTGGTTGAAGATTGCCGTCGGACAAGTCCATTTGTAGCTAGTGAATGATTTTGAAAGGGTATAAATCTCGTGATTTTGACGGTCATGGTGCAGTAAACTTGACAACAATGGCGAGTTTGTACATTTCTTCAGTGGTGGTTGGCATGCATTTATTGATGAGGACTCATGATCTAATTGCAGTGACACCTGCTATACACGATAGCAACATGGCAGTAACGCTGACTTTTTCACTGTAAACACAACGACTTGGTGATACGGTCGTTCTGGATTTTCTGATGGTACAGATGGTGGTGTCTAGCTTACATTGTCGTACGTGTGATTTACCTCAGGCAAGAAGTAATGGGTTCTTTAGAATTAAGTATAGGTGCAAGGCAAGGACAGTTATAAGATCCATGAGCTTGTCTTCCATGCGTTCAATGTATTCAATTGAATGCTCACTCACTCACTCCCTATCCAGTCCTTTCAGTCTATGGATTCGTAGTAGCATTCATTATGTTCACCAAGATAATATGGAACGTGCCCTCTGGCAATAAAGTCTACGAAACTCTTCATCAAATATAAGAGTTTTTTTTGCTTGACCTGGCTTTGTAATACGGTAAAACCCTTCTCATACTCAAGCCATGTGAAATCTATGTCTCCCACTTCAACATGTACATCCTCTATTCGACTTAAGTGTTACATCACTTGACTACAAGTCCAAAAGTAACCTCACACCTCTCCGCACTTGTTAATTTCTCGTCTCGAGCGCAAGACCATCACTCTCACTAAGACACACACCAATTTCAATCCAAAGTCAAGTCAAAACAGTAAGAAACAAGTTTTCAAGATGTCCTTGGAAAAGGACACGAACAAGTTCCTTCAACCTGAGAGCAATACCAATGATCAAGATGTACCTGCAGTGTACCGTTCACTGAATTTCCGTAGTCTTCAAGATCCATATTCACATAATAAAGACACGATCACAAGTCATTACAGTACTTTAAGAGCTGATGATCTAGAGACGATGCTCCATGGTGGTCTTGAACGATTCTATCAGAAATATAATCATCTTTCACGTAAAGTAAATATCCAGCTACCTACACCTGAAATACGCTTTGAGAACTTGTCATTTACGGTCCAAGTGCCTGCATCAGTGGAAGATCATGGGACCGTGGGGTCATACCTTCGTCAGATCTTTACACCCTGGATACGACCAACAATGGTTACGAAACACGCACTACATTCAATGACAGGGATAATTAAACCTGGTACATTAACACTTGTACTTGCAAATCCTGGTGCTGGTAAATCAACTTTCCTCAAAGCATTAGCTGGTAAGCTCCAGAATTCCCCCAATACGACACTAGGGGGTGAGATACTGTACTCTGGACTGCGTGGTGATGAAATTGATTTGATTAAACTTGCAGGTTTAGTGGATCAAACAGATAATCACATTTCTACCTTAACAGTACGAGAAACATTCAAGTTTGCCGACATGTGTGTAAATGGATTACCACAAGATCAACCAGAGGAATTACGAGATATTGCTGCTCTTCGAACCGAGCTTTTTCTCCATATCTTGGGCATGGAAGAGTGTGCTGATACGGTAGTCGGTGATGCATTGCTACGAGGTGTTAGTGGTGGTGAACGGAAGCGTGTGACGATCGGTGAAGTTCTAGTTGGAGGTCAGAGTCTTTTTCTATGTGATGAGATCTCCACGGGTCTCGATAGTGCTGCTACCTTTGACATTATTAAATCACTACGGACATGGTGCAAGACGCTTGGTGGGTCAGCTGTAATTGCTCTGCTACAACCAACTCCCGAAGTGGTGGAAATGTTTGATGACATTTTGATGATTAATGAGGGTCACATGATGTACCACGGCCCGCGTACGGAGATTCTGGACTACTTTGAAGGACATGGGTTCACGTGTCCCTCTCGTGTTGACCCCGCAGATTTCCTAATAGAGATTACTTCTGGTCGAGGACAGCGATATGTGAATGGCAGCATTCCAGTAAAGGATCTACCCGTATCGCCAGAAGACTTCAATAACCGGTTTTGTCAGTCAAGTATCTATCGCAAGACTCATGATGTCATCAGTAAAGGATACAACGAGCATCAGTTTGAGAGTCCCGAGGACTTTAAGAAGGCCAAGAGTGTGACCACATTAGCTCGTTCGAAAGAGAAATCTGAGTTTGGCCTTGCATTCGTTCCGAGCACGTTGCTGCTGCTGAACCGGCAGAAACTGGTATGGTTGCGTGACCCGCCACTATTATTGGGGAAACTGTTTGAAGGACTTGTCATTGGCCTTGTCATGGGCATGCTTTACTTTGATGTGAGCACAACGTACTATCTACGCATGATTTTCTTCAGTATTGCGCTGTTCCAGCGTCAAGCGTGGCAGCAAATTACCATCTCGTTCGATCTACGCAAAGTCTTTTACAAGCAACGACCACGCAACTTCTTTCGCACGTCCTCGTACGCCATCGCTGAAAGTGTAGTGCAGATACCAGTGAACATGGCCGTTTCGTTTGTTTTGGGCACGTTCTTTTACTTCATGAGCGGCTTGACGCGGACGTTTGAGAAGTACATCGTTTTTTACCTAGTGCTGCTGTGCTTCCAGCATGCTATCAGTGCGTACATGACAATGCTGAGTGCTTTGTCACCGAGTATCACAATTGGTCAGGCTTTGGCAGCTATCTCCGTGAGCTTCTTTCTGTTGTTCTCGGGTAACATTATCTTGGCGGACCTGATCCCAGATTACTGGATTTGGATGTACTGGTTCTCTCCGATCTCGTGGGCCCTGCGAAGTAACATGTTGTCTGAGTTCTCGAGTGACCGCTATAGTCCAGCCGTGAGCAAGGCGCAATTGGAGAGTTTCTCAATCACGCAAGGTACGGGATACATTTGGTTCGGTGTTGCGGTGCTTATCGTGTACTACTTCGCTTTCACAAGTTTCAACGCATTGGCACTGCACTACATCCGATACGAGAAGTTTAGAGGTGTGAGTGCAAAGGCCATGAAGGAAGAGGAAGAGACCCACAATGTATACGTTGAGGTGAGCACACCAAAATCTTCCCAACAAGGCATCGGAGCTACGAAGGCGAAGGATGCGGGCCTACCATTTACTCCTACAAATTTGTGTATCAAAGACCTGGACTATTATGTGACGTTGCCGTCGGGTGAGGAGAGACAATTGTTGCAGAAGATCACGGCCCACTTCGAACCTGGCCGTATGGTTGCGCTGATGGGTGCAACGGGTGCCGGTAAGACAACGCTGATGGACGTCATCGCTGGGCGTAAGACGGGTGGACGGATCGTCGGTGACATATACGTGAACGGTGAGTTGAAGGATCCGGAAATATTCAGTCGTATCACAGCGTACTGTGAGCAGATGGACATCCACTCAGAAGCCGCAAGCATATACGAGGCGTTAGTGTTCTCGGCAAAGCTGCGCCTACCCCCAAACTTCACCGAGGAGGAGCGCATGAATTTAGTGCATGAAACACTTGAGTTGCTGGAGCTATCGTCTATTTCCGGTGAGATGGTAGGCAGTCTATCAGTGGAGCAGAAGAAGCGTGTGACGATCGGTGTTGAGGTGGTGTCGAACCCCAGCGTCTTGTTTCTAGATGAGCCAACGAGCGGGCTTGATGCGCGGTCAGCACTGATCGTGATGCGGGGCGTGCAGTCGATTGCTCGCACGGGCCGCACAGTGCTGTGTACGATCCACCAGCCCAGTATCTCAATCTTTGAACTGTTTGACGGCCTGCTGCTGCTGCAGAAGGGAGGCTACACGGCGTACTTTGGTGACCTCGGTGTGGACTCGGTGAAGATGCTAGAGTACTTTGCCTCGATCCCTGGCACGGAAGAGATCCGTCCGCAATACAACCCAGCCACGTACATGCTGGAAGTGATTGGCGCTGGTATCGGTCGCGATGTAAAGGACTACTCAGTAGAGTACAAAAACAGCGAGTTGTGCCAGAAGAATCGTGAGCGTACGTTAGAGCTGTGCCAAGTGTCCGAGGTGTTCATACGCCACTCAACGCTGAACTATCGGCCGATCGCGACGGACTTCTGGAACCAACTGCGTGAGCTAACGACGAAGCAGCGGCTGACGTACTGGCGCAACCCGCAATACAACTTCATGCGAGTGTTCCTGTTTCCGATTTTCGCCGTTATCTTCGGCACAACATTTTACCAGCTCTCTGCTGACAGCGTGAAGCGCATCAACTCGCACATTGGTCTCATCTACAACAGTATGGACTTTATTGGTGTGACAAATTTGATGACGGTGATTGAAGTGACATGTGCTGAGCGTGCTGTGTACTACCGTGAACGCATGTCAAATTACTACAGTCCGTTACCGTACAGCTTGTCACTTTGGTTTGCTGAGATTCCATACTTGATCGTGGTGATCATTCTGTTTGTGACGATCGAGTATTGGCTAGTGGGATGGAGTGACAATGCTGGTGACTTTTTCTTCTTCCTGTTTGTTTTTTACCTCTACACGTCTGCGTGCACGTACATTGGTCAGTGGATGTCTGCATTGATGCCGAACGAGAAGGTGGCCAATGTGGCTGTAGGTGCAATTTCGTGCCTACTGAATCTATTCTCGGGCTACCTACTTCCACGTACTGCTATGAAAGCAGGTTACAAATGGTTCCAATACTTGATGCCATCGAGTTACTCGCTTGCAGCACTGGTGGGTGTACAGTTTGGCGAGGTACAAGACATCATCGCGGTGACAACGAATGGTGTGACCACTGAGATGACAGTGGCCACATACATCGAGGACATCTACGACTTTCGACCGGACAGCAAGTACAACTTCATGATTGGTCTCATTGTGATTTGGCTCGTAGTGCAGCTTGCTATCTACCTGACATTCAAGTACGTAAGTCACCTCAAGAGATGAAAGCTACAAGCACAATCGTAGCGGTGCTGAAGGAAAGAAGGGACTACAGACGACGTGTAAGAAAAGATCTTACGCATATGGTGGCTGCTTTGTATTTTGTTTTGGTATAACATTCAATACGTTCTCATGAAGTGTTAGATCGAATGTCAATGCATTTCTCACTAGACGGACTAATTAAACCAATAGGACGACTCGTTTCTACAAGTCACACAAGTATAAAGCAAACTTGTCACTGCACCTATCGAAGTGGTCAGACGTGGTGCATGAATGAGTAGTATCGTTGACATAACTCTTGGTACTCTCGGTCGACACTTGGCGTTGAGATTCATGAAAAACACTTCGCTGCTTTCATGATCACAGTACGTAACACCTCTCCAATGCCATAGGCTAGTTCATAACCGATCGTCTTGCAAGTCCAACAGAGCATAACGCTACATTTTCTAGAGATTGCTACAAGTTCCATCAATCAAGCGGTCATGTCTGAATTCAAAACAGCTTCAAGCACCTCATGGATGCTGAAACCTAAAGATCAGATGCGATATTTGTAGACCTTGATTGTTTGCAATGAATCCACAAAGATACCTCATGCCTTTAACCCCTAAGTGGAAGTGCAGGAAATGGAGATGTTTGTGGCTATGCGCGGTCGACCCGACGGCTCAAAGATCACCATGCATGATGTAAGGTCACGTCGCAGCTTTTTTTTAAAACCAGACGTTACATTTGAACAAGGAGGAAACACTCGCTATTGACAAGGACTTTTCGTGTAGACGAAATCGGTGTCACTAGTAGCGATTTGCCGGCAAAACAACAGGAAAAGATATCGTTTTGGGCTGGGTATTCTGTCGAATACCGGGAAGATATCGTTTTAAGCTGGGTATTCGACAGAAAGATATCGTTTTGGGCAGCGAGCAAGCGACGTAACCACCAACGGCGGGCTCGGTATTCTTGACACTTGCTTTTCACTATGAATCGCTTCTATTGGGTCGGTACTGACAGACTCACGGAAGGAGCACAGACATTTTAGGCTCCTCCTTACGTCAGTCGTCGTCGCCATTATTTGCTAGTCACAGATTATGGAAACAGGCGAGCTGTATTCGATGGTACTGCCTGTCATTAGCAACAACAACAACGGCGTTCTTACGTCACGTTGTTGTAAGGATCAGGTTTCGATGCCCATTGAACGGCTGTTGGCATTTTTTTGCTTGAAGCGTAGCGAGGTAAAGACACGTGTTTTTTCATGATTCCAAACTTTCACGCTCTCATGCTCTCATATGCACGAAACATGTCCATACAGTGCTTCGAGCTTTGCTCTAGATAGCCTCGCCTCGCGCTTTTTTGACAGGCTCGTTGCAATCTTGGTGGTCCTTGGGCATTCTTCACGCATGCAACGTTAGTGCCCAATCCGTATTTTTTTCGTGCTCTATAGCTTTGGAACAAGTCGATGATCTGATTGACTAACTCACTGGATCGGTTTGTTCCAGCCCATCATCCTACGTGTTAGTATTGAACCTTTACTGATTGATGGTCTCAAGAGATCTATCCATCTATGCGACCTTTGACAATCTGAAACAATAAGCGACAAGCTGACCAGCTATCGGATGTACCACTCGGGAGCAAGCTTACCACTTGTCACACAAGGTGGTAGCAACCAGGTATCCGAGCGTCAATATCACTTGTATCGGCAGGCTTTTTTACAGATCTAGGATCGGCAAAGTAGCTCCGTATGTAACGTAACACACAACCTGTCCTAGGATTTCACATGCAAGTGTGCAGTTTCTAGTTGGTCCAGTCGGGACAAGTTTGCAAGACCGTCTAGTCCTAACGAGTCGTCGTATGTCTGTCCGTCCGTCCTTTGACTACTGACTCTTTCAGCATCAGGATCTATTGAACGCAATTGACGATGATGTCTTGACGTCAACCAGTATCCCGATCACATGTTGAAGATATTTCAATACTGATGACTAACATGCGTTTAGAACAGTCTACCGGAGAGGCGACGTCTTTGATGGTAAAGTCTGATTCGACATTGGATTGCTTGCCTGCATCTAAACTGTTTTGTGCCGCGATTTGCCGGGTGTACATTCATTTTGATAGCATTTTTCGGACTTGATGTGACTATAGATGCAAATAATGCTCGTCCTGGAACGCATCCATCAAACGAGGTACATGAATGCGATGCAACAGCAGGCAGCCCTGAAAATAGCCAGATTCCTTCCTGTAAAACCAGTACGGAGTGCAGCACCGCGTTTGTAATGGTAACGGACTATGGAAAAACGACGTGTTTTGGATCGGTTACGGTTCCTTCCTCTCGTTTTACGCAAGATGCATGGACCTAAATAATATGGCAGAATATGCACAATAACTAGCTCTTGATCACAACAGAATATGCAAAAATAATGGCATATCTATCGATCGAATGAACCAAGAAACAAACCAGCTGCATGGATTCAAAACAGCCCATCGAGACTGCTGAAAGTCCTGGCTTTTACGTCAAAACGACTGGATCGTTACATTGTTTTTGATGTCGCAAGAAAGCACGGTATGAAGGAATAGAAAAGAGTGCAAGAATAAAAAAGGGAATAAGATGCACGGCTCACGAATAGTGTACACATGCTGAGCTCACCGAAAGAATGAAAAAGCTTACGAGGTACTAGAAGAAACAAGGATAAAAGGCTCAATGTATCTGATCAAAATGATACCATGTAGTTTTCACGTATATTCCGTAAAGACGGGTGGAATCCAGCAAATGATGGGTATATGCGGAGCACTCGCTCCTTCAGGCTGTCTTTAGGCCATTTTTGCAAGGCTATGTATGTATGTTGCTAATCTAAAGCAGTGAAGCCGAATGCCTTATGAAGTAAGCTCCCCAGCTGGAAGGCAAAAATTAGCACAGGATCGACTCTAAGAATTCTAAAGCGCGTCAAATCAGCCGTTTTTATGTATATAAAACTGCTTTATTCTTGATCTATTTAGGTCAGATTAGGACCAAAGTTAGGCGAATATGGCGTACCCAACGACCGAGCTCTTATTAGAGACTAATTATACTCCAAGGATATCTGATGATCACGCTTACCTTCCCCAAATCACTCTCGTCATTCATTTTTCATGCATATCATGAAGATAAGGGTCAGGTTAGAAACAGAATGGCGTATGTATCGGAACTTTTACAAATCTCTTCTGTTTTCTGCGCTCACTAACGATGGCAGGAGATTACCGGCTTTTAAAACTAATGGTTTTCTTAGGATATTCGTCATATCTCATAAGTCCATTAGGATGAAGTATAATAGGACAATTGGATACTGCAGACTCGAATCCTAGAATTATGGGTACAATCGGATTAAAATATAGGTGTATAGCAATAAAAAAGGGTTTCTTTTTTCAAAAGCTTAATCTAGGACGGAACAAGGATTCTGTCACGTCGTTTTTCTGCACACGAAATATTTCCATCTGTTACTCTACCACCACCATCATTCCTCTGACGACCTTTTTATATCTCAGAATAAAAACTACTTTTCCAATTGTTGTGTCAACCGTCTTTTTTTTCATCTTCTTACTACATCAGAATGAAGTAAACGACAAGACTCTGTGTTTCCTCTGAAGTAAAAAAGACCTAATCAAGCTCATAGACATAGAACAGACGAGAGTAAAAATAGCCCCCTCCTCCTCCAAACACTATCGTTATATCGTTACTACGTCGTTCAATACAAAAAAGAAGATCAAACCTTGTCCGGATTAAAAAAGACCCCCCCGCTCTCCTCCTCGTCCACTATTTTTTTGTTTTCATTCACTCTTCAATTTGCTTCCGTGGACGCCAATCGATACGTGGTCACATCATTTACATACACGACCTACCACACCAAGAACAGCACCAACAACCTCTTTCTCACTCCATCCTCCTAATTGACTGATGGCGGATCAAAAGACCGAAGCAGTTGCAAGTCTCTTACAACCTGAAGCCATTGAACCATCTTCAGGTGAAGAAGTTCCCGATGTGTATCGATCTCTAAATTTCCGCAGTCTCCAGGATCCCTATAGTCATAATCATGATACAATGGCTAGTCGATACAGTACCTTACGTGCTGATGATCTTGATACCATGTTAAATGGTGGATTAGAACGATTTTATCGTAAATACGATCATTTATCCAAGAAAATTAATCTGCAATTACCCACACCAGAAGTTCGTTTTGAGAATTTATCCTTTTCGGTTCAAGTTCCAGCGATTGTAGGCGCTCATGCGACCGTAGGGAGTCATTTACAATCGATCTTTACACCGTGGCAAAAGGTCCCGATGAAGACAAAACATGCACTTCATCCAATGACGGGCATTATCAAACCTGGCTCCATGACACTAGTTTTGGCGAATCCTGGTGCTGGTAAATCTACTTTTTGAAAGCTTTGGCTGGAAAGTTACAAGATAATGCACAGACGGACATTGGTGGTGAAATTCTCTACTCGGGACTACGTGGTGATGAAATTGATTTGATTAAACTAGTTGGACTCGTCGATCAAACGGATAATCATATTCCAACTTTGACTGTACGTGAAACCTTCAGGTTTGCCGACATGTGTGTCAATGGACGTGCACAGGATCAACCCGAGGAAATGCGCGACATTGCAGCACTACGGACGGAACTGTTTTTACAGATTCTTGGACTTGAAAACTGTGCTGATACGGTGGTTGGTGACGCCTTGCTCCGTGGTGTGAGTGGTGGAGAACGCAAACGTGTGACGGTGGGTGAAGTACTAGTTGGTGGTCAGAGTTTATTTCTGTGTGATGAAATCTCCACGGGTCTTGACAGTGCTGCGACGTTTGATATTGTCAAGTCTATGCGCACATGGTGCAAGACACTGGGTGGATCTGTCATGGTTGCACTTTTGCAACCAACACCAGAGGTTGTTGAGATGTTTGACGATATTTTGATGATCAATGAAGGGTACATGGTCTACCACGGTCCACGCACGGAGATTCTAGACTACTTTCAGAGTCTTGGATTTACGTGCCCACCTCGTGTTGATCCTGCTGATTATCTCATTGAAGTCACCTCGGGTCGTGGTATTCGGTACGCCAACGGTAGCGTTTTAACTAAGGACATGCCTGTGACTTCCGAGGAGTTTAACAATTTGTTCTGCCAGTCTGACATCTATAAGAAAACTCACGAAGCCATTAGCAAGGGCTTTAACGAGCACCAGTTTGAGAGTGCAGAAGACTTTAAGAAGGCTAAAAGCGTTGCCAAGTTGGCACGCTCGAAGCAAAACTCGGAGTTTGGCTTGGCATTTGTCCCTAGCACGCTATTGTTGCTGAACCGTCAGAAATTGATCTGGCTCCGCGACCCGCCGCTACTATGGGGCAAGCTGATTGAAGCTCTCGTTATTGGTCTCGTTACGGGTATGATTTACTTTGACGTGAACCCAAAGTACTATCTGCGAATGGTCTTTTTCAGTATTGCGCTGTTCCAGCGTCAGGCGTGGCAGCAGATCACCATTTCGTTCCAGTTGCGTAAGGTGTTTTACAAGCAACGTCCGCGCAACTTCTTCCGTACAACGTCGTATGCCATTGCAGAGAGTGTGGTGCAGATCCCGGTAAATGTCGCAGTGTCCTTCGTACTGAGCACGTTCTTCTATTTCATGAGTGGTTTGACGCGGACGTTTGAGAAGTACATTGTGTTTTACCTGGTGTTGCTGAGTTTCCAGCATGCTATCAGTGCGTACATGACAATGCTGAGCTCGTTGTCGCCTAGTATCACTGTTGGCCAGGCGCTTGCTTCGATCTCTGTGAGTTTCTTCCTGTTGTTTTCGGGTAACATCATTTTGGCGGACCTGATCCCGGACTACTGGGTCTGGATGTACTGGTTCTCTCCGATCTCGTGGGCGCTGCGTAGTAACATGCTGTCGGAGTTTTCGAGTGATCGTTACACGGATGAGGAGAGCAGAACGAAGCTTGAGAGCTTTTCGATCAGTCAAGGTACAGAGTACATTTGGTTTGGTATTATCGTTCTGGTTATCTACTACTTTGTTTTCACGACACTTAACGGCATGGCGCTACATTTCATCCGGTACGAGAAGTACAAAGGTGTGACTGTCAAGGCTTTGACCGACAAGACCGAAGAAGTGGACAATGTGTATGTTAAGGTTAACACGCCTGGCGCTGCTGACGGAAAGGGCGGAAACGGTGGCGGTCTGCCGTTTACACCGTCGAACTTGTGCGTCAAGGACTTGGAATACTTTGTGACGCTACCGTCGGGCGAAGAGAAGCAGCTTCTTTGTGGCATTACGGCACACTTTGAACCAGGACGCATGGTAGCTCTCATGGGTGCAACGGGTGCCGGTAAGACGACGCTGATGGATGTGATTGCTGGTCGAAAGACGGGTGGTCGCGTTGTGGGCGACATTATCGTGAACGGTGAGCCCAAGGACCCTGCATACTTCAGTCGTATCACAGCATACTGCGAGCAAATGGACATCCACTCCGAAGGTGCTTCGATTTTCGAAGCGTTAGTGTTCTCGGCTAATTTGCGTCTGCCGCCTAACTTCACGAAGGAACAGCGCATGACCCTGGTTCACGAAACTTTGGACCTCTTGGAGCTGTCTTCGATTTCTGGCGAAATGGTGGGCAGTTTGTCGGTGGAACAGAAGAAGCGTGTGACGATTGGAGTTGAGGTAGTGTCGAATCCGAGCATTTTGTTCCTTGATGAACCGACGAGTGGTCTTGACGCACGCTCGGCTCTTATCGTGATGCGTGGTGTGCAGTCAATTGCTCGTACGGGTCGTACAGTGCTGTGCACGATCCATCAGCCTAGTATTTCAATTTTTGAGCTGTTTGACGGTCTTTTGCTGCTCCAAAGAGGCGGATACACGGCATACTTTGGTGACCTCGGTGTGGACTCGGTGAAGATGCTTGAATACTTTGCTTCGATTCCGGGTACGATGGAGATTCGTCCGCAGTACAACCCAGCCACGTACATGCTGGAAGTGATTGGCGCTGGTATTGGTCGTGACGTGAAGGACTACTCCGTTGAGTACAAGAACAGTGAGCTTTACAAGTCGAACCGCGAGCGCACCTTATTGCTAGCAGAAGCGTCCGACGAATTTGTGCGTCACTCGACGTTGAATTACGATCCCATTGCAACGGGTTTTTGTAACCAGTTGAGCGAGTTGACAAAGAAGCAGCAGCTCACGTACTGGCGCAACCCTCAGTACAACTCTATGCGAATGTTCCTGTTTCCGCTGTTTGGTGTGATCTTTGGCACGACGTTTTTCCAATTGTCAGCTGATAGCGTGAAGCGTATTGACTCGCACATTGGTCTCATTTACAACAGTATGGACTTTATTGGTGTGATCAATTTGATGACCGTATTGGAAGTAACATGCGCCGAGCGTGCCGTGTTTTACCGCGAGCGTATGTCGAATTACTATGGTCCACTGCCATACAGTCTATCATTGTGGTTTGCTGAGATTCCGTATCTGATTGTGGTGATCATTTTGTTCGTATCGATCGAGTATTGGCTTGTCGGATGGAGTTCAAACCCTGGTGATTTTTTCTTTTTCATGTTTGTGTTTTACCTGTACACATCGGCATGCACGTACGTGGGTCAATGGATGTCTGCATTGATGCCGAATGAAAAGGTTGCCAATGTAGCAGTCGGTGCCCTATCGTGTCTTTTCAATTTGTTTTCGGGCTACTTGCTTCCACGTACTGCCATGAAGGCCGGTTACAAGTGGTTCCAATACCTCGTGCCGTCCAGTTATTCCCTTGCAGCATTGGTTGGTGTACAATTCGGTGATGTTCAAGACCTTGTCGCCGTTACAACGGATGGAGTAACGACGGATGTTACGGTGGCCAAGTACATTGAAGATATCTACGACTTTCGACCGGATAGCAAGTACAATTTCATGGCAGGTCTATTGGTCATTTGGATTGTATTGCAGCTTGCTGTCTATTTGACATTTAAGTATGTGAGTCATCTTAAGAGATAAAAGGATTATTGTTTTGCGATAGATGATGATGGCAGAGGAAGAGATCATTTGCGTCATGCATTTTGAACTTTTCAGAACGGTTGGAAGGGATAATAATACCGTTCGGGTGCATGAATTTGACTTTTTTTTTGTATTCACATTTTTTTTATCCTTGTTTGGATTTTTGATCATGAATAGAGAAATTTGTGCATGATTGAAAAAATAAACAAAAAGAACAAGATGGATTAAATCCTTTTTTTATATATTTTTTGTCTTTGTTTAGAGAAAAAGAAGAACGCAAGCATACTGAGAAAAAAACATCCAACAAAGTCTTGGATATTCTTCTTACAAAATATTGCATTCAAAGCCAGCTGTACTGGCATTATTTAGTTCACCACACGTGCGACATCGCCAACTGGTACAACCGGCAGGAAGTGGATAAGGTGCTGAACATTTGTTGCATAATGCATTATTCTCTGCATCACGACGGATATTCGCGTTATTTGGCACGATACGAGTGGCAATGGCGGAAGCAGGATAACTACCAGGCACAACAGGTACAGCTTCCACAATAGGACGACCATAGGCATCTACTTGGACGGGCATACCTGTTGCCATGGGGTAAGTCGAGTCATGAATGTTCTTTGATGGTTTCTTTGGGTCCATTTCCTGTGAATTGCCAATGTTTAAATAATATCTAAATAATGACAAAGTGAGACAGTTAGAGATGGTTAGAGATAGTTTTATGTTTCTGGATTTTTCGACGGATATTTTGTTAGAGAATCATCACAAAGTACGATCATTAGACGGATGTTCCGATAGTCTTCTTAAATGCGATAATTTGTTTTGTACCCAATTTCAATATTTGGAAACTTTTTGAGAAACAGTAACCTATTATAATGAGGTCACTACACATAAATGGATACAACCTGTTATACGCACATTCCAATCACGAGAACAAATCACGATATGGAAAACTCATCTCCGAGACATGATCCGGCAGTATTGAATGCTTGAGTGGAGATGCAGCACTTGTTCCAGACGATAATGATGAAAACGTCTTGTCCAATGTACTGCTAGCTCCCTGACGACAGAATTGCTTGTGAAGATGCTGGAATTGCTGGCGTGCACGGAAAGCAGTAGCCTGCATGTGCTGCATTGCAGACAGCTCTTGTATCTGCACAGCGTAGCTTGTATGCAACTGATGCAATTTAGCTGCAAGCTGTTTCTTGTGACGCCGTTTCGATTGCTTCCGCTTGTGGTAATCGTGTGCAACGTTTTGACGCCAATTGACACCACCGGTACAAGTCGACGATGATTTCTTCGAGCAAACATGTGAGACACAACGACAGTCGAGATGTTTGTAGATACGCGCACGCTCGGTCAGGAAATTCATCTTTAGCCGCTCATTCTGGTGCGAAAAATGCAGCAACAAATTGGTCTGTTCGGTAGTCGCAGCTACACAGTCAGCTTTGACATTATCGTCTGCATTAGCCATCTTGATGTCAGTAGTAGCTGGATCGCCATATTGGTACATGGTTGCAGCCACAAGTGAACCTCCGTCACCTGCAAACGGCACGGAGACAAACTCAGGCTCGTACTGCTTTAGTTGCTCCAGTTCCTCTTCGAGATCAGCATCTTCCTTTTCGGTAGGCTGTACCTGCTCCATGTGATTGTCTGCTTCTGTTGGCTTGTCGGGATCACGAGGCATAGCATCTTGATTCTCAGCTTGCACTCGAGCAGACTCGTTGGATCCTGCGCGCCCGCCCTCAGCATTCTTCTTGGTTTCCGTCCGAGCCACCTCTTGGTTCTCTTCCTTACCACATTCTTTGGTACTTTCGTTATTCGCAAACAAAGCTTGCACCTTCATTCGACGTAAGGTCTTCTTTCCACTTAATAACGTCTTTGTCTTGGTCTTCACTTCGTTACTCTTCGGACTCAGCGGAGCCAAGACTGCCGCCGTATCTACAGCGGAATCCGTACTTTTCTGTTCGTTGTCCAGCTGTGACTTTGCTGCCGCAACATTAGGTGAAGCCCACTCCAGTTTCCTCAAAGCCATAAGTTGTCTCTCTACTCTTGAGCGCCCGAGCTGCTCTGGAGTGTTTGGATTCGAGGAACCTGACCATGACGAAATCGACACAACCGGAGATGCCGTGCTTGTCGACAACTTGCCGTCATTACAATTCGTGCTGCACTTGGGAGTGGTTACCCCTGCTATGCTGTCGTTACCTTCTTCCTCGTCATCGGCCACACCTAACTGCTTCGTCTTAACAAGTTTCTTCTGCGACCCGGGTTTGCTACACGACAGCAGCTTCCTTCTCTCTCCTGACATACCCGATACCTTTGCCCGAGACATGGTTTTCTCAGCACCGTGCCGGTTCCGCTTTATCTTGCGCCCGGTCTCCTGAGATTTCAACGTTTTTTCTTGGCGACTGCGCTTGAGTATCGCCTTATCCTGCTTTTTCTCGTACTGATGCTTCTCCTTTCTAACTCTCTCGTCGGTATCGTTCGAGTCGCTGCTGCACTCGTCTGTATTACTCTCTGCTCCGCTAAGGTCTGCATAATCAACCTTCACCTCTGAATATTCCTTCTTCTGCTGGTTGCGACGCAAGAAGGTTTCAAGGCTTTGCACTAGCAATTGATCTTGATTAGCGGCCACAATCAACCATTCTTCTTTCTCCGTTTCGGGAAGAGGAAAGACCGCAAGAAGTCCACTCGTATTGACTCGAGTAAGATCTGAGAATTGCGCTTGAAAGTTTAATGACGGGTCCACAAAAAACTGTTCATATCCTTCAACGTAGTCAAGAGGTGTCGCAATCCCAATGTCCTTTCTCGGCTGATGACAAAACACACTGCCGTCACTGCACATGCCCACTGTAAAAGGTGAGCCATTCTGTCCTGCAATCTTGCTCACAGTCCGCATATGACGTTGTCCACTTGTATCCTCTGCACCTCGTCGACGCTTTCCACGAGGGTTCCACGCACGCAACGAGGCAGTATTTCTTGAGTTGAAAACAGCCTCATGGTGAGCATGTTGTTCTTTTGCAGATAGCGGTAGATCCAAATCCATACGTGTAGCTGCTTGTAGGTCAATAATTGCAAAAGATTCACTTCCACCATAAGCGTAATCACCATAGACAGCAACAGTATCAAGCGTGTGCTTGACATCAACATGTGATTTCTTACGGATCGTAACGGACTCATCAAAATCATGATATTCTTCTTCCAAGTACCAAATCCGTACATTTTGATGTTCTGATTTCGAGATAAATTGATTCCAACTCGTTGGATGGAAAGCAAGAAACTCTACGGAAATACCGTTCGTTTGTTTATCAAAAATACATTCCCACGTCCATTCGACATCACGAGTATTGTTTACTACGACTGTCGTCATCGTCTTCTTCTTCTTCTTTTGATAAAATCGCCACATGTGGACATTTTTAATCCCAATACCACATAATAAACGATACTCTGTCGTATTTGTTTTCTTGCACTCAAAACTCTTTACAGTAGCAAAGCCTTTAAGTTTTGCATCGGAATAAATGTGAGAAACCACGTGACCAACAACTGGTCCTCCAAGACTCTCGAGAGAAGAAGCAGCAAACATCTCTCCACTCTCTTGTGTTTCAATTGCCATTCTTGCAGCCTTGTTCCTTGTGCTTATTATCTCCACTGTCTCCTGTCTCCTTGATACTGGTAGGACAATACTATCCACTTCATACGCTCGAATAGCCGTCGAGCCACGGTATACACCTGCAAAAATCAACTTTCCATTCTCTGGGATCGAGACCGTCACCATAAGTTGCGTATAGATTCCACGTGGCATGATTTGGTCCAATAGAATACCACGTGGATACTGGATCGCTCTTTCCTGATCCAATGGATAGAGGACAATCATACCATTATAGAAACCCACGACGAGAGATGGCGGATTCCAAGCGACAGCAACCGATGAGACAGTCGAAGAGACGGGATACTGAAGCTTGAATGAAGACGACGCGAACGAAGAGCTACGACGCTGTAGTGGCGTTTTCTGATTCCTGGTATCAGATGTTTCGGAAATAGTACGAGTTTGAAGTAGGGGCGTTTTATATGGTGTGGTAAACACTAATTTCCGGGTAAATTCCGGATACGAGCCATCCACGGAATGTTTGTTGGAAATATCGTCCAAGGCACGGAATCCCTTGCCCCGTTTCTTGGTTGCATGGGCTTGGTGATGCATGATGTTTGTAGTGGTAGGACACTTTGAACGAGATGTTGCAGACGCAGGGATTGGAGACAGAAAGGACGGTGTAGAAAACTTCTTCTTCATGGGTTGAACGTGAATGACGAAATGATTGCGTCATGCGAGCGGACTTTTGGCGCCAAAAACGGAGGAATGGAGAATTAATCAAGAGAAAAAACCGCAATTTTGGATAGTTGTTTGAGGGTTAAGAGCAGCGATGAGGTTTTTTTGTTTGGAGCAAGAGGTTCGTCTCTCTCTAATGAGTGATATATGTCCCCCTTTGATCAATTTTGGTCTTCTAGTCTACTTAAAAATATAGGTCTGCTTTTTTTTAGTCCATCGCCTTCGGAAAATGACATTGTCCAGTCACTTTTTCATACAAAAACTCATATGACGGATACGACTCTGAAGACAAGGTCACCTGTACTCGAACCTCGTGCGCACTTGATCGATCTTGGTATATATACTAGAATGCATTTAATCTCTCGAGTATGTAATATACATGAGTAGTTTATTCTACTAACATACGATTATCCTATTAGAGTCGATGCTAGATGAGAAGAATCAGATAAAATGTAACCAGAACAAAACGAGTAGTAATAATGGACCGTATGAGTACGTAAAATAAAATTGTACTATTTTTTGCAGTAGTATTATTTTCGACTAGTACTAGTTTATATTACTATAGTAGTACTATTTCGACGAAAAAATAGTATACTACGGACAACCTTATATTGACATCGTACTATTTTTTCGATTACTACTATTTGTACAGGGGGAAGCTTGAAGGATGGTCTCCTGCTGATGAGAACAATTCTCAAGGTCTGATTCCATCCATGGAACAGCTTCGTCTAGACCCACGTAGTCATCATATAGATGATCAAATAACAAGCACACCATCATCATCATCAGCACCAGCAGCAGCAATATCAATAGCAATTGAAGAAGGTTCTAGCACTGAAAAGAAGAAATTGTCTAAAGCAGAGAGAAAAAAACTAGCTGCTGAGGTGTTTGCCAAGACAAGTGGTGGAATACCAAAGCGAGCGAAGCTTAATAAAGCACAACGTCGTGCACACCAAGAAGCAAATCGAGAGAAGAAAGAAAGTGGCGTGAAAGTGAAGAAAAATGATATTGTGGGACCAACAGTATCAATGCCAATTCATGCGAGATTACAATATGATGATGCAAAGAAAATTGCACGTCGTTCGAAAGCAGCAGTCGTGATACGGACACAGGCTCAGAAACAGGTGGAAATGTTTTCTCACTTGCCACAATATGAACGCGAGAGTTCTTTATCGTTGAATGTAGGCTTTTCAACGAAAGAGGAAGTACATTCAGCAGTATTGGCACTTGGTCTGAAATATGCAGAAGGTAAGATCTCGGGTGGTAATGCACGCTGCATTGCAATGATCACAGCGTTTCAACAAGTGATTGATGAGTATATTACGCCACCGGATAAACAATTACGTCGTGATCTGGATAAACGTCTTCGACCACTTATTCAATACCTTATTGACTGCAGACCACATAGTATTGGCATGGGAAATGCAATTCGTCGTCTACGACGTGTGATTGGTTCGACCCCACCGGAATTGAGCGAGGAAGAGGCGAAACGTCGGATTCGTGATGAAATGAATGACTATGTGCAAAGTCGTATCTTGTTGGCCTCACGTGCTGTCGCAAAGAATGCACAGTCGAAGATTTGTGCTGGTGATGTTATTCTTACCTATGCACGTGCAAATGTTGTGGAGGATCTGCTGCTTGATACTGCCAAGTGTTCGCCGGAGATTGCTGCTACGCTTCGTGTAATTGTTGTAGACTCACGTCCGCACTTTGAAGGACGTAAGCTCGTTAATGTCTTGGCCAACGCGGGGCTACAGTGCTCGTACCTACAGATTAATGCACTGTCATACATTATGCGCGAGGTCACAAAGGTGTTCCTTGGTGCTGCTGCCTTTATGAGCAACGGTGTGGCCGTAGCGCGCGTCGGCACGGCATTAGTAGCAATGACTGCTCACGAGGCTAACGTACCGGTACTATTCTGCTGCGAGACTTACAAGTTCTCGGACCGGGTGCAGCTGGATGCAATTACCCACAACGAGTTGGGTGACCCTGATGAGCTAGTGTCTTCATACTGTACCGACAAACCGCGCTCGCGACGCCGAAACGGTGGCAGTTTTCCCGACAATGAGTTCAGCAGCTCCTCAAGCGGCCACGTTCTCTCGGACTGGCGCGATCTCTCCGATCTGAAATTGCTCAACCTAGTGTACGATGTGACACCGATCGACTACGTCTCCATGGTAGTTACAGAGCTGGGCATGATCCCACCTACCTCCATTCCTGCTGTATTGCGTGAATACTCTCGCGATGGTCTCGTGGACGGCGCATAATGTAAGTCAAGTGAGTCCACTAACGCAATGACTGACATCTAGCAACAAAATGCAGTGTTTTTGATCATGTCTAGCAAAGGACTTTTATTAATGCGGTTTCAAAGTTATTCGCCGCGTTCAATGACCTTCTGTCTCTTCCTCTCTTTGCGCTGTCGTACCTTGAGACTAGCTACTGCATCGGTATCATCCTCTTCAACATCATCCAGCGTCATCAACTGCATGCACACTTCCATCAAGTGCGGTTGTCGCAGTTCACGAAAACGCAGCGACAGCATATCGATAGCTGTTAACACCTCCATGGGAGTCACATGAGATGATTCGTCGCAGGAAGTTGAGAGCACAGCCATCTTTGGATACCGTTGGCTGAAGTGTGTGAGCAGCAGGTGACGAGCTTTTGCTTGACGGCCAACTCCAACAGCTTCAGCCATCGTACAGTGCGCTTTGTCCTTGGCTTCCTGGGCCAAATCGTCCTCGAAAGTAGCTTCGTGCACCATCAAGAAGGCGTTCATCGCCTTTTCTGCCAATTTATCGCTAGGACGGCAGTCACCAGAAAACGCAAACTTGGCACCGTCGACGAAAGTTATCACAACCGCATACGATTGGAGTGCGTGCTTCACGGGGACGCACTCGAGTTGTGCAATGTTCAGTGTCTCTCGTAGCCATGCACGAACACGTGCTGCATCCGCATGAGTTTTCACGTCTGTAAAGCGCGAGTCGTTCTCATCAAAACTGTAGTTCTCTACGAACGAGAACTTACCACGCACCGTAGGGTCCAGGGATGCGTACTCGTTGAGCCAAAAGCGAAGTGGTGTTGGCCCGATCACGAGCAACGGTTCCGTGCTTGCATCGTCGGTGCGATGACTCAACAGTCGAAGCAAACCCAAGTGATGATCAGCGTGGTTATGAGAGATCCAGACACATTTGAGGCGGCTCACCAGCTCTTGCAGGCGCTTTTTATCACCGCCAGCGTAGCGATACAGCTGCCCCAAACTTCCTTCACCACAGTCCAGCATCAAGCCCGCCCAAGCAACATCCGTGTCTCCTTTCTTGTTTCTGGGCAGCTCAAGATACATGCCAGTGACATTGCGGTACTTTGAAGGGATGGCGCAGCCCGTGCCGAGGAATGTGATCCGGCCGTCAATGAGATCGTCGTCCAAGTTGTTCACTTCTAAATTCTGACATGCCTTCGCTACAATGGCCGCTGATAAAGTGACGCTCTCACGAATCTGGTCAAAATCAAGGCGTGGCCAGCAACTCGATGCGTCGAAACCACGACGAGCACGAGGAGCTAGCACAAATTTCAGCATACCCTCGCCCAGAATCAATTTTGATGTTGCTGCGTCTGGGTTTTCATCGCTAGTAGCAGCAGTGAGTTGCAAGGAGGAGCCGTCCGGCACAGCACGTGAAAAAGGCACAACAGTATCTTCCATTTCGTGCTTTTCATTCGACGGGAAAGCGTTTGGGAACACAGCGTGCATCTGCGCTTGCAGTTTCGCTGAAGCGCGGTACACCGTCTTCTGTGCACACGCATCGTGTCCAAGTAGAACGTGTCGTGCGTGGTTGCCAAAACTACGTGCCCATTCTGCATACTTGGGGTAACGTAACACTTTGCCACTTCCAAGATGAAACACCACTTCTACCTGGACTTGTGGACTTTTCCCTTCGATCTCTCGGTATCGATCAAAGCCGTTACTATCCACCAATGCATCAACATGCATCGTCGTAGGGCAAGTCACAATGATACACGCTACAGCAGGTATAGAAGGTAAGACACAATCACTTGACTTGACCAATCGACCATCAGGCAGTGTTACATCCTTTCCTTGGTGCAATTGTCCAAACAACTTTCCCTTCGGTACACCAAGTGCTACTGCCCGATCGAGCAAGAACTTGCCTCTTTGTATCCTTGTTTCCACTACATAGCTCACACTTACGTGGTTTTTTTCTATCTCGTCACGTGTCAAACGTGACGGTCTCTCATGGAGTTTTCGTTTCGCTCCAGTTCGAGGTTTGTCCACTGCAATTGCGTGCACGACAACTTCCTCATCTTCATACCAACAGTTGTTGATCTTCTTGTCATGAACAAAAGCAAGTGGCAGTACTTCCGACGCTTGTAATTCGAACTGAGGTCGATACAAAAAGTGACGAGTAGCTTTCAGGTACTTTTTCGTCCCAACAGGTCCGTCAACATGTAACCCCGACTTGCCTGTATCCGATACAGTAAGTATCATTCCAGATAAACCACCAACTGTATGAGATCGTAACTCGGTGAGAAAAATACGTTCTAGCTTTGCTAAGCGCACGTGATGTTCCATACAAAGTCGTTGAATCCCATCACCAACATTGAATAGAAAACTACCGAGTTATCATCAAGCCAATGGGTTAATAAAATGCAATCGAGACAAGATAGAGAGTCAAAGCGTTATCGAAACATACCGACGTGATTCAGTGGAGAGAAGAAGACTTGGTGCAGTCTCAATGGATTCAACACTAAGAATCTGGATTTGTATGACCATATTGGAGACCTTGGACTGACTGACTGAATGACTGGCAATGACCGTTTATTAACGGAGACTTACTACTCTCTCAGATGTATCCATATGGACAGAAGAATGTATCCATCATATATATATATATTGACAGCGTCCTAATCGATGTACGAGTGAAAGCTCTTTCTTCTTCTTCATACACTCTTTCCATCGTAATCGTCTTCAATGACAATAAGGACAGTTGTTGAGCTACATATTGGTATCGTCCTAGCCTTCTATCGATGAACGCATGGAGTGTTATTATGCTTTTTATACATTTGAGTCATTTCAAGCACCGAGCTAGGTCCTTCCTGTAGCAACTACCTCCTGATCTGAGCTCTAGACACGTTTGAACCATCTCTTTCTTTCGCAGCACCGACAACACCACACAATTAACGTTGTTGGTCTTGTCGGTGCTGCCACTTTGTTGATTTTTTAGCGATGGTGGTTGACCTATCTCGAAAACAAAAAAGTCGTCGGCTCTTGTCGTTTGTTTTCGTGCTGGCAACGGCGTACGGAGTAAGGCGTGACGTTTGACAATCATTAGTTACTGGAAGGACGTAGTTGACAATGATCAAACGTACCAGGAGAAGCCGTGCTGACTGTCCATACAACCATACCATAACTCGCGTTGGACGACTGAATAGCCTCCGAAGACCGTATCCAATCGTCAGACGCGACGTGATTGTCTACCAAATCGACACTTCAAACCATCAGATCTGTAGATATCCAGTTAGCAAATATCTCGTCGACATTGGTAGAGATCGATCGATCGATCGATACGACATTTCTACCGGGCACAGTATGGTTGGTTTGTAGATGGTCAATCGATCATATGTGATTCTAATCCTTGACATTCAGTTGGCTTATCCGACGGCGACAACATGAGCATGGGTTGAGCAGCCGATTCCAGAGTTACATACACAGCAAGAACCTCTTTCATCACTTTTCAATTTGCTTTAAGCGAATTGTGATTCCAATTCCATACCAAGTGAGAGAATACAACATGGCTGAAGAAACTTGTTGTGGTTGTGTCTCTTATGAAGATAGTGAGTATGATATGGGACTGCATATTGGTGCTATCTTTATCATCTTTGGCGTGTCTGCTGCTGGTACAATGGTTCCCATTATTGCACAGAAGATTCCTCAATGCAAGACGAATTCAGTCATTATGGAAGCAATCAGTGCCTTTGCCTATGGTGTTGTCATTGCGACTGGTCTTATCCACATGATGAATGAAGGTATTGAGAAATTGGGCAATGAATGTCTTGGGTCTGTCGTCGAAAACTACGAAAGCATTGGGCTTGCAGTTGTACTGGTTACATTAATACTCATGCATTTCATTGAGTGCGAAAGCTCAGTGTTCTTTGGGGCACAGAAGTCGATGCTGCACGGTCATGGTCATGCGCACGGCGAGCCAATTCTACAGGAGACTAATACTACTCCAAACAATGGCTACTCACCTTTTACTGCCAATCTGTATCATGAAACGACTCGCGACCAAACTGCGCACGGCTCAAAGATTCGTCGTAAAATTGCCACGCTCATCTTTGAAACTGGTGTGATCTTTCACTCGATCATCATTGGCCTCGACCTGGGTATTACGACTGGAACTGACTTCAAAACGTTGCTTGCAGCCTTGTGCTTCCACCAGCTTTTTGAAGGTGTTGCCATTGGTACATCTGCATTGAGCTCGCTCGGATCCAAGCGCAAACTTTTCATGCTAAACTTTGCGTTTGCAATCACGACGCCTGTGGGTCAAGCTGTTGGTATTGCTATCCGTACCACATATTCGGAATCATCGACAACGGCGCTGTGGGTCCAAGGCACACTTAACTGTGTTGCTGGTGGCATTCTGCTATACACGGGGCTGGTCGAGCTATTGACGTACAATATGACCACGAACGGCCAATTCCTCTCTCGGTCAACGTCACAGCGTTTCACCTTGTACATTTGTCTATGGCTGGGTGCCGGTCTAATGGCGCTCATTGGCAAGTGGGCGTAAGGTGTCATGAAACAAACTTCCAGGCGACGAAGGGTTGGTTGTGCGAGCAATCCTGTGATGCTGAGGCTGTCAATGCTTCCTAAACCGTTTCAACAATATGAATCAATCAAATTGACTAACCCACAAGGTGAACAGCATGCTTTCGTCTGCGTTTTGAACTCCACTCTTCCATGTCTTCTATCTATTCTGCATTTAGAGATTCATCGTTTACAAGAACACCTTCAACTTCATCACTAGGACTGGCAAGAGCCACAACATTGACCTTAGCACTTGGCAGCTTTCACGAAAGCCTTCTTGTCTCTTGATATAAAGTCATACCAGTCTAAATGTCTGTCTGTCTTGAGGACCAGTGTGTGACAATCTATCATTGGCTTGACGTCCTGCTGATGCAATGGGCTGTGGCGGTGTTCTTGTTGCTTGTTGTGTTACTATTGGCCAAGTTTAGACGTTCAGGCTGGGCCTTGATCATTTACTTTGCTCAGTTGCAAGACTTACTTATCCACAATACCAGCCACTTCCGGCTTTTCAGCGTCACATTCATTATTATAGTCTTCTATCGCAAGCTCAAAGGCTTATAACCTACCATAACAACGTACCTTATCTGGTACTACCTGCTCAAGCCACTGCCCGTGGCAGCAACTACAGTCAAGCAATCAACAATACCGCTGCATTCTCTATTGCTTCAAGTATTTGCGCTTCATGTTTTCCATCCAGTTCAGCTGATCCAGCGTAATCTCACCGCTCAGCGTGTGAACAAGCAGCCGCGACGGGTTCAATTCCCCATCTTCCTCATCACTGGAGCTCTGTTTCATGAAAAATGACGTCCGCATAGCGTCATTCTTTGCGCTCTCTATATTGATCTTTCCGGTCGAAGCCATCGTCTCAGCTCCCTCCTGTGCCTGAAGCTTGCCAGTAAAAACTACGTAGTCATCATCTAATGGATCCATTTCACTGCACAAAAACTTGCATTCACTCCCAACTGTGATCTTCGTACCGTGCAATTCCACATCAATCGATGCTGCAGGTTGCAGTGACACTTGCACGTCTCCACCGACCAAGATGCTACTAGAGCTGTCATTTGTCCATGAGTCAAAGTGTGCTACAACTTGACACTTGTCTCCATTGTCCTGTACGTCCAAGGCACCTGTCACACTATCCAGCTGCACTCTATTTAGTCCTTCACTTGCCACACGTAGATAGCCATGTACATTGCCAACGCTCAATTGCGTCTCTCCACTTGAATCCATTGATGTGATACTACACGTTGATGTGTAAATGGCTCCAAATTCAGAATCTCTCGAACCTTTTCCAAGCTTCACTAGTGCTTTATCTGCCATGAGTTTCTTGCACTGAATACTTTCACTGGCTTCCAACTGCACCGTCTCACCTTCCACTAGTGTCGAGATATGAATCGATCCCCCCATTGGTCTTTAACTTGACCATCTGGCCACGTACTTTGTGGACTTGAATGTCGCCAGATCCTACAACCACCTTCGCGTGACCTTCAATCTTCTCATGCATTCGGACACTACCATTGGCTACTGTTACATCCAGTTTTGTAGTATGTGGTGGTAGTAGTAATTGTACCTTCGTGTCACCTACACTCTTCTTAGCAATCCATAGTGTCTTCTTGTCGTCTGTATTGATAGAGAACGCATCATGGACGTCCATACTATTACTGGATACAATGCGTATTGCAAAGTCCAAAGCATTTCGTACTGGAATTATCTCTAAATCAGTAGATGATGGATCTTTTGATTGAAATTTTACACAAAGTGGATGTAGTAAATGAGAGAGTGAGAGAGAGGACGAGGAGATTGAGTGATGATACCATGGACGACACCATGAGACTCTTACACGTCGACTTAGGAGCATTAGAGCGAATGGAGATGTATTTCCAACCAATCATAGGAAGAATCGAATGAATCAAGTTCTAGCCAATGACAAGAAGTATCGACTTGTTATCATATGTGTGGTGTACATTACGTAATTACGTACACCACATTATCTTGTTGGTGGCCAGTATGGATTGTACCCATTACGTTAAGCACGACCTCCTCCTCCATCCTTCCTTCCGATATCTTGTCTACTTATGCGTCCAATCTTATTAAAAGGTCACTTACGGTCGTTAACTATGATAAAATACAATCGTGAGGGTGATTTATTATTCTCATGTGCAAAGGATCATACGCCCAATCTCTGGTATAGTGATACTGGTGAACGAATTGGCACATATGTCGGTCATTCGGGTGCCGTATGGGCCTGTGACGTGAGTTATCACTCGGAAAAACTACTTACAGCTTCAGCAGATGCAAGTGTGAAGCTATGGGATGTACAAACAGGTGAAGAACTCTTTTCATTTCCTCATACAGGTCCAGCTCGCAGTGTGAACTTTAGTACGGGTGACAAGCAGTTTGTATCGGTTGCTGACAAGTTTTCAGACCGACCAGCAGCCGTATTTGTGTACGATCTAGCAGACAATGTAGCTAATCAAAGTGCGGAGCCTGTGCTGACGATTACCAAGCATGGCCATGAAGGTCGCATTACTGGCGCCTATTGGATGCCGCTTAACAAAGCTATCCTTACTACAGGTGGAGACGGCACCATCAAGCTATTTGATCCTAAAACAGGAGACTTGCTGTCCAGTCATGACATTCACATGGGAGAGATTACCAATGTCGCTTTTAACAAGTCCAAGACATTGGCTATTACGTCGTCGAAAGACAATACAGCCAAGCTACTGGACGTTGAAACGATGAAGGTACTTAAGGTGTACGAGACTGATCGTCCAGTCAATTCGGCAGCTATTTCACCCATTAAAGAACATGTTGTGCTAGGCGGTGGACAGGAAGCTATGAGTGTGACGACGACGTCAGGTCGCGTTGGCAAGTTTGAAGCGCGTTTTTTTCATATGGTCTTTCAAGAGGAGTTTGGACGTGTTAAGGGCCATTTTGGACCGATCAATACGATTGCTTTTCACCCAAACGGAAAGAGCTACGCGTCTGGAGCGGAAGATGGATACGTGCGACTACACCACTTTGACAATGACTACCTCAAGCTCGACGTCAACAAGTAAAACAAAGCGAGCAGAAAAGACATGACAAACCGACGGACGGATTTATCTTGGACAGAGCAGTTTCTATAAAGATGTTTGAAAGCGTTTAAGCTTGACCAGATGCAGCGATTACAGGGTTGAGCTCACTATTCGTGCACATTTGCTGCCGTAGGTAATTTTAATGCAGCTACATTACCTTAATGCCGTCCTTTGTAGCTATATCGGATTCGAGAGGTGAGCCAAAGTTGTCGGCCACCGTTACAGCTTTGTCTGCCCTAAACGTCACAGACTGTTAGACCACTCTCGTTGCTGCATGCATCCACCCCATTGAGTTTCATCCAATGCTACGAGTGTTCAGCGTTTACGCGCACAAGTCCCTTGTCTTGACGCTTCGAAGGTGACTGCTGCGTTTGCTGCACGGTTGCGGGGCGACAATGTCCAAAATTCCTGACAAATGCAGGTGGTGGCAATCGTGCTGATGTAGGTGCTCGTAGAGATCAAGCCATTTGCAGAAAAGTACAGTACGGCATTCTTGGTCAATTCATTGCTTCTGCAGCAGCTCGATGCTCTTCGGATAGACATACACGAGCAAAGTCCGGAAAGGCTTTCGAATGCTAACGTCCTTGATTCGTTCTAACGACAGGAGCCCCGATACGATCCCCAAAAGAACGCGAGAAATACATGATTGCCAGATCAAGCTTATCGGCATGAAGATCACCGCAAAAAGCCCGCACAGATTTATCAACAGCCGTTGAAGCCATGTCACCTGGTAAATAGGGCGTTCCGACCGAAGCTTGTCATATAAAGAGCCCTGCGAAGCACGTTCAAAAGTCAAGACTGCTACAAGTTACAAGCCCAAAATTGTCACACAAGCAGTTTTGACTTCGTGAAGATGCCGCAATTAGAGAGGACAATCTGCGTAGAACTTTCAGCAGCCTACAGCTCCAAAGAATGAGAGGGGTTTGTGGGGGGGATCTACGATGAGACCGCAATTGCATATTCAGAATGGGCATGAGGTCTGCATCAAATACATGGCTATTTCCTATAGATCTTCGTCCGAAGTTCGCTGGACTCGTAGAATCCATAAGGATCAGTTTGTTTGGTCATGACCAGAACGTAGATACATAGAGTATGTAATGTTTTTCTCTGGATCTGTTCAGTCTCTCTTGCGTCTTCTTGTGTGGCTCGTATCGATTCAATGGTGGTAAAGACAAACTATCTGAAGTGATAACGGGTACGCAGGATAAGCCAAAATGTATGGATTAAACTTTAGAACCCTTGGTTTGTCGTTGGTGGCTCAATTAGCTAACTAACTTACTGGTACATACTATCTGACTTGAATGTCACCTGAAGAATGAGATATACACACACCTATGCCCGCAATGTAACTTCATGAATCTTCTCAACAAGTTTAATCGGTGCAGATAGACCGAGATAGCGCACTACCATAGCTGGCAGGTTACCACCAAGGTCCATGTGAGCAATGACACTAATGTCACACATGTTGGGATTTGTCGGGTGAGGCGTTACCACGTAACCTGAAATGAGGATGATTGCACGAACGTAGCCCTTGCGTTCAGGTACATGCTCGACCGAGCGAGTAGCAATAAGAAGGCGACCACTAGTCTCTTCGTGAAATGTAGAGACAACTGAAAAGTCCCGAGCTGCTGTGAACATAACAGACTTTGCCGTCACGCGACGCACTTCCGAGACATCACTAAGCTTCTCCATGGTCTTCACTTCCTTGGTCATGTCATCAAACTTGGGTACCATATCACAGCGCATTAGAATAGCAGCAGCCTTCGAAGCACTCACGTGAAGTGTACCCGTCGTCTTCATTGTGTACCACTCACTACCAGCAACCTCGCCATAAACGACCTGAGTGTCCTTATTTGATGGACCTTCACGCCAGCCATTAGGCAATACATCCACACCATCATAGCGCTGCAGAAGTTTTCGAATACTATCATCTTCAAAAGCTCGAATGTTGGCACGCACAGACGCAATGGGAGCGGGAATGGAAAACGTCAGTGCCGACGATGATTCCTCCAGGGGGTTCTCTTGTTGTGGTGCGCCTTGTTTTGTCTTTATGCTGCCGCGCGTAATTTCTACAGTGCTTTCAAAAGCCATTGGAAGTGTATGTGAGGTGTAAGTGACGTAAAAAGTTGATGCTGGAGTGTCTTGCTTTGAGCAAAATGAAGAATGACAGCTTTCAGTCACTCACTTACTCACTGGCTCAACATTGCGCTGACCGTCAAGTTTGCGATACGATTGTATCGCAAACTCAACGGTCAGCCCGAGAATTCGGGAGAAGCCGACAAAGTATATATTATTATATTACAAAGGGTTTTGATAGAATGATTACGTAGATTATGAATAAGGTTATAATAGAAGAGCCTCGGGGCAATAGTACTGTTTCTTGCTGGTAGAAACGTGTTATAGCCGTGTTTTGGACAGTCTTGATGACAGATGGCGGAGAAATAATTGTCACAGCTGCTAAGGCTCATCGAATTGGACAGGGTTGTGAGAATGAGGAAGAGAACGAAGTGAGATCGTACGACGCTGTGCAATCTCCATTAACACACAGTGTTTACAACCAATACAACAGCTAGATTTTAAACATATCAATATGGATAAATTCCAGCGTTGACACATCGCTGCTAGCAACATGGAAAATTCGAGCCTTTGAATGTTGTCGGACCAACACTGATGCCCACACATATCTCGCATTAGGTCACACGCTCACTGATTGCGTTCTTCGACACGACGATTGCTTCGTCCCGTATTGCTTCAGGTTAAGGCGGAGAACTGCGTCTTGCACTTGATGACAGATGTATGAACTATATCTAGCTCTATCGCAGTGCATGAGTTGCGGTAACGCCTTTTACGCAGCACCAGCAGGGTCGCTTGTCACAAAGCAAAAGGTGCCTTATAATGAGACACGTAGTACGTCAGTGACACCCAAGCGGCTCACACCAGCAACTTGGCATCAAGAAGACTACGGATGCTGGCTATGATGCTCGGAGTCCGTAGTCTATCACATGGGCAGGTATGACAACATTGTTGTTTATTCAAGTGAAACTTTGAGCTTGGCAAGTTATGACGAAGGCGGGCTGTCGATTATCTACGTGGCCGTCTGTCGTGATAAATGCGGTGCCAACTTGGCACTATAGGCATTGCTGCCAGCATTGCTACCAGCTGCTGTGTTGCCTGCATACCCTGCCTCAAAGCAGGGTACGGACTGAACATGTGGTGTCAAATAAGTCATTAGCGAGGTAACGTGTTGTTAACGTAAGCAAAGTAACAAACAGGTGGCCTAAGCGTCTTCCATCGACTCTTGACTTCGCCATGGTGAAACAACGCAAACGGGACTTGAACAAATTAAGTCGTTCCAACAGCTTGTCCCATCACCAATCGGGATCTGCGACTTTGGATCGTGGGTGTAAACTAACTCTTTTGCATCATCATTATCATCATCTGCGTCAGCTCTATCGCAAATCCACGAGATCTCAAGTCGGACCATACCTTACTTCAATCTCATCACGTCCAGCTCAAATTAGACATGATACTACCCCACTGTAAGATGATATGGTACGCCTGTAATCAATGCTCCTTTTGAGACGTTGCTGTTTCACGTACGCGACATCGATGACTCTTCGTGTTGGCGATGACAGTTCATTGTGCCGACAAAGCATACGCTACAGCTGAGCTTGCCATCTGCAAACCGTACAATTGCAATGCGACGAATGGATGCTCCAGGTGTAACAGCCGCAAACAACGAATCACTTGCGTCAAATTTAGTGGTAACAACATTCACCAACCCTACACTTCATTCGACATGTCTTGCACGTTGCTACTACTACAGGCCCGACTTTGTCAATAATTGTCTGAGTGAGCAGTGATTGATCGAACAAGTTATGGCGACGCTCAATCGATTTGTTGAGATAGCCGCTTCAGTACATTGCAGTTGTTGGTACTGCTTCGGTGGTAACATACTCACGCACTCACGTCCAGCGGCTGCATAGTTGCACTGCAATGGGGTGAACGAAGCCTTGTGTTATCATACAGCCGGATGCGCAGCGTGCTGTGCACAGATAAACATCCAACTGTTCTTATTCATGTCTTCTTGAACATGTCTTGGGATGTTTCTTGCTCGGCCAAAGAGAGCTAGATCCTCGAACACTGACCGTCCTTACTTATTGATTGCTTACCACTCGATATCGTGTCTCTGCTGACCTCCTCACCTTAAGCTACGTCTGCCACAAGCTATACGATCACCGTTCATCGACTGCATCATACACCATGGTAAACTTAATTCTCTGACTGCTTCGGAAATATGTCCGTGTCGATCCTAGGCTCCAACTACATGAAACTCTTCTCTACACTTGTGATACACGACGTGGTCATCGCCGTTTCTAGTGATATCAGCCAAATACTGTTGCACTCCATTGCTGCAGTGTTTGCATTATACTCCTCTACACACCACTGCATACAGCCTCGAAGGCTGCTCATCCGTCGTTATCGATGTCTACAGCGCGGAGTTTATATCCTCGCTTGCCCTGCCCTCCATTATTAACACGGTGGATCGGCTATTTGGAGCTAGGTGTCCATAGCTCTGACTACTGCTTTGTACATGAGTGTGCTTGCTTGATTCTGCTTGTTTGGTGTCTACTGCACCGACATGATATATGCCGTTTTTCATCAGTAGGTAGTGCTTTTATGTATTGCTCTGAGCTATAAAGAGAGCATGTAGATACGAAATGCTATGTATGGACAAGTAGTTGGTGGCTTTAATTACAATTTACATTACGCTACGACGTCAAATATCATCATGTTTACATTTCCTTCGTCGACCTCGTGTCCAGCAGTTGAATAGCATCCGACAAGACTTTTTGTGGGGTGCTAACAACTCAAACGAACTTAAAGTCTAAACCAAAATGTGGGTCAAATACAAAATCATTCGGATGTAATTCGATTTTATTGCTCTTATTTAGTAGTCATTAGACCTAAGATGGACCCTAAAAATGAGAAGGCTTTCTATTGGCTAAAACGTTACGGCTCTTTACGAGAATTCAGTATATGCAACACTTTGTCAGCAGATACAAATGCATTCACCAAGCTTAGAGAACCATGGGTATCATACGTTAGACTCACTGTATCCTCAGGCACGTAAGCTCCAGTTTGAACTGAAGATGCAAATGAGCTACTTGGAATCTGGTCGTACGGGAGGTAAAACGGATACAGAACTCCAGGCTGAAGCTCGTGAGAACTTGAGCACGCTAGAGCAATTGCTGTGGCAGCTAGACTCGCTCGTACAGAGAAGCATTAAGCCTATGGAGAAGGACACATGGATGAAGAAGTTGCAACAATTAAGGAATGAGACCCATGTATTGGGTAGCACATTGGAACAACATATTTACAGCGTTAGCCGTCGAACCGTAGAGGCGAGAGAGAGGGAAAGACTCTTGAATAGAGTAAGGAAAACAAGGCATAGGAGCACAGGATCTGCAAGCTACGACCTCATACTGATGTCGTATGGTGTTGTTGCTGTTGTGTGTTTGAACAGAGCTTTGACAGTGGAAATGGGGCAATGTACGCTGCACAGGAGTCGGAAAGTCTGCATCGATCTTCACAGATGGTCTCTGACCTGACAAGTTTATCACAGTCGATACTAGGAGATCTAGGAGAGCAACGTAATCGAATGAAGGTATGTATGTACTGTACAAGTAGATTCGAGTAGACGTCGATATGACTGACTGTGTGTTTTATTGTTTGTGACTGGACAGAATGTACGCACAAAGCTACTGGACATTGCAAACCGATTAGGTCTTTCAAGTTCATTGCTACGAGTGATTGAACGACGAGATACAGTGGACTATTGGATTGTGATAGGTGGTATGGTTGTTACATTGGGGTTCCTGTACGTATGTTACGCGTATGTGACATAAACTTCCATCGGATCATTCAATGTTATGATTGAAGTAGGTGATTGTTTGTCTACTTTTAACCAATCACATTGCTTCTTGTAACATTTTTAAATACAAAGTCATAAGGTCAAGTCTAAAATCAGCTTGCGGCATGCCCCAGTCAGATCGGTCCACTGGTCGCAGCATCCGTCGCTCCCGTCGTTCTCCCTCTCGCTCCCGATCAGTCTCACGCTCACATCGTTCCTCTCGCCATCGCTTTTTGAAAAGGCGCAGTCCGAGTCGCAATCGCAGCCGAGAACGATCGCGACGAGCCCATCGCCACAGTCGCAATTATCGTCACCATCGCTCACGCTCTCGCTCTCCTGATCACCGCAAGCGTAGGAAATGTGACAATGAGAACAATCGACTGCGACGTCATTTGCACTCTCGATCTGCGTCAAAATCGAGAACGAAGTGGCAGAATGAGAGCAAAAAGGAGAAGAAGGAGGTGACGGTGACGTTGGTTTCGTCACGAGATAGCAAGCTGGACAAGGAGGAAGAGACGGAGAAACTGGTAGTTGATATGCATAAAAAGCTCGTTACTGATAGCGTGGAGAAAGAGGCGGAGATAGTGCCAAAGGTCGTGGTGCAGGAGAAGAAGGTGAAGGAAACAACTGTAGAAAAGGAAGAACCTACGAACGGTGCTTTGAGGGTCGATTCTGTGGAGCAGCAGAAGGTATTAATGGATGAGACGAGTTTTCCGTGTGCATCGAAGCCAGTAATGGATGTCAGCTCGATCAAGAAAGACATTTTGAAGGCTTTGGCGGACGCAAGAAGCACAATTGCAGTAATTAAGAACAGTGGCGCGGGTGATCATGCCACGACATTTCAGGCGTCAGCATCAGCATTGGGTTCAATGAAGGTTGAAGCGGAGCAACAAGATCAGAAAGTGACGTCGCCGACGAAGCAGACAATCGAAATGGCTGGGTCGTCTCGATTCTCGAAAACAACTGTTAGTGCAGAAGGTAAGACTGACAGCGGATACCCTGCGGACGAGTTTGACATGTTCTCGATGGCGGCTCTAGATGACCACGATGGTGCGATGGAGGGCACGAGTGGTGTCGCTGCAATCACTGTGGACGAAGTGTTGCTGCAATCGAACCGTGATGACGCAGAGGGGTATTACTTTACCACTATTGGTGAGATACTGAATGGTAAATATCGCGTGCTTGGTGTTGTTGGCAAGGGCGTGTTCTCCACAGTGGTCCGTTGTCAGTGTATTACCCCTTTGGGAATTGCCGGCAGTAAGGCACTGAACGTCGTAGCTATCAAGATTATTCGAAACAATGATATCATGCGCGATGCCGCACAAACAGAGCTCAAACTATTGAATGAGCTACGAGAGCGCGATCCTCGTGACAAGAAGCATTGTATACGGCTGCTAGAATCATTCTCTCATCGCAATCACGTCGCAATGGTATTTGAACCAATGCAAATGAACGTAAGGGAAGCCATGAAAAAGTTTGGCGGAAAGGGCGGCATTTCGATACAAGCTGTGTCTGTGTTCAGTAAGCACCTGCTTATGGCGCTCAATCATTTGGAGACGTGCGGAGTGATTCACGCTGGTACGAGGGCTTTGTTTTGTGAGCGGGTGTTGTGTACGCATAATCAACGCATTTTTGAATGTTTTTGTGTAGATATTAAGCCGGACAACATTCTGTTGGATGAGAAGCAAACGACGATCAAGCTTTGCGATTTTGGATCCGCTTTCAAATCGGACGACGGGAAGCAAGATCCGACACCTTACTTGGTGAGCCGCTTTTACCGCGCTCCTGAGATCGTGCTGGGTCTCGCCTACGACAAAGCGGTAGATATGTGGTCTGTCGGCTGTTGTTTATACGAAATGTTCACTGGCAAAGTTATGTTTCCAGGGAGCACGAATAACGAGATGCTCAAACTCTTTATGGAGCTCAAGGGCAAGATTCCGAACAAGCTGATCAAAAAACACCGTCAGGTATACATTGACCAGCTTGAGATGGAGCCACACTTTACCGAGGATCTCAAGTTCTGTAGTCGGGAGAGTGACCGCGTCACAGGTGAAGCAGAACGCATGTCAATGGTGGATGTATATGATATCATCGTCTAACATTGTGTTTGTATGATGCGTCCATCTAGGTAAACCCATTTTGCGCTTGATGGACACCCTCAAGGCCAAGAGCGATCTTGCTAGCAGTTTGATGGCTGCTAAAAGCACGACGGACGATCGAAAGCTTGTGCTGGAGCTCCGGAATCTCTTGGATCGGATGTTCACGCTGGACCCGTTGAAACGTATCTCAGTTCGAGACGCACTGGCGCACTCGTTTGTGAAGAGAGGACAAGAAGTAAAAACACCACGCTAGATGCTGGTTTGAATAGCAAGCACTTAGGAGAAATATACTCATCACTACGCAGTTGCCTGAAAGGGCAATAACACACACGAGACTCTTACGATATTACACGGAGTGTTTATTCTAATTGAGCCTTTCTGGACACGTCAGAGAGTTTGCAGGTTCTTACACCGGCGCGTCATCATTCAATAAGTGACGTCATTTTGACCTGCTATCAAGATGAAGACTGGCTGTGTGAAAAAAAGGACAAGTATTTTTGCAATCTTTTGTCACCACTATTACAAGTCCCACATACATATATGGTTTACACTATTTGTCACAATTGAAGTTGCGCCTTTTTTTTAAAATAGAGTCAAACTGTATCTAGCCGACACTAATTGATTTTTGCTCTTAAAAGATGTATCGACGCATCCGGTCAAAATCTTCCGTACCACTTCATATTGCTACTTAATGATTCATGTGGATGCACACTTCCTTACTAAATCCAAGTAGTGTTTCACAACGAAACCTACCTCATTGACGTCAAAGCTGTTCGTGCAACCTCCATCCACACTTTGTGTTTCGAATGTTGCGCAATATTCCCATATCACTACTTCTCCGTAAGGGGGTACGATCTCACTCTCACGTAACGTCCGTGTCATCATTAACAGTACCGGGTTTATCGTCTGAAGTACGTCATGATTGGACAAAGGAAGAGGTTGGACAAATCTATGACCAGCCATTATTAGAGCTTATCTACAAAGCTGCAACAGTCCATCGAATGTATTTTGATCCAACAGAAGTACAACAATGTACACTTCTCTCCATTAAAACTGGTGGATGTACAGAAGATTGTAAATACTGTTCACAATCATCTCACCATAAGACGTTTGTAAAGCCTGAACCAACCAAAAAGGTCAGTTACTTATCATAAGGTATCCATCCATATTTGAGTCATTTTGGTTTTCTTATGTTGCATGAATGTATACGAACTTTAAAGGTACAAGAAGTGGTGGAAATGGCACGACGGGCGAAAGCAGCAGGTAGTACACGTTTTTGTATGGGCTCAGCATGGCGTGAAGTGGGTAAAAAGAATGCTTTTCGGCATATTCTTGATATGGTACGCCAAGTTAAGGAGATGGATCTGGAAGTATGCTGTACACTGGGTATGCTGACAGAGGAACAGGCTGTACAACTCAAGGAGGCTGGCTTATCAGCATATAATCACAATCTTGATACGAGTCGGGAGCACTATGCCAAGGTGATTACGACGCGCACGTACGATGATCGCCTTCAGACCATTGAAAATGTACGCAAAGCTGGTATCTCCGTCTGCTGTGGTGGTATTCTAGGTCTTGGTGAAGAGAAGATTGACCGTATTGGTCTGCTCCATTCACTCGCTACCATGGAGGAACACCCTGAGTCTGTGCCCGTGAACGCGCTAGTGTCAGTAGAAGGTACGCCGCTTTTTGAAGAGGATATTGCACCCGTCACTGCGTCGGATATGGCGCGTATGATTGCAACGGCGCGGATCTTGATGCCCAAGACTATGGTGCGGCTGAGTGCCGGACGTATGTCCTTTACGGACTCGGAGCAAGGCATGATGTTTATGGCTGGTGCCAACTCGATTTTTAACGGAGACACGCTGCTGACGACGGCTAACCCGGCGTTTGAAAAGGACAAGAAGTTGTTTGAGAGTTTTGGATTGAAGGGCAAGCCAGCGTACCAAGCGCACAAGTCCACGCCATATATTGTCAAGGTGACCCACTCGGCACCTGTCGAGACGGAGGCTGTGGCATGAGTTGCGGAGAAGTATAGCATCAGGCAGGAAGAAGCGCGCATGAAGAATGGCAATCTTATGACCTGCAGCCTGTGAAGATTAAGTTGGTAGCCTCATAAACTTTTTTTAACGCAAAACATTTGGCGCTTTGCATTGTGTAAGGGAATCTATATTATTCTACGCTTGGCATGCACGATGAGTCAGTCACGACTTAGTCCAACTCCTTCGCCTTCTTGGTCCGATGTCTTGTTTTCTTGGAAACTGTCCTGTCCTTGATTGGACGCTTCTTCTTCGGCTTCTCCTCCATTGTCTCATCACCGTCTTTATCCTTCGTATTCACCTCTTCCTCTTCCGACTCATCTTCCGGATACAAGTCAGCCATATCATCTTCTTCTTGCTGTTTTTTCGTGCTAATCTTGAGTCCTTCGAGCTCCTCCTCTCCATCTTCCTGCGTCTCGTCCTCGTCGTCCGAGTATATAAATTGACTGTTTTCAAACTCAAAGGCATCTGCATCAAATTCTCCACACGTCTGTATCTTGTGATCATCTTCATCCTGGCTTTTCGTTACTTTAATCTTCACGTGCTGTTTCATCCGCTTGTACCGTTTACCCTGCATGTGCTTCTCCACTTCCAATGGAATGCGATTTAGAATTGTGCCCGTGACATTGCAATATAAGCTCTTGGGAAGTCTGCGATGTGGTACAATGTATGGCTCATACTGTGAGTAATCGTGACAATACCAGTCCCTAGCTTTGAGAAACTTCTTGGACTTGAGATGCGTCGCAATTAGATCAGCACGCGGCAGCATCTCGTGCTGCGTCAATTGACATTTAATACGCACGCGCTTATTTTCATCTTGACCAGTTTCAATGATCTCCAAGAACTCATGCGCATTGACCAACTGTTGTACTGCGGGCTCTACTCTTGACGACGTCATGCATGAACGGAGGTAGCACTTGAACAATCAGATTAATGATTAATATCATCGACTAAGGAGCTCCAGTCGACTGACCATGTCTTGTTTATACCGTGTTATTAGTGTATGTACATAACATATATGTGTCACACATAACGTCGAGGCTGAAGTGGTTTACACGAAATAATCAGTGCACGACATGTGAGGAAATTCAGTTGGTCTATACTGAGACGTTGCAGTGCGGTGACAAGCCCTTTCGAACGAAGCCTAAGACCCTCTGCGATGGCACTTTTGCTCGTCTGGCATTCATATGGAAAGGATGTTATAAGCAACTTCGCATCGGTGACTGGTTGTCATAGTTTTTCTCTTTTACTTGTCTGATTATCAGTATCTCGCCGGGTATCCTGGTATTGTATGGGTATTGAAAGTCTGATTACGACGTGGTGCTCGCTGTTTACGTCATTTTGAGCCGCACATTCGACGAGAGAAGGTAAAGTATTTATTGTTGTGTATTTTTGAGCAAACAAGAGAATGGTTCAAAGATGCTGGCAAAGGCAAGTCCGCGCATCTGTAAACCGCATCGACTGCGCTGTTGGCTTAGTGCGTGACGATTACCACTACCATGGCGTGCCTAAGATAACGTTTGTGTGGTGCCTGTGGACCACTTAATGGCCAGCGACATTCACAACGTGCTGTATAATGGAGGTGCATGTGGCCGCATTGCCATCATCCTTGATAACGACATGAAGTTTACAAGATGTTTATTCAAGCTACACTTCCGTTCTTGTTGGACGCGCCGCAGAACTCGAAGATTATGCTGCTGTGCTTCTCGCTGGCTGTGGTGATATCGATAAGATGTGTTGTGTCGATGCCGACCAGCCGGAGTGCCGGAAGTCCAGATCATGTACTGCTCAAAGGATGCTACAATGCAGAGAAAGGCAGACAATCTCTATCGGACGTAGTTACGGTTTTCAAGGAGTCTGGTAGATCCTAAATCTGGTTAGAAACGCCGATTCCTCGGTCAAGTCTAGTGGATGCACGCGCGGTGACGGCTCTCGGGATTGCCGTGCTATAATGCGCTGGCATAGTCCGTTCATGGTCGTTTCTGCGCGTCGGCTCTGGCGCTTACCGATAGCACGTTGTTGTCGCATGTTGGTTTACTAGAGCTTCTGCACGCTGCATCCGACGGTCAGGTTTTCCTGCTGAAACGCTGCCCAGTTTCTTTGTACCATAGGCGGGCAATGCATCTGCGGGTCAGGATGATCACTAGGCGCCGCCACACATCGACGTATGCGCCCGCCTCGTCGAGGTAAGCACGGTTGAGATGTCCACCGATAAACGTAGATCGATCTGAATTGCTTTGGCTTGCACAGTAGTGGCTAGGAAGTCCTGAAGACATCCCAGCTTCCATTGTTCTCAGTCTTGTCGCAGTTGAGCTTTTGCCAATACGCATGGACATGTTTAAAACATATGTTTCAGTGTCTCTTCTACTCCACGGCAGCTCAGTACAACTGTTGTCACTTGCCCTTTCTGCATGGTAGAAGATTCAATTGCCACTCGATACACGACCCATAAGTGACAGTAAGCCACACTCCACATGACTGCATTCATAAAACGTACAAACAAACAGCTGCTCTTCAATGACGAATCAATATATAACATATACAAGATTCAAGCAGTCAATTCATCAATCAATCAAAAACACGCGCGTACAATTTCAAACGCGTGCGAATTTCAAATAGTTTCATACCAAACGTCTTAAACAAGTTTAGTCATTCTCAATAAGCTCGTGTCAAGTTCACATCAACACTTCTCTCTCTTCAATGGAGACACCACCACCATCACCAAGACCACAGGGTAGTTAGTCCATGGATGCAAGATGATTGTCGTGATGGATATCGTACACCTACCTACTTTACCCACACATCATCCTGCCAAAATCCTGTTGCGTCAACAAGAAAACGAACGGGAACAACTTCAATCAAGCACTACGAATCAATTACTTGGAAGAACAACTATTACGTTTCAATCAGGGCCTTGGACTTGGAAGTGAAGAACTAGAGTCGGAAGTGATTCAGTTACGGTCAAGTTTGGACGAACGAGAGCGAGAGATGATGGCGTTGAGATTGCAGATGGAAACGATAAGGCAGCAACTTGTTGGCGCGAAGGAAAGCACACGCTTGCAGAATGCAAAGCTGATGGCAGCCTCAGCAGAACAGATCAAGTTAATTGATAGCCTGAAAACTGATCAGCAAGTGGCTCTGGACACTATTCAACAACTCGAGTCGCAATTGCACCAGAAGCGTATGCTCGAGAATGAACATGAAGTCACGATCAAGACATTGAAGAGTAGATTACATCATGCTGAACTCACCGAGAAATTGTGGCGTGCGATGGTGAGCGAAAGCATCAAGCAGGAGCGTGCAAGGCTGAAGGCTGACATTGAGCGATTTGGTAAGGAGAGACAGGAATATGTTGGTGAGACGGAACAGTTACGTCTGGAGAATGTTAAACTGACTACGGCCTGTGAAGAGCTGACAAAATTACTAGATGGTTTGAAGACTGACAACGAGCGGTTACTCAGGTTATGGAAGTAGACAACTGTCGGCTGCGCCAAGAGTTGTCGAGCTTTCAAATGGAACGTGAGTCCTGGGAGCATAAGCTTCAGGATAGTGAGAAGAGGATTCTAAGCACGTGGTCGATCCGATATGAAGATTCGCTCTTGCGAAAGGAAGAGGAGATACGATCTCTTGAAGAAGAAATTCGGTGTTTCCAAACCAAAATGACAAGGCAGAGGTGGCGCTTGCTCGAGCAAATCGCAACATCCAGGCACTGAAGCGAAGTTTTCGTGAGGTAGCACAGTACGACGTTGATACTTTGAAGGAAAGTAATCGGTTGCTGTTTGAGGAGGTTCAGGAGCGCCGGAAATCTGCCGAGCATGCTCGGAAGCAGTACAGGCAAGCGGTTCGAGAGAACGAAGACCCACTCAAGGCGATTGCAACGTACAAAGATGCCATAGCTGGCCGCGATAAGGACATCGAAAAGTACAAATCTGCTGCGATGAAATACGCACACGTGGTGAATTTGGCGAGGTGAAGCAGACGTTGAAGGAGCAGCTGAAACAAACCCAGCACATGATCACGGAGACATAAGCGGTTGGAGAACAGTTCGATTGTCCGTGGCTCTGTAGTCAACGCTTCAGACAAGAAGGAAAGACCCGAGGTAGCTAATTTGCAGCTGGGTGCATTAGTCCGCCGGATGCACGTAGTATCTGAGCGCTGGAGTGACTTGTTGACGCAATCTCAAGAGCTGCACCGACGATACGGTAAACAAAGTGCCTGGAAGTCAGCGTCGCGTGGACCTGATCGCACAAAAAGGCCAACCTCGTTGGGTCGACGATGTTGACTAAAAATGCTCTCGGCTTCTCACTGAGGCTGTACATATTTCGCGATGTGGTCAATAACATCGTAGGCGTATTACAAAAGGAACAAAACGAGAGCACGTCAAGCAGGAGGGCGTCGTTCCTGGAGACAACAATACCTCGGTGAACCCGCAAGATGACACATTGTCTGCGTAACTTCCACGTGACAGTGATTACTTTGATGGCAAACGGCGATCGCAAAGTGTTAGCCGACGGCACTTTGAAGGCAAAATCAAGCAGAATGGATTTGAAAAGCCGTGCCGCAACCCCACGGCATCAGCTTTATCTCGTCCTCGCTAGCTCGCGTGGGCAAGAAAGTACACGACTTGCAGACCGAGATACGGCGTGCTCACGATTAGAAGCTCAATCGAGAGTTGTCGGGCTTTCAAAGCGTTCAATACTCGCTCTTGTCATGGCATAGCAGACTTTACTCGAAACTCAACAACAGGCTCAGTTGGTCGAAGCTCATTACCTCCGTTGAAACTGAGATCCTAGCGTGTATTTGAGTAGGCTTAGGATCTATCCGACATCTTGCAAACCTTAACTACGTACCAACAGAAGATTGTCTGCCGTTATCAATCAAATAAGAACATGTGGAAAGTTGAAAGATGTCAGCAACAATTACAGACCGTTCTTAGGATAACTCACAAGACACATGTTGTATTCACATGATCATTACCAAGCGACACAGGTCCATTGCCACCTTGCTTTGGTGACCAGTGTTGGTCAAACTTGTCAAGTTTCGACACTTGAGAACTTCCAACAGCAACAAATGCCTAGCTGCTGCCACTGCTCCCGTTCACCCCTGGTTTGCCAGTTGTCATTAATCCTGATCAGCTTCTCCTCCACGTCTTCAAATCGCTCTGATCCACAGCGGTTGCGGTGGAAATAACCCTGAATACGCTGCTTCTCCGCTTCGCTCAGTGCCTCAAGGAAAAACTTGAGATGCGCCAGTGTCAGGTCTTTTCGTGTAATCAGCCCACGCACTTCATTACTCCGGTTAAGCAAATGAGATGACGCAGTCCGAATGATCGATACAGACAGAAAACACGCGGTACTGGAGTCTGCTCCTGAACAGTGTACGGCGTAGTATTCATGTATGATGTGAGATCCATGCACAAGTCTCGCTCCTCCTCGTCTAGTTGAATGTCGCTGACGGATGGGTATCGTGGGTAGCTGCCTTTCATGTCCCGGTATGAAAGCGCGCACTGGTCGTTGTACAATAGCGTCGTGTCACCGGCAGGAATGCGAACAAAGGGTTCTGGTAGCACAGCCAAATGGTGTCGATTGATAATGTTAGAGAAGCGAGTAGACCTTCGTTTAGCGCTAAGATTAGGTCGTTGCCCACCACCTGCAGTGTCCTGGCTGCGGGGCAAAATCACTGGAAAAACACCGTATTACAATTCTTCAGCACATCGTAAATCTCACCGACCTTGGCAATCTGCGGTACGCACGTCGGAGGCGATCTCATGAGTAATAAGGCGGATCAAACTCAAGAAATGACAAATAGTTCAAGTGAATGTGGATGTCGTACAGCCCCTCGTTGAAACTGTTGCCAACCCAGAAAGCAGCCATTATGAACACCACAATAGGAAGACCCTACTCGATCACGCCCGTACACCCAAGGATAATCACTGCCAGCGAGATGGTCATACGTGCCATGCCACCAAGCATACTGGCAGCACCAATTAGAGCGAACATACCATCCTGAGCGCCCACAGGAAGTCGAGGTAGTGAACGAACATCACACAAATGCGACCATAGGCTGCGCCAGCGAGCAAGCTGGGCACAAACAAACTTGATGGCAGAGCAATAACCGTAGGTCCAGCACGCGAACATACAGAACACAACGAAGAACATGCACAGCAAAAACGGCGTGGAGCTGTCATCGCCAGTGAAGTGCAGCAAATACTTCATGCTCGTAGCGTAATTTACGGTGAAAAGAGACGCCAAATCATTAAACTGACCCGCTGGACTAAAAAACCGCGGAAGTGAGTCGCTATAGTCGCCAGCTAGGTGTCGGTTTGTCCAACTCATTGGCTTCTACAAAGGTCATGAAGTAATTCAAGATGAATGCGGACACCATCTCGCAGAAGAACGTACGCCACGTGAGATATTTGGTGCTAGAAGGAGGCACCCTCCTCAAGTGCAAACAGAACACAACCAATGGGAGCACCAAATGCAGCTGCCACGCCAACAGCAGCGCCATGCGAGATGGAATCACGCTTCACTTTGTCGTTACGGAAGCCCTTGAACTTGGTCCAGCTCGTATCCACTCCAAAGCTTGAGAACTTGCCTTGTGATAACCTAGCACCAATGCGTGAGCCGCTATGAATCATAGGACATTCCTTACCGCTCGGTAGCCCTCTAGCCACGCTAAAAGGATGCCAAACGCCTTGCAAAACAGCGTTTTCAGACGCACAACACGGTGGATCTTGATCCCATTCAATGTCGCTTTGATCTCCGAGATACCAGATCCATCAGCAACTGGCCAAAGAATAGCAACACAGTAGCTTGCTATCGATACGAATCCTACACTAACCAGTGCGTAGAAATCGTAGCCAACGTCAAAGCTGTGCGATCCATCCACATCACCAGCGACAAGTGATTCCACCGTCGACGTACGAAATGTTGACAATAACGATGTCCAGAATTCGACAAAACACGCAACACGCAACTAAAGCCGTGCCCAGACCCATAAGAACAGTCATGAACCAGCGCGCAATATTCAGTGACCGAATGGCGCCTTCCGTCTGGTCTTGATCGTGTTGCATGTTGACACGAGATTCAAAAAAGTCATAGCTAAATGATTCTCGATGTTGTGCCTTGGCATGTGTTTCTCGATCCTTTTCCTTTTGTTCTTGTTTCCGCATGGCTGTGGAGAATGGATTGCGTCCTTTGCTCTTGAGCCAGTCCAATAACGTTGTCCCATTACGTTGTCGTGACGCTTCTTCAATCTCAAAACGAGAGAACCGAGCACCGGAATACAAGTCGCTTGGAAACAAATGAGTCTGTAGGACGACGTTGGTTTGAGGCGTAGATTGAGGTAAATGACATGACGGTGCTGCGTGACGACTAGCGGCTTTCCAACTTGGTCCATCCAAAACAAAATCAGGCACAAAAGACGAGCGAAAGATTGAGGATGGAGAGCGTAGGGAGGACGCGGTGCGTGTCAAGGCCGTAAAGTGACGACCTGGTGCGTCACTAGCGACCACGTCTTGGCCAGAAGAGAGTGTATCACTATCATCATCACTAGCAGCTGAGACAGTTACTTGTATATTCGAAGGAGATAATGATAACAAGGCATCTGTCTTCGTAGGTTTGCCAGAAGACGTCATGGAAGACAAGTAAGGATGGACTATGGAGACTGATTGAATAATGGAAGCCGAATGCTAGCTCAACGTGCAAATAATTGGAACATTTCAAGCAATTGTGATGGCGGATGCGCTTCCTCATCATTTTCCTTCTCTCGATCAGATAGTTAGAATCGCACTCTCCATATTTTAGCGATAAGCAAATAGCGTTTGTCATTCACCTTCTAATTTGCTATCCTTGATGTGTCATGAATGCAAGTCGTTTACATTTATCTTACTCTTCTGTGCTTTCATGACTTGTCTCTCTCTCTTTTTACTCAAGAATTTGCTGGTGAGGACGACGCACGACCTCCAAGACAAGTCACGACTGGCCCCAACTTTTTAGCAAAGTCCCTAATGCTGGCGCCAAAGTAAAACTGAGGGAGACCTTCTCTCTGCTGCGTGCAGTCCACAGGACGTGGTGCAATGTGCGACTTGTAAGGTGGAGGGCGATCCACAGGTTATCCCGTGGGGAATGGCGCACCGACACAGCTTAATTACCTTCTTCCTCAAAACTAGATCTTGCCCTTCTGAATATGCCCGAAGTCGCTGTCTCGTTCGCTCAACGAGAAATTCTGTCCCACGAAGCGAACCCCTCTTAGAACGTGCTGCCCGTGTTGTGATTCAGTATCGGTTTGTACTGCAGAATTCAGATATTCTTCGTCAAGTGGTGTCGTCGCGGCAAGTCTGCACTAGATTCACTTCACGCGCTTGACATGGAGAGCCAAACAAGTCAAGCGCGTGGAAGGGTCCAGGACTTCCGTCATGATGGCTCGTTAAGACTGTCCGCAGAGTTTTGTGATCCGTCCCCTCGACCAAGCGTTCCTTGTGCCCTACCCGTGGGCTGCTCCAACTATGTGAGCAGTCTAGCCATCCGTTCAGAGTGGCCATCCGTCAAGCTAACTTCGACCATCAACAAAGCCTACGTGCCCTACGACCCTTTTCCTCCCTCCGTAATTCTGACGTATCGAGCGCGCAGAATGAGTCGACGAGGACGGAGACGGTAGAAGATAAGGTCACACTCCACTTCCAGGTTATGTGCGTAGATGATTCTAATCAAGAAGACTATCTGAACTATCATCGTTATCTTTTTCGTGCATCCATTGCATGCTGAATCGATTTGCTTCAAAAAGCATCACCCAGTTCAAGCCACAAAACACCGGTCATTTGGATTCCATGGCCACTCGGCATCCGCCCGTCCTGATACACTCCCCTGCCTGAAAAAAGCTTGTACATCCTTCAGACGTCAAGTTATACGCGCAATTTGTGTCACGTGTCTCCCCGGGTAAGAATCTTCTCACAGTCTACAGTAAATGGATGGAAAAAACTCACAAATTCACAGGGTGCGAGAATGTGAGCAAAATATCAGTGCATGGCTAAATGCACAAACAGGAGAGTCGTACGTTCAAAGGTCCTGTGGCCAAGAGTTGGCGAAAGCGCTATAATTCCCCTCAAGGCGCTCAACTGTACTACTTTCATAATGACATCGACTGTCGAAAGCAATTTTAGTTCGCACATGATGAGCTGGTTGTGGGTGTTGCAGTGCGGTGACAAGCCCTTTCGAACGCAGTCTGGGACCCTTTGCGATGGCACTTTTGGTCGTCTGGCATTCATACGGAAAGGATGTTATAAGTAACCTCGCATCGGTGACTGGTTGTCATAGTTTTTCTCTTCTACTTGTCTGATTATCAGTATCTCGCCGGGTATCCTGGTATTGTATGGGTATTGAAAGTCTGATTACGGCGTGGTGCTCGCTGTTTACGTCATTTTGAGCCGCACATTCGACCAGAGAAGGTAAAGTATTTATTGTTTTGTATAGGTCTTCTAAAATACATACGTTCTAATTATGAAGATCGTGCCACCGACACAGTTTAATTTGTGGCAAGAGTCAATTTATCATGAACGTGATTACAAAATTCATGATCGGGGACATGACGGTTGCATGAAGATGCCGCATTCAGCACCACACATACACCAAACAATCCAGTAGTCATCAATCAAGTCATACGTAAAATTTCCAAGTCCAAGTCATAATAATACTTTACTTCAGTTACTTTTGTCCATCATGTTCACTCGCGCCACTTCACGTACTTCATGGACATTACGTCGCGCCTACTCTTCAGCCACCCCTGGTCATCAGAAAGTAGCGGTCTTGGGTGCTGCAGGAGGTATTGGCCAACCCTTGTCACTACTACTTAAGGACTGCGACCATATCAAGCATCTGAGCCTTTTTGATGTCGTCAACACGCCTGGTGTGGCTGCGGATATTGGTCACATTAACACAACCGCCAAGGTAACGGGCCATATGGGTATGGAGCAAGTGGGTGAGGCTCTCAAGGATGCTGACGTAGTAGTTGTCCCGGCTGGTGTGCCTCGTAAGCCTGGTATGACGCGTGACGACCTGTTCAACACGAACGCTGGCATTGTGCAGTCTCTCGCCCAGGCTGCTGCCGAGCACTGTCCGAATGCCATGATGCTGATTATTGCCAACCCTGTTAACTCTACTGTACCTATCGTGGCTGAGACGTTCAAGAAAGCTGGTGTGTACGACCCCAAGCGTCTTTTCGGTGTCACGACACTTGATGTTGTCCGTGCTGCGTGCTTTGTGGCCGAGAACCAACAGTGGAACCCACGTGATACTAATGTTAAGGTGATTGGCGGCCATGCAGGCACCACTATCTTGCCACTGCTGTCACAGCTTGAAAACGCCAAGTTCTCGGATGAGGATATTGCTAAGCTTACCCACCGCATCCAATTTGGTGGTGATGAGGTCGTGCAAGCCAAGAACGGCACAGGATCAGCAACACTTTCGATGGCGTACGCTGGCGCACGCTTCACCGTCCGACTCTTGGACGCCATGAATGGTGCCATGGACGTTGTCGAGTGCTCATACACGCAGAACGACGTGACAAAGCTGCCATTCTTCTCGACGCCCGTGACACTTGGCCCCAACGGTGTAGAGAAGGTGCACCACTTTGGTAAGCTGTCGTCTGTGGAACAGGCCAACTTTGACGAGATGATTGTGGCTCTTGAGAGTCAAATCAAGAAGGGAGTGGACTTTGCCAAGCAGAAGTAAGTGCAAACGATGACACGCAAATAGGCAAGCTGCGCTCGTGCTCAAGTGCTTACTTTGCTGCTATCATCGTCGACCACTACTCGTGGGTGAATGCATGTAGACAGACAATGGTGCTGATTGGTTAATCTCTGCTTGGCGCATTCACTTTTGTGCTGTCAATGCTACATCGTAATATCAAATACAGATCTTGTCGGGTATTGCACGACGACGATGAGTTTCCAGAATGTTCGTTGTCATACGCTGATAATGCCAAACTACACCTATCAGTACTTGATCACTTAATATCAAGTCAACTCAAAGACCAACGTAAGGAAGGGTACAACTCATTTCATGCGTGCAGAGTTGCTGATATCGATCACCTGAACTGTAAAGGAGCCATGAAATACTCGGTGCTGCTGCGACTGCAAGTGTAAAGATAGTAAAGATACTGGTGCTGCAAGTTGAAAGTAATCGAATCAATCAAAGCTGACACACTTGGATGCAAAAGAGAGGAGTTATTCATCTTGATAGCCCCGAGTAGGATATGTTTTAACGTAAACTCCCACATCTGCTTGACTAACCACATTATTAGCTCCCCATCTTGAACCTTGCATTTCAGCACTTCTAGCGATGAAGTCCATAATAAAAGCACTAGACTTCTCCTTTGCCATCATCAACACTCGATCAATTTATCTCGAGCCAATTTTTGACGCAACTCGTTCGAATCGTGGCGCCACCAATGTCGTCGCAGGCTTTTATAATATTCGGTGCAACCTTCAAAAACTTGATCCGCAGACTGATATGATCAAACCCTAGCCGATCGATGCCTTCTCAAAGCCAAGCTGCAGATAACCGCTTTAACCAAATCAAACGCTCTATCAAGTGAGTTATTCAGGATCTGAATGCCTATTGGGACATAGCGATCGCAATTTAACTCATATGCGACGAGCGAGTTTGAATTATGTCAATGATTGCGATTCAATCGCACATAACAATTGTGATCAAGCATCTATGATGAAGACAGGAAAAATGAATTGCATGCAATGTTTAAGGTGTAACCAACAAGTAAAATTTGACCATTTACCTCCGAGGTCAAAACAAGATGGCATCAAGTGGCGATCAGGATCACATCGCATAAGTCCGTGATCGCAATCAGACCACTTGGATTGAGAGTTTTAATTAGGGAGTAAAATTCCTCGTCGCTGTTGGATAAATCAGTTCTTGAAGATACCAAGAAGGCGCTGAATGCACGAAGTAGATCACAGATCTTGAAGGACCCATCAGATTCCTGCTTTCTTTTGTTGAAGGAATATGGGATCTCCAGAGAACCTCCTACGAGGTTACTTCCGGATAGAGATGTACGTCATGAGGTTGACTTGGGTTCCAGGAACCAAATACTGTGTGACGCGACAGTGGCCGCTGCCACGGGAACAATGTGACGTCATTGACGAGTTCTTTCGTGCAAAGCACGCGGCTGGCATGGTGCGCGAGAGTAAGTCTCCTCACTCTACGCCCACGTTTTGTGTGAGAAAGCCTAATGAGAAGTGGCGAATAGTGCATGCTTATATTACGCTGAATGCAGCCACTATCCCGGCTCAAACAACGATTCCTCGCAAGGATGTTCTTCAGAACAATATGGTGGGATGTACGATGTACAGTGCCCTCGACTTAGTCAATGGGTCGTACCAACTGCTCATGCGAGCTAGTGATATCCCGCTGACAGCGGTCAGTACTCCGAGCGGTATGCTCCAGGAATGGTTATTGCTGCCCCAATGGCTGTTTGACACACCTGCAACGTTCAATCGTCTAGTGACGCAGTTGTTTCGGCCTCATAGGGCGTATGCACAGACACACTTTGACGATATATTCGTTCATAGTCGAGCCGAAAATGGCACGACTGAATGTGGAGAATCACATCGAGCACCTGCGAGCTGTGCTCGGTTGCATGATGATGCTTAAGTTGTATGCCAATATTGACAAATGCATCTTTGGTGCGGAAGAGATTCCCTTTTTGGGTTGCTTCATTGGGAAGCGAGGAATCCGGGCAGACCCTGTTAAGGTCAAAGCCATAGTGGATTGGCCGGTTTCAAAGAACCAAAAGGACCTCCGCAAGTGTGGTTGGGTTTGGCAAATTACTTGCACAAGTATAGCCACAACTATGCGGAAGTGGCTAGGCCATTGTCCAATCTCCTTAAAAAGGATGTGGAATGGTGTTGGAACACCGAGCACCACGAGGCTTTTGAAGCCATTAAGGAGAGTCTCCTTCAGGCGCCAATTATGGCTCTACCGGATCCTGATCGCCCATTTAGCGTCGTATGTGACGCTTCGGACTTTGCCATTGGCAGTGCACTTTTGCAAGTTGACTCTGAGGGTCGAGAACGCGTCATCGCGTTTGAGTCTCGTCAGCTGAAAGCTGCAGAGAAGAACGATCCAGTTCATGACAAGGAGCTACTTGCGATAAAGTATGCCCTTGTTAAGTTCAGGGTACACCTGTTAGGCTCAAAGCCGTTTGTGATCTATACAGATCATGCGTCGTTACGCACAGCGACACAGTCGCCTCATCTCTCGCAGAGAATGGCTCGTTGGCTCTCCTTTTTCGCGTAGTGTAGCTTCGAGGTGAAGTATAAGCCGGGGAAACAGAATGTTTTGGCTGACGCGTTATCGAGTAGACCTGACTATGAGCTTGCTCATCTCACTGTTGTGAGTCCGTCAGTCACGGATCGTATCCGTGTGGCGTATGCATGCGATGAGGCATGTGTTGCCATTCTGCAGGCGCTGGGTAGCGCAGAGTTTGAAAACTCTAAGGTGAAGCTGTCACCACGTAATCGTGCGAGATTACATCGCTATGCACTGACCGATGGTCTGTTGTACTATAGTACATGGTCGGTCGACCAGCCTCGTGTTGCGGTGCCTCATGATGAGGACCTCAAGTATTCGATACTTTATGGGGCTCATGATACACCACTTGGTGGTCATTTAGGTCGTGAGAAGACCTACAGCTACCACTTATTGGTGGCCCAAGTTGTATAAATGGGTTGGCACCTACGTACGCACGTGTGAAACGTGTCAAAGGGTGAAGCCCTCGCCTAGTATGGCTGCGCCTTTGGCGAGTTCGTCTGTACCCTCAGGGTTGTGGCAGTCCATTTGTATGGACTTTGTGCTTGGCCTACCGCGTGATGCGGCAGGCAACACTGGGATTGTGGGCTTTGTTGACCGACTGAGCAAGATGGATCATTTAGCGGCAGTGCCGGACTCCATTGATGGAGAAGGAACATCTAAGCTGTTCATGGATCGTGTGTTTCGACAACACGGATTGCCTGTGGCAATCGTCTCGGATAGTGACCCCCGTTTTACGGGTAAGTTTTGAACATCCGTCTTTAAAGTGCTCGGCACTCGACTCGACATGTCCACGGCGGATCATCCGCAGACCGATGGTCAGACTGAACGCGTGAATAGCATTATTGGCGATATGCTTTGCAGTGTTTGTGCTGGAAAAAACACCCAAGCAATGGAGCACGATGTTCCCACTCATTGAGTTTGCGTTGAACAAGACTGTGCATGCATCTACAGGCTTCAACCCGTTCTATGTGAACGGTTTGGTCAACCCTCGCATTCCGTAAATGCCACATCTGCCACATCAGGGCTTAGTGGAGGAGAGATGGCCGAAGGCTTGGCTGATATCAGCCCTGTTGCGATGCGCAAGAATGTGGAAGCGTTTCTGTCAACGCGTTTTGACGTAGTACGTCGCGCTCTTCAAAGACGCTATGGCTGAAAGCCGAGATGTTCAAAAGGAACAAGCAGATGCCAAAAGCGGAAAGAACGAGCACGAGCTCAAAGTGGGCGATTTAGTTTTATTAAACGCTAGGAATTTACCTAATCGTGCCGTTTCTGCGGTATACAAAACCAAATTACGTCCACGTTTTATAGGACCCTTTAAGGTCATAAGAAAGAAAGGTTTAGCCTATGAGCTGAACCTTCCGAAGAAGATGCGAACACATCCTGTGTTCTATGTGAGCTTACTAAAGCCATATCGCAACCCTTCCTCGGTGGACTTCTAGGGGTTGTCCCCATATTCCCGGCCAAAGGAGACGGGTAGTACGACACCGGAGGTGCATACGGACGCTGAAAGCGTACCAAAAGATCATGGATCGATGGGTCACAGACCCCCGCCAACGTTGACTGAGGAGCTGGATCCTCAACAGGTTCACGTCGAGCGTCTATTGGCGCGACATCTTCATCAGGGCCACACCCAGTATCTGGTAAAGTGGAATGGGTACCCTCAGTCGTATGACTCGTCGGCATACAAGGTACCCCTACGGCAAGACTGCCCGGACGTCGTTGAAGCTTTTGATCGGGATAATCAGAAGCGGCGACAACAGTCGCCGGATGCTTCCTAGCACTAAGTGCTGTGGAAGCAAGGTCAGTAATTAGGCTTCACCTCTGACATTCTTGGGAAGCAGTTGCCGGCACCTCACTCGCGTGAAAAGTACTATTATCTGCTTCAGAAGCAAAAATTACGGCGTATATGGCTCTGTCTATACAATAGCAAGGCGTAAAGACGTTGGGAGCACGAAGAGCAAGTGGTAAGAGCACGCTATGGCTCAATGAGCATGTGCTGGACACTTCGGTCCATTTAAGTAAGTGTATAACACTTAGCTGCTATATAAGCACGCGTTAATAATTATGAAGATGTAGAGCAAGTGTGAATCATAATGAAGCTTTATAAGCAAGTTTGCAACACTTGGAGCTTTATATAAGCAAGTGGTAAATAATGTTGTGCTTTATAAGCAACAGTAGCACTATGGCGCTTTATACAAGCAAGTGTGAAGCACTATGAAGCTTTATCAGAAGTGTACAACACTTTGGGACTATTTAAGCAAGTATTAAGCCCTTAAAGGCTTTGTAGAAGCAAGTGTTCAACACTAAGGTGCGTTATAAGCACGTGTTAAACATTTAAGTACTTTGTAAGCGAGTGTTGAACACTAAGGTGCTTTAAAAGCAAGTGTTAAGCGTTGAACACTAAGGTGCTTTAAAAGCAAGTGTTAAGCGAAATGTGCTCTATAAGCAAGTGTTGAACACTAATGTGCATTGTTAGCTAGTGTTCGACACTAATGTGCATTTTTGGCTAGTGTTCGACACTAATGTGCCTTGTTAGCTAGAGGTCGACACTAATGTGCATTATAAGCTCGTGGTCGACACCAATATGCATTATAAGCTAGTGTTAACATTACAGCGCTTTGTGAGCTAGTGTTTCACACTTATATGCTCTATCGCTTATAAGCAAGTGTTTAGAACACTGAAATGCTTCAAAGCAAGTGCTAGGCTTTTAAATGCTGTAAAAGCAAGTGTTTGTTTAAACACTAATGGGTATTAATAATAAGTGACTTAACGTTTATAAGCAAGTGTCGTAACACAATAATTCTTTAGCGTGAGTGCAATGCACTGTATGCTCAAGGAGCAAGTGTCGTAACACTAGGATGATTAGAAAACGTGAGTGCAAAGCACTGTATGCTCAAGGAGAAAGTGTCAGGACATTAACGCCTTGTTCGCAATTGCGATGCACTTATTGCAAGGCAAGAAAAATGGATAGAAATATTAAAAATTTGATGACTCCCATTAAGATCAAGAATCGCGGGTACGTCGGGTCCCACGGATTGGTGGACTCTCCAGAGCCCCACCAGGAGCATTGCGCGTTGCAACTAAGGTCTTCGACCTCCAATCAATCCATGGCTCATGACGTTCTAGCCATGCCATGCCTAAGATAAGGTCATACCTCGCATCCAGGTCTAAGACCAAACAGCGTTCCATGCGGTTAAAGTCCAAGAACTTTACATCTAAGTCCATATGGACTTTGGGTACCGTCACACGCGTACCCGTCGCTAAGCGAACTGTTACCGTGTCACTTTCACGCGCTACAAGCGCTTCAGAATATTGCTGACTACCTTCCACGGTGGCACGGTGCACATAATTGCCCGATGTCCCCGAATCGATCAAAATGATCCATGGCTTATCATAGCCCTTGACCGTCCTTTCGACGACTAGCAAGCCTGGCTTGCATTCTCGTTCCGTTTTTGAGAGTTCGGATCTCTTTGGGGCTGGGCCCTGTTTACTTCTACCTCCTAGAGGTTCAACAGAACTCAGTTCTTCCCCAGTAGGGCGCCCCGCGCCTACAGGGTTCCGCCGTTTCCCCGCGGCAAAACAGAAGGTTTTCCCATGGGGGGTTGGCCCTTCAAGGCCAAATATGCCTTTCTTGCAGGGCATTTTGCCATCAAATGGCCCGTGCTCTTGCAGATATAACATCTGCGCACAATTTTTCTGCTCCGCAGCTTAAAGCTCAGCTTCTTCATCCTCCACTTATCTACAGTCCATGGGTACAACAGACCCATCAGACGAGTAGTTATAAGTGGTAGGCCTAGCGGCCTAAAAGCTTGGTCTCGGCATTCCATGCCACTCCAACATCTGCCTCGAATGAGGACGGGTTTACCCGGAAGACTTCCGTTCTGGCAACGCCAACTCGGAGGCCCTCCATGAAGACCGTGACAGTCACTGCCTCAGGCATAGGGTCGATAACCATGGCAGCAATGAGAGTTCTCAACTCTTGCACATATGCCGCAAGCTCACGCTTGCCTTGGCGACACGCCAAAAACCGCGACCGGTTGCGGTGTGCTTGGTTTGGCGGTGCATACTGCCGGGTCATCTGAACTTTCAGATTGACCCATGTGGGAAACGCATCTTGCAGTGATGTACCACATGTGAATGTTCACTGTTTGGCTAAACCATCTAACTTGCCCGTGGCAAAGCCCAAACGGTACGGTTCATAGGTGATGTCGGCTATAAACATAGCCGACTCGACCTGTCGGACCAAAGTATAAGGTTGTCACCTTCTTCTTTGCCGTCGAACTTATCGACTTCCGTTTGTATGGATTTTTTTGGTCTGTAGACCACTTCCTGCGCCATAGTCGCTATGGGCGAAGGCGCAGAAGAAGGCATCTGTGCCTTTACATGCTCGACTAAAGCTTTATTGTATTCATCAAAGCATATGAATACGCTTGTTAATCCTCTTCTTCGCCTTAGGTAATGAGGTATTCCACGCCCTTAGGGCCAAGGATAGGGAGCCGCTTTTGCAGCCCTTCATGCTGACATTTCTTCGATGTCCATTCTCACACATAGAAGTAGTCGCAAGCCCAGGTGCGGGATTAACTACAAGTTCAACCAGGTGATGGATTGACTACAAGTTCAACCAGGTGTAGCCGAGATACTGTAACAAAGCTACGTATGCACTATGTGCAGAGGAAGACAAGCTCCAAGAGCTTTTATGTCTTAGGGTGCTTAACCCTTCCAAGACTAGCTTCGCAAGCTTATGCCTTTTGGTTGTAAACAACCACGTCTTCTAGAAGACTAGTATCAAAGATACAATTCTAATCTTTCAAGGATTAAGCTCTAGGATGTATGCTATTCAGAGCAGGTTTGAAATTGATTTATATTTATGTTAAACTTCTAGCACTAAATATTTAAGCACCTGCTCTATACTTAGTGCTAGCCAGTATTTATCTGGCTCTATAGCCTATTATTATTATGCAAACATGCATAGTTACTATACTTGACTAAGTATAGTGACCACGTGCCGTGCAACCCTTCGTACTTAAGGTATGATGGTCACATCAACCTACCACTGTACCCAAGGTCCAGCCACACCATTGTGGTGTGGTTGTTACACAGGTTGCGTTTTATTAATATGTCTTTTATTCGGTATAATGATTTGTCAAAACAAGGTGTAGCATTAAAGTAGAGTAAATAACCAGATTCCTCTATTTTACATCGTGGAAATGCCATCTCAGGTGCCCTGTTTTATTTTAGCGAAGTGTATTTAGCGTGTTTATATTAGTCCAGCCAAATTATGTGCAGCACGTTAAATGTACGAACGGCACTGTACGATCAATTACAGTGTGACGACACTTATTGTCGAAAGAAAAAGGGTTACTCGATCGTAACCTTTGGAGACAAAACGTTCAAAAGTTCATGGCCGATCCGGCGACGAAAGGAATGGCGTCCGCGCCCGCAAAGCCACAAGCTCAACCACGTCTTTCTACATCATCCGTCGCTATGTCAGCTAAAGCCAAGACGCAGGCGCATCCTCCAGTGTCTTTTTCATCTTCTACTGCCCAGCAGAAGCCTCAAAACGTTGGTGACAAGACGACTCCAGTTGCTCCCAGTCGAAGCTCAGCTTGTACGACGTCTAGAGACGTTAAAACGAACGCAAAAGCTTCAATTTCATGCTCTAAAGCAGGTGTAGATGCTTCAGCCATGGATCGAATGCTTCGAGCGCAGGAAGAGGCGCGTAGATTGCAATTTGCTCTGGCGCAGCAGCAGGTTCAACAGTATCAAGCCATGACAAAGCAATTGGAAGCACAATCCGGTATTTCTATGACGCCTTCTAGCTCTATCAAAAGCAGCAGCTCTGCGAGTAGTAAAATGGCTACGAGTATGACGGGACTGACCAAGACGTCAGAGAATCTGCAGAAACTTCGACAGGAACAACTGGCAAGACTGCAGCAGAATGCACAGCGACAGGCTGCCATGGCAGCAGAGGCGATGCAAAAGCGTTCAAATGAAGAGTGGATTCGGAATAAGCTGCTGCGAGAGCAGGAGCACATAAAGCTACTGAAAACCCGCGAGCAGCAGCCATGTCAGACTAGCAAAGGGAATGCCGCGACGACAACCACATCCACATCGATTGCTGACAGCTTGTTGGCACAGCAGCAGCAGGTTATTCGACAGCAACAGATGCTGAAAGATATGCTGCAGAAACAGCAGAAACGGCAACAAGCACACATGCAATTGCAAATGCAACTAAAGAAAGGAGGGGACAAAAGTGCCAAGATAACGCAGACAACTACGGCAATATCAAAGATACAAGCCAAACCTTGCGTTGCAACTGCACCAACGTATTACTCGGTGAAAAAGAAACAGATGAAGAATACGTTTGATATGGAATTGGAAGCACTGGCAAGGGTCTGTATTCGAGTCGCCAATGCAAGAACTGATAGTGAAATGCGTCAAGCTTTGGATAAAATGACGTCGTGGCTACAACGGTGCACGGATCGTTTGTTGCTACAAATTGCACAGCGAGACTATCGTGACTCACTTGGCCACCGCCGGCCGATGCTTATTCAACAAGACCGGTGGCCACCGGATCTCCATGTCAAGTCCGAGGGTGTCACGCAAAAAATCACACAAATGCTGGGCGCGTTCTTGTTGCAAGAACAAAGTAGAGCTGCTCAACCACCAGTTGCTGTAAAAGGAGCTGTGGCTGCCAAGTGTGCTGTTACTGCTGTGTGCTCTTCCAATGCTTTAACTAGCGGCACCGTCTCTTCCAGCTCCACTACCGCTATCACTTGTACTACTACCACTTCTCGTGTTGCTACTCCTGCCATCACCGGCATGTCTGCTGCTAGCTTGGCCACTGGCGGTAACACTGCTAGCATATCCTCCACTAGTACTGTTGCCACTGCTACGTCTAGTATCGTCCAAAAACAATCAGCAGTCGTAGCGTCAATAACCACGGCTTCCGGTACACCAGTCGTGTTGCCGCCAACACCAACACTTGTTCGAACCGTTAAAAGCTCTATAAAACGTGACATCGCAGCAATCGAGCGGGAGTACGCTGAATTGAAGGCCCATCTTCAAGCCAAACAGGTTGAGATTAACCAGAAGGCAAAGGCAAAACGAGATGCGGCAAAACTGGAAGCGGCCAAAGCGCTCGGCGTCATGTGTAACCGCGGCACAACAGCTTCAATACTAGCACCTACACACAAGCGCTCGTTGCAGGTTAATATCCCTTCTTCCGTCAAGAAACAACGGCCAGATGCGTATGTATTGCCACCAAGTCCGCAAACCGCTGGCTACCGACCTTCCACACCATCTGCTACTCCAATCTCTCCTCAAGTTGCGCAGCAATTTTACGATCTAGATTTGACCACCCGAACTAGCTCCGAGTCTGAGGACAAGATGTACTTGCCGCTAAAGGTTGTGTCTAAAATCATGTATAAGGTTCTGCTGGGCACGTATGACAAGGATGTCACTGGTGGCGATGTAAGTATAAAGCGCGATGAGCAAGCAAAGGGTAGAACATTATTGCCAGCCATCTCACACATCCCTCAAGAACACGAATCTAGGTTGGAAGACACAGTCAGAATAAGCGATGAGGCTGTGACCTTTATGCAAGAATGCGTCACCGAGTTTCTGCTGTATTTCACTAGCGAGGCGCGCGATCTATCCGTGATGCAGAACCGGAGAACGAAGAAAGGTGTAGGTCTGTCGATCTCTGGCAGTAATGTCGTAGAAAGCATGGAGAATCTAGGATTTACACCGTACGCTCACGTGTTAGCCAGATATAACGAGAAAGTCAAGGCCAGTCAAGATGCCGCGGCGCGGAAGAAGACAGAACGGAAACGACTCATCCAACAGCAGACAATGCAAAAAGCTGCGGCGGCGGCTGCTGCTGCGAATGCTGCCAAGGCGACGACAGCAGGTCAGAAGGCAGTTTTGCCACATGCGACGATGAAGCTGACGAATCCGTCGCCACTAGCGATCTCGAGACTAGGTTCAAGCGTGTCCGCAAGAATAGGGGGGGCACCGGCAAGGTCAGGGATAAAGACTGCAAACCCGACTGTAACTGCGACAACAACGACACTGCCTGCAAAGCCAGCAATGACAACAATACAGGCAGCACCGACTACACGTGCAGCACCGACTGCTTATGCAGCATCGGCCTTACATGTAGCGCCGACAATACATGTAGCACCGACAATACATGCAGCATCGACTACATGTGCAGCACCCACACGGCACACCACGCACCCCGCCGCCCGCCCCCCCCCCCCGACTACTTATGCAGCATCGACAGCATCGATTAAACGTGCAGCACCGACTGTATATGCAGCACCGACTGTATATGCAGCACCGACAGCACCGACTACACGTGCAGCACCGACAGCACCGACTAAACGTGCAGCACCAACTGATGCAGCACCGACTGTATGCAGCACCGACAGCACCGACTAACGTGCAGCACCGACTACACATGCAGCACCGACTACACGAGTAGCACCAACAACAAAAAGCCTTTGAGTTTTAAGCAGATGAAAACATGTTGTTTTTGCGTTGACACCTGGGTTTATTCATGTTTGTTAATCGGCACCTTCTGAGAAGTGCGTGTTTGATCTGACCCTGCTTATAACCTACCTATCTGTGGCCACGAATGTTGGCGGAGACTCCATTTTCGGCCTCACGAAACAGAAAAAGATACTTACTGATACACGCACGTGCATGGACAACGAGGTAGTCGATCAGGGAGTAGATAGCTTGGACTAGGCTGACAAATTCTGAGCGGTATTTCAAGCTATAAGTGAAGCGCGTCCACGAGCCGACGAATAAGAAGCCGCTATTTATATGTTCTTCGTGTACTGCTGCGAAATTTGCGATCGCATTTCCCAGGACGAAGGCGACTTAAAGTAACGCAGCATGTCCGCTTCCGTAGGCTGCCCGGACAGAGAGACAGGCAGAGCGGCAGCAGGGGCGAGGCTCGCTTCAACAATTGTACGTAGCTGAAGAGTCGTCGTGGAGAATACCGAAAAGTAGATGGTTATTCGTGTACGCAGACGCTTTGGCTGGCGGCCACGGTAACGATAGGGCTCCTCCTCTGGCTCCTCGGGAAAGTCCTCTGCGTCATCATCATCCAACTCCTCTTCCTCCTCATCGTTTTCAACAGCTCTAAGCTCATTATCGTCAGGCCAGCGCATAAATTGAACAGCTACAGCACTGCCGTTTGAGTCGCCAATACCACGTACACGCCAAGCACGATAAGCCATCAATGAACGCTTCCGAGACCATCCGAACGGAAAATAGTCTTGAGGAAAAACCACCGTCGGTTCTTGCTGATCCAATTGCAGCAGAAAAACTGCGTCAGCAGAAACCAAACTGTTCGGAAGTGATAACGTCATAGTCGTGTCCGTTTCGGTGATATGGAGCACCTTAGTTGTGTGCGTATGAACGCAACGTGCCAACCACGAAAGTGATGACGCTGCCGTAGCCGATCGAACAGAGGCAACGCGCTGTCGCTGCTGCATGTGATGCTCGTCGGCTTCGCCTCTCCACTCACCAGTTAGACCCGTAGCGCCCGCAACCGCTGCCTTACGCAGTGAGGCTGCCACTTCCAGGTCGTGGGGTGAAAGTACCGCATCTCGGATCGCGTGATAATAGTCCGCAAACACGTTCATGTACGGTAGTGGGCGCAATGCGCCTTCCTCTTTATCGCCTGCTTGCTGCTGGTCATCGTCATCCAGAACCACCCACCATGCCTCATGCAGTAGCCATGGCTCGCAACTCTTCAGCATTTCGTACAAGTCCCACTCACCTTCGTCAGCAGATTCCGCGTCGCCCCAAGACTTATGCATACGACGTGGTAGACGCGATACCTGGGCCTCTACGGCATCATTCAACAAATTCACAAGCTGTGCGTAAGCAGCCAATGCACCACGTCCAGCCTGGGCACAAGCATGCATCTTATCACGCAGATCCTCCAGCCGTCCAGAGTTTACCAGCGATGTACAAACTGTCACAAGATTCGAGCACAAATGCAGCAACTTCGGATTACTCAATGGAATCTGCACGAGTGTACACTTTTTACGAGGAGACCTCAGAGTCTCATTCGATGTGGTCGGCATTGGTGGAGTGATCATCTCAAACGAGTGGCGATACACCTTAGGGTTCGACTCCTTCTGCTTTGCTGCAACTTCTTCAAAGCGATGAATACGCTTAACAATAGTGAACGCTAGCTGCAAAATACGTGCGCGACGGTAAAGTTCACTGTCCGTAGGGACTGGAGCCACCATTGGAGGCGAATATCCAGGCGATGACACGGGCGACAAAGTTGGGCGAATTTTCTCCGAGGCCTCAATGGCAGCCGTGATTGCCTTATCTGAGTCCGTGGAGCGGTTGCGCTTGCGGTTCAGATAACTGTCAGTCGTTGTTGGTGACATCATCATCATCGGAATGCCACCTCCTTCTGGAATCATGCCTTGTAAGCTGCTCAACCAAGTATCACGCCGTACGTACGGGTACGGCCTGGCAGAAGCATACGCATGCTGGTGCAAAGCTGCAGCCGTAAGACGCGTTGTATTCACAGAAGAAATCCCTGAGCCAGCACAAGAAATTGCAGAACTGGATGATGACATGGCAGAGCTCGCAATCGGGGTGCTCGTGTATGGCGAGTGATTTTCCAGTCGAAGTTGCATCATACCCGTGATCGGCGTGAGCACAGGAACTGCTCTCTGGTGCTGGCGCGACATGCTCAACGAGTTGGAGACGGGCATTGGAAGTGCAGCTAGCGACGAACGTCGGGTGTGGAACGCTCGATTACCTTCTGCTGCTCTCGGTTCTGCAGATCTGTTCAGGAATGAGCCAACGCCAGGCAACGGTGGCGTTGATACAGGATTCTCCTGGAGACCCTCAAACTGCGGTCGTTGCGTTGCAGTAAGTGACAGTCTCTGTGGTGGTTGAAACTGCTGTTGCTGTTGGCGCTGCTGCGGTTGAAGTGTAGAGAACGAGACGGTCGAAAAATAATCCGTCTTGAGTGAAGCTGATCGAGTCAAACGCTTTCGTTCACGTCGAGCTGGATCCCGTTGTCCCGACATGAAACCCGTCGGTGGTCGATGCTGTTGTTGAGCTGTAGCGTACATAGCAGTAGTATTAGCTGCAGCACTAGTAACACTGCTTGCTCCATTTCCCAAAAGATCATCAATACTCTTCGTATTTTGTGGTCCCAATGGCGATCCTTCTCCAGATCTTTTTGCAATAGGTGTTACATTCCGAGGCAATTGCAATCCTCTTGCTGTATCCATCGAGTTTGCGACAGTTTCATTAGCAAGTGCGCCTTGAGTCATCGGCGAGCGAAATGTTTTTCTAGCCTTGCGACTCGATGAGATCCGAAATGCCGGTGATGCGAGAGCAGCAATACACGTCAACGTATTTTCATTTCCACTCGCACTTGTACCAAAGACGTAGACCTTAAACACGTGTAAATTCTTGCAATTGAGCCGCGAAGATTGCCATCCATAGTGCCACGACTGGCGATTACCATTGAGCAAGAAGCACGTATTGCTTGATCCAATTATGCTGCCACTAGGTACTGCTGTGCCTCGAAACCATCGTCCAAAGGGTTGATCCGGCATTTTAACATCGTTCAAAAGCTCTTGACGAGGATATTCTCGACCGATCGTCAAACAAGTCCGTCCTAAACTTGTCTCCACTGCTTCGATTGCTGCGACGCGTGTCAATGGTGATGATGATGATGTCTTTCCATTTGATGCTTGTTGTTTCGCCACTTCTTCAAATCGACCCAATACTACTTGACAATTCGATACGGCACATTCGACAACAAGTCCCGAGCCACAGAAACTCTTGGGATTATGACCACCGCAGCAATGAGGAAAACAACGGAGATTCTATCGATAAAAATAAAACCATAGAGAGAGAGAGTATAAGATCAAAAGAATATATGGAAAAGTGGTTAGAATAGTGAGAATAAATAGATCAAGAGAAATCGAATAAAATACAAGTGTAAGTAAAATTAAAAGAGAAATGAGGTTTGTAGTATAGTACCTTATGACCACTCGCTTTGTTGCTTCTGTTCAGTAGCAAAAGAACAATGGAATCAAATCGAATGGTTAGGAGGGATGAAGCCATATATATCGATAAAAATTACCCCCCCCCTTTCTCTCCATCCCCTAACTGTTTTTCATACAGAATGATTGTCATACCTTAAATATTCGCTTGTAAAAAGCTCCTTCTCGCATTGATTATGAGTAAATCTACATACACTTTCGTTTCCTTTTCCTCCTTCTATCTCACTTGTGTCTCGAGTTGACTTAATATGGTAATTCGTCTCATAAGCACGAGTAGAGATTGTATTCATCCACTGTTGTTTTGGTTGGGTCGTCATGTAGTAAACTGACTGTCAAGTGCGCTAGATCGAGGAGAGAGCCTCTTGCGTTGCGCCCTGTCAGGTTAGAGAAAGCGGGAGTCGTCTTTTTTCTGTCCCATCCTGCTCTCTTCTCTAAAGTGGCCAGCGATGGGCCAAAAATGCATCGCAGTCGTACAATTGGACGACAAGAGCGTTTCAGCAATGAGAAAGTGAAAGGGAAGGTGGAGCTTTTCGATTTTGAACCAATGAGATAACATAAAATGGTAACAGATACGGACGGACAGGGAATCCAACGTGGTAGAGCAACGTGTTGGAGTTTCGTATTCACCATTCTCTTCTCAGGAGTTTTTCGGTGCTATTGTGCATTAACTAAGAGTATCATTCTTATACCAGACGGGAGGAGGTTCTTTCTTCTTGTGTGTTTTCATGTCAATATACTTTAGTCTATATACATATTAACCACTTGAATTCAAAGAGATTCAATACCGCGTGTTCCGCCTGGTGGTGAGTCAATGTCTTTTTTCTGTCTTGATTCAGGGTGGACCTTCTGACAGCTTCCTCCTCGCACCAGACCAGGACTTTTCTGCACATCCTTTAGATTAAATGCACTGCAATAAATGATGCATTGGAGAGCACTAGAAAGCTTTTCAATGCGATCCGACAATGCTCAGGTGTTTTCACTTGTGGCGTTCGCGGAACACGCGTGGTGCCTTTGATCCCGCCCAGCTAATTTTTGCTCGGGACTTGTCTCTACGTGCCATTTGACTGTATGTTTTTTTTTCTAGCAACAGGAGATAAAGTGCGTCGCTAAACAATCATCCATGCGCTCATTGCCACGCGAGAATACAAACATTAGGATACATCACGTCCCTGGATCTACAACCTGAGATGAGACACTTCTTGTCCGTCGTATGATAAATTGCTCTTCCTATCGAAGACAAACTTCAATAGGTAGAATACTACTGGAGCCATATGCGGTCACACGGTGCACATGCGACTCTCTTGGACTCAGTGACACAGCTCGTCGCACGTGAATCTATATCCAATCCAATCACTGCAGCGCTAACGCACGTCTCGTCCATACGCTAGCAAGCGACGCGTGGCTTGCTACTGATCAGCATCCAAACGTTCCCATCGCTAATGCTGCTATGCATCCTGATACGTCGACATGGAGACGCGACTGCAACTCAAGCAGCACGATTCATTGATTTGCAAACGCCAATTGTGCCAGCTGATGCAGCAAATTGACATGAATATGCGCTGCGTGGACAACTGTAGCCCGTGCCGTAGCTCTGCAGATGGTACAATTCGGCGAGAGATTGACGTCAAGTCTTTCGCGTGTCTTTGACGTGGCGGCAAATACAGCGACTTGGACTGTTGCCCAATTACCACAGCTCTCATCACATGCATCAAGTCAGACGTGGCTACATTCCAGGTTCTTGTCATCAGCGTATCACACGACAGTTTGTCGAATCAAGAAAACCAAACCATACTTGACGCCGACAAAAATGGCTGTGCAAACGAACACAAAGCGAGCGGTGACAAAGGCGCAGACGAAGACGTGATGACTTACCTGGATCGCATCACAAACGTATCCGACTATGCAAACCCCCACAACACCGCAGTGCGCCTCGTATCTCCTCGACACGCCGTAAGAAAATCGCAAACGTGAAGAAGTGCGTCGTGCAACACAAACACGTTGCCAAACACCCAATATATTTATACAAACTTACCATTTGCTTTCTCACTCTCCTTTCACCTCGCCCCACTTCGTAGCTCCAACGTTTTCAACACTCCGTAACAATCCGTCTAGCGCCTCACACCAATAAGTTGCTGCTGCGAGGCCTGAAAGAGTTTTCGTTTAGTCTTTGCCAGCTTGTACATCTCGCTCGTGTTTTTACCAAGCACGTCCAGCACAAACTGCGAGCGGCCTGGGTCCAGACTTGCCACTTTTTCGTTTAGCTCGCGCCTGTGTGTTGCCAACTCTTCGTTTTTGAGGGACAGTGCGGAAAGTGAAGCTCCACGATTGCTCGGAATGCTGGCTACCGGCGGACTCATGCTCGATGCAGTTAATGTCTGCTGCGTTTGAAGCGCCTCCTCACGACAACGGACACGCGCAAAAGCATCCTCAATGCCTCCAAGCTCTAGTGTCTGCATGCGGACGACCTCCAACAGTGCGTACTCCATGCAATCCGCATCGTTTTTTGTGTTAAGAGAAATGGCACTAAATACATCGGATGCTCGCTCACCAAAGGCTCGAGTCTCCATATCGTCATCGTCATCATCCAAACGGGACCTCAAGTCATCAGATGCTGCAAGTCTCTGCCGGCGCCGCTGCGCATGATCTTGATCCAACTTGTTCATATCATGTAGAAGTTCACACATGCGGTGTAAGTGGTACGACTGTTGACGCGAAGCTCGTGATAGTTGGCTTCCTTTTTGAGCTGTTAGCTGATACGACCTTGCCACGTCTATATATTTACGACGACGATCAATGCATGCCTGAGTTGATGCATCTGCTTCTTCTGTCTTAAAGAAACTTCTTGACAATTCCAATTCTGAATCTTCCGGGAGACCTGCTGGACCGGTTTTCGAACTCATGCCAGAAAGAGCCGTGCCAGTTGTGGTGACTAGCTTTGCAGCGCTTGAAGTTATGGCCGAAACAGCACTCCATGCACTCCAACTACTGCTGCACTTACTCTGTGTTGTTTCTTTTGACAATGATGGAGAGCTGCTAGCTGGAGACAATGCACTTCGAGGCTCTACCTCGTCATTGGGTAAGTCTTCGTCCACCGACAACAACAGATCGTCACCATCCAAACTACTGTAGTAGATAGAAGTGGCACGTCGAAGACTTTCGAGCTCTTCAGTGGTCGACAATAAGAAAGCACGTACTTCTTCCGTCACAGAGAGAAGCGGCAGTCGTAATACACCGCGCAAGAAAGCTTGCAATAGCCGCATGCGTTCACCAACAAACTCCTTCTCTTTGTTAAAGAAGATCTGCTTCCCCGGTACACAGGGCACTAGCTCAAATGGAAATTGACGTTGTAGCTCACGCTGCAGCCACACAAAATCGCTGTACCGACGATATACCTTCACTGAGGAGCAAGGCTCTTCCACTTGACGAAGATGCGTCCATGTCTTAGCAGCTTGGTACGGGTCAATGGCTTGTGCACCCTTTATCGTGTCACTGGCGATACTGATCACGGCATACCTCGTGTATGGGAGCAACCACGAACCCACTGTCGTCGGTTCACACACAAGCACCACCAACTTGCTAGGGTCATGTCTTCCAGCATGTAGCGACAGCTGTGCACGGACACAGTCTACTTGCTGCTGCAACTGTTCCGCCTTGGAATGCAGCTCCTTTGCCACCGCTGCAGCACTAGAGGCATCAAGTTGCACTCGAGCAAGTTGCGCCGCATCATTTTGCAGTTGACGTTTTAGATTTTCCGTCTCCGCCTGCAATGCTTCAGCTTGCTGCGATGCCACCAACGCGCGGTGTCTCGCTTCCTCGGCTAATTCCTGTGCTCGCTTCTTCTCCTGTTCATTAATTTCCACCTGTTTCGCCAGAAACATGGCGCGTTGCGAGGCCTGTACACTTTCTCTCTGCGCTATACGTGCGTGCTCTTCAGCTTCGTTTGCTAAAAGCTCCTTCTCCTTTACTTGTATCGTCCACGCCTCCTTTAGTCTGCGCAGCTGATTCTGAGTCTGCATTTCCATCTCCTGACGGGCGCGCACGAGCTCATAATTCTTAGGAAGAGCACGGGCACCCGTTAACTTGTCAAATCGTGTTACTCGACGACACGTAGGACACTCCATTACTGCCAATTCTCCGCTCTGAGCTCCTGCAAGACTTGCACCTGCCATTGCCCAGCCGTCCAAACAGCTCTAGAAAAATAACGTTGAAGTGATATATTACATAAATTACCGTAATTTTAAAGTTAAGTTTAGCGTAAGGGGAAGGGGTCAAGTATGGTAATATATAACGGTACCTGACAGTAAGTATGTCCACACGTCAAGAGACGTGGAATGTGGCCTTCATCATTATCATTATCATCATATGGTTCATTGCATAGTTCACATTCGACGCTATTATCCACTAGATCACGCCACATTGCAAATGCGTGCTCATCCACCTCCACAGGCGTTCCTGTTGTGACTGACCTATTGAGCATTCTTTACAATGTGTGGAATAAAAACCGTGAATGAAAGCTATTGCTCGTTTTTTTTCTTTCTCATATGTTGCTAAAGGTAAATGTAATCATATGATGGAGTCTGATTTAGGTGCAGAAAACACCAATCATATTCTACAAACGTGAGATAGACGCTAGTTTCTTACAGTATAGTTTGTTCAAGTGAGAAAATAAATTGCATTGCTCTGATTGCAAGCTTTTGACTGCAAACGAACCGTTATGATTCAAAACTCTTGATATAAAAGATGCATTATGTATAAGATCATAGAGTATGTAGAAGACAGTGGTAATATTGGGAGAAATGCTGCTTCACAATGCACAAAGTTCACATGTTTATACTCATTTTATGCATATTTATCTACTTTTTGCTCGACAGATACGAGCGTAGGCAATAAATGAGGCAGTAGTAGCAACGTTTACTTTACTGTCTATCTATATTCGGATAAGGTGTTGCTCTTTGTTGAAGTTGTAGTTTACGTATGACACACCAAGTATGTTCTTATAAAAGGAACTCGATGTTCTGTTATAGAGAGATACAGTGCTACCCAGTCGATAATATTGTCAAAGTCTGTCCATCAACCATGGGTCGAGTTAGTGCCAAGAGGAAGCTTAAGCAGTGCGATCCATTTTTCAAGGGAAAGCGCGACAATGGAAAGAAGGAGATGATGCATGACTTGCCACCTACGCAGTCCAAGCGCTCAAAGAAGCGTCGTCGCAAGATGTTGAGCGAAGATGCGATGGAGCAGTATGTCATGCGCACATCAAAAATGGTGGATGGCAACGGTTCTACGTTTCATTCGAAGAAGAAACAAAAGCTACAGATAGGATCTATACGAGAGGGCGAGTCTATGCGTGAGTTCAACAAGCGAATCAGTACGGAGGTCAAGCGTGTTATCTACGATGCGGCCAAGCAAGGCAGACGTAGCAGTGAGAAGCGCAAGACTTACTTGGCTAAGAAGAAGGAAAAGGTGCGCGACAAAAAGATGACAGAACAGGAGCGGTATGAACGTGATTACCAGGTCACAGGTAGTACGAAGAAGGACTACTTTAAGGACACAGCGCCTGTACGCTTCGGTGAGCGCGTAGACGCGCCACCTATTATGCCCAAGCTCTCGGGTATTTTTAAAAAGCGTGCAGACCAGCTTGCTCGCGAGAAGGCCAAAGCAGAAAAGAAGAATGCACTAGCAGCTGGAGCTCGAGTTATCAAGCGTGCTAAGAAGTAGATGTTACGATGCCAAAGTGCGGAGGAATATATTGCTGTCTTATCAACTCTAGGAAAATTGATCAAACTTGATAAGCCCACATCCTGTGAGTTTGCCAAGATCTGATGCTGTGTCGATCCCAACAACAACCTGGAGCACTTGGCCACTGACTGTTTCAATTCAATCGGAGCTTTTATTGCCAGTAGCAGGACCATTCAGCAGTCCACCACATTGGTGTGGATCCTTCCTCCGATCAAACAAACTCATGTGGTTTCGTCGCTCACGTCGCAACAGTACAACAGACACAACTAACAGCACTACCATCACCGCCTGAAACGTAGAGAATAAAACAACACGTCAGTCATTCAATGATTGTACCACGTCTTGCTGTCCTTTCAATCCACCTCTTACCTCAAACTTTACCACTGCAAGGCCCGGTCGTACTGTATCGGCCGGTCGACAAGCCTTGTAACGTGTCTGTCGTCCATGATCTCGCTTCGCAAGTGGCGATTTGTCCTTCGGGTCCCAAGGTAGAGGGCAATCTAGCTCCTGTCTGTACCCTGTCTCGCGGCAAAAGCTTTCATCCCTCTCCGAGCTGTAACATGACATACAATCTCCAACAAGATAACACGCTAGACCAGATGCTGGGTCATATATGCGGTGGGCAGACACAAGCGCTTTATCACGATGTTGCAGCGGGTTGGTCAAGTTATGCGCGATACCGGCCTTGATGAGTGCGGACGTAAACCAAGAAGTTTCCTGACGCAAATGACGACTTGGTCTTTCACCTGTAGCTTCATTTATTTCTTCCCTTCCTCTTACGAGCGTCCCTATTGTGACACAGCACGTCACCAGCACCACAAACACCTTCTTTACCTTCATTTGATTATGAACGGTAAGGAAAAATGTCTGGACGTCATTTATATTTAAATTACCATTTACTAGGAAAAATCGGATGTGAATATTTGGTAAATCTAAATATTTACGTTAGCAAATGAAAAAAAGGCTATAAACTTAAAAGACGACGTCGCAAAATTCAAAAAAACGGGTTTTATACAAAGTGTTGCTTTCATTGTGGTTAGGAAGCGAGACGACAATATGGCGGGTGTTGTGTTGGCAACAGCGGGCTACGACCACACCATACGCTTCTGGGAGGCAGCGTCTGGCACATGTAATCGCACAGTCAAGTATCCAGACTCGGTTGGCTGCTTGTTCTTGCTTCATTTGGAGTAAATCTAAGACTGTAGACCTGTTTGAAACACGGTCTTCTAACGTTTTTTATTCCTCGCTCTGTGCTTTAATTGTCATGTAGCAAGTGAATTGCTTGCAGATTACGCCGGATAAAAAGTACATTGCAGCAGCAGGGAATCCTCATATCCGTCTGTTTGAGATAAATAGTAACAATCCAAACCATGTGACGAGCTACGACGGCCACGCGAGCAATGTGACGTCGCTGGGCTTTCAGCGCAACGGAAAGTGGATGTACTCGTGCTCGGATGACGGCAGTGTGAAAATATGGGACCTACGAGCTCCTGGTTGCCAGCGGAGCTACAATGCAGGTGTGCCACTAAACGCAGTGGTGCTACATCCGAATCAGGCGGAGCTGCTGGTTGGAGATCAGAACGGATTCGTACGTGTATATGATCTCACAGCTAATACTTTGGTCACGAAGCTTGAGCCACCAACTGGAGATACAGGAGAGAGCAGTATTCGCTCAGTGGATATTGCGCGTGATGGTAGTGCATTAGTAGCAGCGAACAATCATGGCAAGTGTTTTTTTTACCGCCCGAAACCGGAAAGCCATTATCACTTGCATGGGTCGCTTCAAGCTCATAATGGTTATATCTTGAAGACGAAAATTAGCTCCAATGGCAAGTTTCTAGCTACGTGCTCATCCGACAAAACGGCCAAGGTATGGAACCTTTCGGTGGCCATGGCTGCTTCGGCAAACGGTGAGACGCCTGAAGCCGAGATGCACGGCAATGGATCGATTAGTTCTCAGAAACAGACGAGTTCTTCCAGTGTGAGCTCTACGCTAGGTCCTACAACACCCCCTGTACCAAGCAGCAGTGGCCTTATCCATACACTGCAGGGTCATCAGCGGTGGGTGTGGGACTGTGCATTCTCGGCAGTGTCGTCATATTTAGTGACTTGCTCGTCGGACCAGAGCGCTCGGCTTTGGGACCTGAGTCAGGGTGAAGCCATTCGTCAGTACAGTGGCCACCACAAGGCCGTCATCTGCGTGGCTCTCAATGATGCCGTGGCAGATTGAACCATATCAACGAACAGAAGGAGGAAATAAAGTGCAGAAGTATGAGCTAATGAGATGCCGAAAATGATGTTTAATGATGTATTCATGCTTGAAGGGCATATATCTCTATGTATACGTTTGCTTGGTCATAACGGCATAGAACTCTTCAAAGTTTACCTCACCATCCTGATCAATATCAGCACGCTCAATCATTTCCAAGAGCTCAGCGTCCGTCAATGTCTCACCGAGCTCTTTGGCCACGCGTTTAAGGTTCCGAAACGAGATCTTACCCGTCTTGTCGTGATCAAATTGGTGAAAGACCCTTTGAATATTTTCCTTCAAGTCGATCTTGCTCTACAAACATATGGTCACCATACAAAATAAGGTAAGCTTCCAGTCTCCTTCATGCCAAGTGTCAATCTACGATCGGTACTGACCAACTTGACAGTCATTAGATCCAGAAACTCGTCCAAGGTGATAAATCCGCTGCTTTCCATGTTCTCACTATCCCCACATTCCTTCATATTCTCATGCGTATCCTCGTAGCCCAATGACTGTATAACGTCAATGAGTTCTTTACGGTTAATAAGACCGGTATGATCCGTGTCAAACAATTGAAAAGCATTTCGTATCTCCTCCTTCTCCTCTTCGCTCAATTCTGTTTGCTCATAGGTTTTCACATGTTGCTTCTGTACGATGCGGTAAGACATGTTGACTAAACTACAAATAAGGCGTAGTATTATTAATCTAGGGTGATGGACGTACGTATAGCTCACGTGTGTAGCTCCTTGAATGGTCTTGGAAGTATGTGTCTGCCACAGGGACGTCGAACTCGAAGATGTGGATGTGGTACTATAGTAGATTATGATTGGTGGAAAATCATATATCCATCTTCGGATTGGATGAAAACCATATCCTATGACGTGGTAAATAGAATATGAACGAATCGAAAGATGTTATTTTGTATTCCTTTTTGTATTTTCTGTCTTCTCCGCACTTAGGCACATGGAGACTCCGACGACTCCGACGACGAGGCGCCCGATGATGACAGCGCGTGCAAGCAGCTTCTCCAGTGCACGAATGCTTGAAGCTCAGATGGCATTTCAGAATGTAGTGAAACACGAGTTGCAGTTGCTGCTTGTGGACGGTATGAAACGGGAAGAAGCAGTGAAGCTATTGCTAAGACGTATCGTCGCTAGTACGGAACCACCCGAGGCAACGGCTGTGCGTGGTGTGATGCGGCAGTTTCAGATGAATTATGATGATGCAATGCGTGCATTGATTGTCAAGCAGGAGCTAGGGAGACTCAAGCGTCAAGGGCTCGACTCGTTTGCAGCTATAGAAGAACTTACACGGAAGATGAAGAGTCGGGAAGATGAGACCGAGCAAGTAGTAGAACAAGAAAAGAGAAGAGAAGAGAGAGGAGAAGATAATGAGCAAGGAAAAGGGGTGGCAAAGCAAGGTGAAGAAGATGAAGGACTGATGATGGAGGAGGTAGATCAGCACAAGGATATTGCAAGTGAGGAGAAAAAGGAGGAGGACAAGGAGAATTGGGCTCAGGAGGAGAAAAACAAGAAGCAATATACTGAGAAGGTCGAGGAAATGGTGCAATCGATTGAAGAGGTTGAAGACACGAAGAACTTAGTTCAGGAAGAGAACAATGACAAAAAGAGTGTGTCTATACCGGCAGCCGAGATGGCGTCACCGACGTCAGAGAAGGACGGAAATGAGACGTCCATGTCGCTGTGTCAACGTATCGGACAGGTATCGATCTCATCTGGTAACACACCCGAGAAAGAATCGGAGGGACATGATAATGGATTAGAAGAAGTTGAGAACACAGATGAAGAAGCGAACGAGTCGGCGGGAGAAAAGAATAAAGCAAGTCGTAAGTCACCGCTGAGAGTGCGGAACTCATTCAACAGCAACCTTGCCGATCTGACGCCCCAATCGCGCAAGCGCCGCGCAACTTCCGGCATAAAGTACGAAACCAGCAGTAATAATTGCAGCAACAGCGTTGAGCGCAATGCAAAGCCTCTGTTTCCGAATTTGAAGAAACAGAAGTTGTGTGCCGCAGTAGGTGACGGGTATCTTGAGATCGTCACTCTTAAATCTAAGTCAACATCGACGAATTTGGCCAAGAGTACATCAGCAGCAGGAACTTCTGGATCATCACCTGGTGGAGAAAAAGGTGGGGGGATCGAAGCGAGGCGACCACAGCACAAAGAACTTACTCAAGCGGCAACGTGCAAGTCCGACAGGGATGGCAGATAATGATGAGTCTCCTATTGCGGAAGAACTTCGTACATCTCACGTGCATCATCGACACCACGCCACTCACCACCATAGCAAGCGCCAGAAGAGCGGCAGTACCCATTGAACGCGGGCCATCTTTTGGAAATTTGTGTAACGGCGAGCAAACGCATAATTATTTCAGCTTCTTCTATGAACATGTAGACAAGTAAAGAAGATGAGAGTGAAGAAGAAATGGAGATATTTGACAACAACCATTTGTAGTGTGTTTGAAAACGGAGAGATGATCAATGTAAAACACTCGTCTACACCCGGAAATGACGTGTAGTGCTTGGCCGGAGATCAATTCCACGCTCACGCAATTCGTGCATCAGCTTCATAAACTCAGCCACAGAGACCTTCACTGCTCGGTTCGACGCAAGTCCACTAGCTTCCAGAGCGGCCTCTACACGTTCAGTAATTGCCTGATGTTTGTCCTCTTCTTCCGCCTCATTCAGCAGATATTGCGACCTCGCAGTCTTAGCCAGGAGCAATGCCCTCAGTGTCTTATTCTTCCGTTCAAAGCATAACCTCAGCAATGCATCAAACTTTTGAAAGAAGAGCTCATCATCTGCAGGCAACACAGGCATCAACGCAGCACGTGGGGAGAGTTTAATCACTCGCGAGTCCACCTTTGGTGGTGGTAAGAAATGTTGTCGCGGTACTTTCACAACTGACGTGACATCAGCCACCAATGCCGTATTAGCACTCAAGCGACTGTAGTTCTTGTTACCTGGTGAAGCTAATAATCTCAATGCAAACTCTTCTTGAACCAACAGCACTGCACACTTGAAAGTCATTGGGAAGCGATGCATATAATTCAACAGTCTAGATACGACTATGGACGACAATTTGTATGGAAGATTAGCGACACAAGCATCAAACAACGTCTCCTGATGTGGTTGATTCGCTACTACAAACTGGAATTGTTCAAAATCACACTGTTCGACCACAAGACGCTCGGACTCAATCTCAGTAGGAAAACGAAGCTTCAATTGCTCGACCATGCGAAAATCAAATTCCACAGCATGAATCTGTACTCGTGGACTCAATTGCAACAAGGCTGACGTTAGATTGCCCGTTCCTGGCCCAATTTCTAGTACACGCAAAGACGTCGATGTAGTGGCAGACAGCTCCGAAGCTGCTACGATTTGGGATAAAATACCATCGGAGATCAGTAAATGCTGACCCAATTTACGTTTCAGGTGTGGAGTACCACGTAGACGAGAGACGTGAGTGGTAGATGACCAACGTAGACATAGAGAGCTTAATGGAGGTCTTCGCAGAGTTGCAAGTCGCAACGTAATTGACATGATGGTGTTTGAATGGGTACAGGTGTGAGTGGCCACGGTAGAGACCACACAATTGGAACTTACAACTAACTTACCAACGAGTATTTCCATGGTCGACAATACCTTTAACATGTTGGTATCGAACCAGTTTCTACAGCTTGTTATCTATTTGATTGGGTTGGGATTATCTTTATAGTTGCAAAAGTTTTGATGCTGACGTAGTGCACGTTCTTCATCAAATGTACGACTGCAATTGAAGCAAATGCGCTTGACTGTAATACGTGGCTGAAGTTTTTGCCAATGTGCGTCAAACTCGGCTCTCGTCGTGAACGTAAGCTCACAGATCAAACACGTCTTCGCTTCAAACGTTCCTGTTGCTGTAGCTGTAGTCTTTGCAATGGTTACACTATCCTTCTCATTGAAAAAAGAAGATTCACCTGACGACTTGATTGTTGAAGCGATACTTTGCTGCGGTTCAAACCAGTCTGGTTTGATGAGGGGGTCTTTGCCGTGTTTGGCTAGTTGATGCTGTCTCCTCGCGTCCTCCTTCTTGAATGTGCGGTCACAGTACTTGCAAAGCAAAAGTGTCGTCATGGACACACCACCAGCTTCGAGTTCATGCATCATGTGTACGTGCGTCCTCAAACCCTGCGCCGACTTGAAACTTCTCTCACATTGGGTGCACGCAAACTCCAACTGCAACTCCTTCTCAGCCTTTCGCTTCCGAGACGTAGTCATTTTGTTCTTGCAGGTCATACCAGACACGACTGCATTGACCACCATCGTAGCTGTAGCAGCATCCGTACCACTTTTCTGTCGTCGAAAGATAAACAACGTGCTATCCTGCTTTGTCTTCTTACCATAAAGTGTAACCTGATGAAATGACTTGCCGTTCTGATGTCGTTTGCGCTCATACCTGACTCCAAACTGCTCATCATTGTCTACATCATCAACTTGTCGATACAACACCAGTCCAATATGGAGTGCACGATGTACCGCTTGCCATCGTTCTGGCTGCCCTTCCGCAAGCGTCAGTTGAATGCCACTATGCTCATCCTCCACCTCCACAACTTGCAGAACGTCCATCGCCGAAGCATAAAAGTGCGATAACAAACTCTGATGTCGTCGAACATTCTCCTCTCCACAGTGTGGATGATTGAACACGACCGTGTCAAACTGAAGCTTCGGCTTTGCGTGACCGGCCGCTACGAGGGACTCCCGAATATTCGTAGCGTCCACTCGATGCAATACTGTCGCCCCAAGTTTCTTCAACTGAGCACAAATGTGTTTACTTTCCGGGTATTTCGTAACCAATTCATCGTGGCTGTCGTAGGACGTTGCCACCAATTCAACTCGTGTGTCATTCCTTTGACTCGCATGGTGCTGCTTGAGCAATGCCAATGAATACGAAAAGTTGCCATCACCAACAGTAAGAATCCGACGTTGTCTCGATTTCAATGGAAGCGGTAACGAACGTTTGTCTGCCAGCAGCAGTGATGCATCAGTAGATGATGGCGCAATGGGTCTCGTCTTTTCGACTTGCGTCATTTGCATTGACTGGAGGAGCAGTCGTTCTCTTCTGTCCAATGAAACTTGTCCTATTTGGCAATACTTATTCTTTTGACAAGTATCAATTATAACAGCGTTATAGAGGTGGCTGTCCTAATGAATGTGACTCATATCAACCATTTGGCTACATTTTTCCATGACAGACAAGGATTACGCTATTGAGTCATAAAGGTCTTGAAAATGAACTAGTAAATACTTGAGTGTGTCTCTAATATCAATCTAAGTGGATTCTGCTGCTTCGTTTGTCAAAGGATGTACAAATTGCTTGGCAACTTCAGCAGAAAGACCGTCACAGGTTTGTTGGATTCTCACATTCTGTGTCTTCAGTATGCTCTGCTGCGCGTGAAGTTTTTCAAGCAATTGTGTCGTCACGTCCGTGAGCTGCTGCATCTGCGTCTCATACCGTCGAAGTAGCAAGAGTGTATAAAATAGCACACCCAGCAGGAGTAATTGTATGAGTGACGGTGACGACCAGATATGCCAAAGGGTTCTTGTTTCAGCAGTACAGGGTGTTGTTGAGGCAGTCGCTGCTGCATCAGGAAGCGCATTCGATACCTCACGCTTCCGTACGGGGCAGTTTGCACTACCTGGCTTTGATTCGGGCTCACTGAAGCTGTCAGAAGCAGATAACGACCTCAGAGTTGGTGAGAGTGGAACGATACGATTCTGTTGAGACTCGAGAAACTCGATTGCCTGTTTTGTCCATGACTCTAGCGCCTCTTTCGACTCTGATAGCGTAGACGAGTTGATTTGAGACTTGAACCACGTTGCCTTGAGAAAATTGACCACCAATCCTACTTGGACGTGGCAGTAATTGTTACCGTCACGAGAAAACACGTAACGCATCTCCACTTCGAAGTAATCGCTGAACGGAATCTTGCTCATGCGGTTCAATTCAGTAATTACAAAGCGATCCCATTTATCCTCGCCATTAGAACTTTTGTCGAGACGAAATCGCTGTGTCCTCGTGCACCCAGCGTACTGTGGTAGACCGGGAAATGAGGTCTTCGGTGGATGTTGTGAACGCACGATACGATAAAGTGTGTAGTCATCCTCCTTGGAGATCTCAAAACCCTTGTGGATCTCTTCAGCTTTCACAGCATCATTTTTGTCAATGGCTTTCCACGACTCAATATCAATGTCAATGTCGCGTGCCTTCTCCATATTCGCCTGTGAGAATTCCTGACCAGGTCCATCGTTCCACAACAAATCAAAAACTCGCTTCACATCAGCCCGCAAATCACAATCCAGCAAAACTGTCATCTTCTCGAGCAGCGGGTCAGGTGGTAATGGCTCAAATGGTTCTTCGTCACTGGCTGTCGATTTACCGTCATCGGTGTGGCCATCATCCTCCATAATGATACTAAGAGGCACATCTGCGTCAGAGTCCTCATCTTCGACATCAATAAACCCCACGGTAGAAATGGAAGATGAAGATGACAAAGGCGAATTGCTCAAACTTCCAGCACATCCCTGCAAAGACACGTGCTCTGAGATCAGTTTGTACGAGCGCCGACGTTCAAGTGCTTGTCTCCGGAGCTCTTTGGAGCTCGGGGACTTTCCAGGCGCTGAAGCTTTCAGCTTACTCGCCTCTTGATAAGCCCGGATTAGCTGATCTAGCCGCAGGAAACACATATCGCGCAGCCCATTGAACTCAACCAAGAAGAAAGTTTCTTTCCGCTTTGTCTTCACCTGCAAACCATTAATATAGTAGAACTGCGGCTTTAAGAGCGACAAGACCTGAGAGTACGCCACTTTGCGCTTCTTCGAATCAATGTAGCTCTGAAAACACAGACGTTTCCGTGTAAACACTAGATGACCGTAGAACGGAGTCATCTCTACAAACAACGCGCAATTAAAAATTGCGACAGGTGTTTCATCCGCCGATAAGTCAAAATCACGCACAATCTGCTCACTAGACGGTGGTTGGAGTCCATTCCACGTGACACTTGTGCTTTTCACCTGCTTGTGAAAGTTTTGAATCCGATGAAAGCAGCCGTCACATACACGTAACTCTCCTCGTTTTAGATACGCTTGATAAGGCACAATTATCGACTTTGTCGTACAGTCAGCACAAAAGGAACCACCACAATTTCGACAATGGTGTCGTCCTTTTGACAGCAATGATCCAATATCATCACGGCAAGATTCACACGCGTACATATTGGCAAAAGGTGGTGGTGGGAGATCTGAATTCATGACGACGACATTCATAGCTTCAACATCTTCTTCTACGACACTTCCCATGGATTTCCTTGGAGGTATTGACAACGTCGAGGTCTGCATGCCATTACGAAGTAATAGTTTATCAAGCAAATTGGATGAACTATTCAGCTTGACCGTATCATAATCATCTTTGATCCTTCTTCCACACGACGTCTTTTGTGGTGATAGAATAGCTTTCAACGCTAACGTGTCTGTCGATTGAAAAATCTGGAGATTTGTGTCACCACGTAACGGATTGCGAGCTCGACCGTTTGCATCGTGAAACCCTGCATTAGATGCATCATCGGTGCTTGGAAATAACGAGCAGGGGGATGTCTTCTCTACACATTCCAATGAATGCTGTGAAGAGATGCGAATTCTTTGCGTGTGATTCGATAAAGAACCAAGGGATGGGATTGATGACGGTTTGCTACCTTTTTCATCCATAAAATGATCTAAAGCTGAATCAGACTTGGTATGTGGTAAAGTAGTTGTAGTCATGCCGTGCTTCACGTTCTGCTTGGACGGGGAATTGTGAGGTGATGAGAAATGTGGCACTTCCATTGAGTATATCGATATCTCTCGTTTGGAAGAATTCAATTGTTAGACAAATGTACTGGATTTACAATAACACGATCTCGTGAACACCGAAAACAGATGATTGTGTAGTGTAGAGTCGACACAACAAATAACTTAATACAGTACATGATGAAAATATCGACATGTTTCAACAGCGGATTACAAGGGATGCGCTTTGCGACATGTTGTGGTCAGTATTGTACTGTCGTTAGAAGGATATACCATATCTTATATCATTACATTTTGTATTCAGCTATCACGATACCAACCATGGCCCAGCTCATGCGAGGAATGTGTATCACAAAAGGTTTTGAATTCTTCAACGTCTTGTTTGTATACGCGTGGCAATTGTCTACATAGCTGTTTGCCACTTTGGCCGCAGGTGGTCGTTCACAGATCGAATCAACGGCGCTGAGGCATGAATTGAATTGCCTCGACCGCCGTGCAAGTTTTCATCGAGTGTAAAGCACATGAGCAGCATGTTGATCGACGTCTCGTAAATCTGTCAACACAAAAAGTTGGACGAGATATTAGGTGCAAGAATATCGTAACCTCATTCCAATACAACAGCACCTCACCGTCATAAAAGCGTGCGCTACACTGTAAGAGAATAGCACAATGACGACTAGCGGTAGAATGGGCGAAGAGGCCTGAAGTTTTCATACATCGAAACACACACATCACTCAATAACACAAACGATCGTGAATTGCAGACCAAGACGCTTTCAACGTACATTTTCAAGTAGAAACCACGAGATGAGGCATGTGGTGGTGCATACGATTAATTTGCCCAGAAAAACCGATGCATGTCCAATTTGACTGAGAGCTCCGACTCGGAGCAAGTTGGAAGAAATCAGCGTGTATGCCAACTATGATCATTATCCACAAAACGAAGGCACATGTGTTAAGCGCGGACATCCATCAATTATGAGAACTCGATAAACAACGCATGTACCTTTCCAGACGTGTAAAAATCGGTGCCTTGGAATGCAGTGACATAGACTGCTTCCTTGCAAATGTATTTGAGGCAGTTTTTGAAGCACCAAATACAGCACTGTATTCAATAGACCAGGATAAGAAATCCTCCATTAGAACAATATCCATGTTAAGATGCAAACAAACGTCTGCCTTTACTTACACAACAACACTTGGCTGCGAGTTTCGTGATCGTGTTGGCGTCAAATTCGTTCTTGTTTTCAAGGTACAAGAAGAATGAACGAAAATGCTCCACAGGTGCGACGGAACCCGAGCTCAGTGCTAACGTTCCGAGATGATACTTGATAGTCGTGTATGCTGAGTAGGACACTAAGTCTTCTTCTTCAAAGTCTTTTAAACCCGTAATCCGGTTTTCAGGAGAGAAATACCATAATGACACTGCGGTAGCTGTGATCATCTCACCCATCGCCAAGACAAAATTCACCGACCAGTACATTCCCCACAGGTGGTATATGAAGAGCCACCGTAGCTTTGTACTTACTTGGAATGACTTGGTCACTACACGAATGGAGGACGGAGAGGTAGCGGAGATCGTTGCAATACGCGTGGACGTTTCTCCAGCACCAAAAATGCAAACGGTCACGAAAATGCCCCAGCCAAAGAGTAACAACAGCAGCACATACGAAATGAACGGCAACACCAGCAGTCGCTTTAGCTGAGATAGTGCACGTGATGAATGCGTAATAAACGCACCAGCAATTAATTGCCTCGACATATTGACCACCGCAAAGAGCAAAAAGAGCACTGCCGTGCAGCACATGACAACGGAACTGATCTGGAGAGAACTCAACATGACAGGGTCATACTCATACGAGAGCGGATCTGATGCTGCATGCAATAGTCGATAACTGCTATACACGAGCGTCGATTCAATTGCCACGGTCGAGAACAAGACACTAAAACATCCACAATAGCGTAATAATACTAGATACAACCCCGCCGTTGACAGCGAAATTCCCGTTGCAATGATAAACACCTGCCAACACTGCATCCAGACATTAAACAACAACAACATTATCATCAGCCTATCGTGTAATTTACAAACACCATATGGATCAAATCTAGGATCCTAATATCTCCGTCCTACATTTCCAAGAGCTCCCACAAATTGTCCTAATGTGTCTTGCAATTGGTAAATCATCACGTCTTTGGCATTCACTAGAACAAAAACGAACAGTTTTTACCGTATAAAAGTATACACATCTCAGCATGTTTACCGTATAATAAGTATACACGTCAATCTCCTTCTACTTGATACTATTGATTACGTTCACGTACCTCCTACTGGTGCACATACATACCCCCATGGATGGGTTGCATAGGACGTAAACTGCACTTGTTGTAGCTCATGAATTGATTCATGTATACTTTTATGTTGTATACTAGTTTGTACCGGTAAAAAAACGGTTAAAAGTTGTCCATTCATACGTGGACAGTGATCCACACAAAATCCAAAATCTGGATTTTTTTGAAAATCGGGAAAATAGATAAAATCGTTTTCGGCACAGGATTGTCCTTGAAAATCCACACCATTTTGAATCTCTTGAGCAAAAGATCCACTACTTTCATGAAATAAAGCAGTTATCGCTAGTGCCACCATCCCAATCCAGTATGTGACGAGACATGCCAAGAAGATTATATCAGTACATTGACGTCGGTGACGGGAGCTATGACGCAATAAAACAGACGAAGATCCTGTACTAGGAGATAAAGCAGCGGTAGTCCGTGCTCCATTTTGACTTAGTAAAGGCTGTCGTTCCCCTACTAGGTCGTCGTGCACTCCACTGTAGCTATTATGGCTAGACGTTCCATGCGACGACATGGTTAAGTATATTTAGAGTAAGAATAATATCTGGAATTGGATTGGATCTTTTTTTTCGATAAATGTTCGATTGCTGGCATGGCTTTTGTCAGATATTATGCTGGAATAAAAAGAAAAGCTACATATCTATTACTGATGAGGGGAAAGTTAGATCAAAGCAAAGGAAGGATAATATACAGGATAATTGGTAATTAGAGCTTTCTCTATTTTACCGGGAAAGTATCTTTATAATACATAAACTCTATCTTTCAACCAATCAAAATACAGTCTAGAAACACCACCGCACACTTGAAAGCTTAATAATGGCGAGTCTAGTCTATCGCATATGCACATTGTCAAGTGTCCGTAGGTCTTCCTACTTGATCCCGTCTCTATCATCTTCATTCCGAGTACGTTGTACATTTGCCACATGATTTGTATGAATAAATTCCACCCAGAACTGCCTGAAATTCATTACTTAAACTGTCTTAAATAATGCTCTTATTTTTTCTAGCACTATTCGTCCTCCTCCTCCTCTAACGCTAAACTATCAGCCATGGATGGTTCTGAAGGTGTTCTTCAGTTTTTTAACCGTGCGAAGGATCGTGCTGCTACACAAATGACTCGATATGTTGAACACAACGTTTTCCCACCTTCAAATTGGATGCTGAAGAACTTTTTTCTCTTCACAAAGCTGCAGCTGCCCACAAATACGGAAATTGACGCTATTGAGTTTTTGAATGGTGCTCGTTTTGCATGTGACTTGGCTGTCAATACCATGTACTCGAGGGAGTTTGTTAATTTCGCCACGGGGGCCATCTCCGAGTCTCCCGCAGCGGAGAAGATGAAGTTAGGACTGTCAGCGGCTTGCTACGAAGCGTTTTTGTCTGCTATGAAGGAAACGAGCATGATGGACAATAGGTTTACACTGAAGCAATTGGATATCAATGGAGCTTATCTTTACGACGTGATCTGGGATCGAATGTCGCTGGCGACCCTGAAGCAAGAGGAAGCGCTAGAAGCGTATAACCGAGTACAGGTGGCCACTTTGGAACAAGCGGAGGAGGATACAACGGTGGAAGAAGGGAAAACGAGTGCAGTGAAAGGGGCAAGGACGGTGGTAGAAAGATTGACGGCAGATATTACTCCTGCGGACCACACGACAATGGTTGAAAGACTGCAGCTGGATGTGCTACTGGAGACTGTCGAATATTTGGAAATCGCCACGTCTGAAGGTGCCGACCAGATATTGGATAAAAGGTCATCGGCTGTTTGGCGCTTTGAGTCACTTGTGACACAGCCAGAGGATGTGGACTGGCGGATTGTCACCGTCTTTTAGCTGTCTAGCTTCCATTTTATGTGTCCGGATCGTGATGGCCGCTTCTTGGTGAATAAGTTACGTAGGTTTTCAATATGACTATGTAGGGAATACGTTAGCTTTGTTTTGAACCGTACTAGATATTAAGGTATCGTATGTATGCTGTAGTAATTCATGATGATTATACATCCAAGCCATAGACCCTTTGCTGTATGCACATCCTGCGTTTTGCCTAGTCATGACACTGCTTCCAGATCTGATGGTCCAAATTGCACTCCAAGTTAGGCAATGCAAGTGCCGGTGCCACCTGTGATAGAATCGATCCACGCCCGTACCTTTGACACGCGAGAGTACACACCAGGATATCCTTCCCTTCCGCAAGTGTCGTCCTTGCTCCAACTTACGATACCGATCAGCACATCCTCCGTCAAGTTATCACCTCTAGATCCTTCAAGAATCAATGGGCCTCCCGAATCTCCGAAGCAAGCGTCTTGACCCAACACACCTCCGGCGCACACCATACTGGAGTCAATAGTGGCAGCAAGTGCACATGACTCATCACTTATTAGCTGAATGTTCACCCGCTGCAGTTCGTAGGATAAAGTGCCGTTTACCTCCGCATCCATTCCCCACCCCATTGTAGCGGCCCACTTGCCCGCCTTAAAGTCCGAGTCATCAGCAGCAGCCAGCTGAATGGGCTTAAATTTGCTGGCTTTCTCCAGCTCGAGTACCGAAAAGTCGTCCGAGTACTGGACGTTCTCCGTGTAATTTGGGTGGTTCATGACGGACACAACTCGGATCTGTTCACCGCCTTGACTGCCGTTGCGATAGTGCATACCAATCGAGACCCAACGTATATCGTAAGGTACGCAATGAGACGCGGAGAGCACGTGCGTTGGAGAAATGAGAGACCCACCGCAGACACTTTCACCATCACGACTTGACCGAAGACCGGCGACATAGGTCTTGGTACCACTGGGGACAATTTGCCCGCTCATAATTAGTTTTCGTTGAGCATGACTTCCATTAATTGTCACGAACGAGGATGCAAGAGTAACAAGAGTGACAGTGATAACCGCAATTAGATTCATTCGGATTGACGTGGCTGTTGGTGGCTTTTTTGACTTGTAGACCGCTAAGCTGCAATTGTTCAATCGCTTTGCCCTCAAGTGTTTTCTGAAAGACTTTTCCAATATAACTAATGCATACAGCCACGTCTACACGTGCACTTCCTGAAGATAAACTTGATCATATGCACGATGTACAAAAAAACGGGGTTCATAATCATGTATCAATCGTACGTTGTGGGACATTGTTTTAAAAAATCTATTGCTCGAATCGCTTGAAGCAAATTGACCGCATATATCCCATCCAAAGAGCAAACGTATATCTTAAGATCTCATCCTGAGATTCAGCATATGGATTAAAACGATGCTGGATCTCTGTCTATCTGTCTAGCAGACTAGACATCCACACAAGCTTTGCAAAATGCTACGTTGGATCAGCTACACAATGCAATGAAGGAGGTGTACATGACGTTTCCTTTTTAATGTTCATTACTATTCGTGCTCAATCGAAGATGACAAACAAATTCTGAAGACTGTTTAGGGAATTATAATCGATCAATCGAGCTATTGAACGACCGGCAACATGGTGTTCCACACAAGATTTGGTGCTAATGTGTCTCAGCAAACAAATGCTATATGTAAAGTATGCAGTCCACCCCTAATTTGTTTCAGAGGTCCCATCATTTGCCTTTTGCTGTCTTCCTCGGTATCAACTCCTACCCGACCATAATGATGAAGCGTATACTTACCGTCATGTGTGTATTAGCTTTTCCTTCTACCATTCAAGCTGTCTCAAACTATTACATGATTCCAGCTAAACATGATGCCACAGGTAGACGATGTATCGAGCAATACCATATCAACTTCTCAACAAGACACTGGCAACAAAGCATCGAACTATATTGTTCAAGTTGATGACGTTCCACCAGAAACTGCGTCAAGAGACGCCATTCATACCTCTTCCAAGAAAACAAGTGTCGTTCCAAGCGGAACAAAGACATACGTTGTGGGACTTCGCTCTACAGCTGATGGCAAGAACTTTTGCAGTGCTTCGCTCATTACTCCAATTCACATTCTTACTGGAACGTATTGTGCATTGGACAACGTTCGTTGGGCCTCAATTGGCTCACACTATGTAAGTGGAACCCAAGATGGTGAACAGATCAAGGTTGTGGCAATTCTGAACCACCCAAAAAGCTCAAGAGCGGACTTTTCATTTGACTTTACTATTCTTGTGCTCGAAAAACCCAGTACGTTTCAGCCAGTAGCATTGGCTAACTCGGATGATTCCGATGTTAAGGACGGTGAATGGGCTATTAAAATGGGCTGGGACGACACTGGAGGCGCAAATACTTTGACAAATGAATTGATGCGTGCTGACGTTCAGTTGATGAGTAACTCGGATTGCATGAAACAAGCGAATATTACTGAAACCATGTTGTGTTCACGTGGAAATGTGAATGAAACATCATGCACAGGTGATTATGGTGGTCCAGTTATTGTCAAGCGTTCGAGCCGTGATGTCGTCGTTGGTTTGGTCTCCTGGGGTGATGACTGTGACAAGCCTGACTACCCTAGCATTTACTCGCGTGTATCAAGTGTTCGTGCATGGATCAACTCCGTTATAAATGGTGTATGTTTCCACTGAGCGAAGCGACTCAATCGGCAGTGCTTCGTAAGCGTATTTTGCTACTCACGCAAAATAGCATTTGATCGATAGTTACATGCATAATGTTGTTTTCAGAATTTTCCATTCAGACTTGAGTCGTTCAGGGCTTTGTTGCAATACATAAGGTGAAGTGATTATTTTGAGCAATAGTGCTTCTGTGTTTTTCTTTGAGTCAGAGGTCTATAGCTGTTACAAAAACGTCCTGGTACCAAGATGGGGTTGTCTTTGGACTACAGTCATATGCTGACAGGCTCTGACCCCGTTGCATTTTTTCTTCATTAAGCGCCAGCTGCCCACAAACACGGAAATTGACGCTATCGAGTTTTGAATGGTGCTCGTTTTCATGTGACGTGGCTGTCCATACGATGTACTCGAGTGAGTTTGTCAATTTCGCCAGAAGGGCCATTTCCGAGTCTCCATATCGGAGAAGATCAAGTTCGGACTGTCGGCGGCTTGCTACGAAGCGTTTGTGCCATGAAGAAAATGATTCAAATGGACAATGGGTTTACGCTGAAACAATTAAACATCAATGGAGCTTATCTTTACGACGTGATCTGGGATCGAATGTCGCTGACGACCCTGAAGCAAGAGGAAGCGCTGGAAGCGTATAACCGAGCACAGGTGGCCACTTTGGAACAAGAGAAGGAGGATACAACGGTGGAAGAAGGGAAAACGAGTGAAGTGAAAAGGGAAAGGGCAAGGACGGTGGTAGAAGGATTGACGGCGGGTATCAATCACTCTTGCAAACCACACGACAATGGTTGAACAACCGCAGTTGGATGTGCTAGTGGAAACTGTCGAACATCTGGAGATCACCACGTCTGAAGGTACCGGCTACATACTGGATGACAAGTCATCGGCTGTTAGACGCTTTGAGTCGCTTATGACGCAGCCAGATGATGTGGAATGGCGCATCTTCGCCGTCTTTTAGCTGTCAAGCTATCACGTCATGTTCGGATTGTGATGGCCGCTTCTTGGTGAATAAGTTACGTAGATTTTCAATATGACTATGTAGCGACAATGTTAGCTTTGTTTTGGACCGTACTAGATATTAAGGTATCGTATGTGTGTTGTAGTAATTCATGTATACGTTAGCCATGATTATACATCCAAGCCATAGACACTTTGCACAATGCACATCCTGCGTTTTGCCTAGTCATGACACTGCTTCCAGATCTGATGGTCCAAATTGCACTCCAAGTTAGGCAATACAAGTGCTGGTGTGTGACGGGGTTACACGAAGGTGTGTATTACCGACACACCTGCCACACCAATGTGGTGTGGCTGTTCCTTGGGTACAAAAGTAGGTGATGTGACCGTACCTGAAGTACGAAGGGTCACATCGTGGCAGAGAGCCACGTGGTCCCTATACTGATTTAAGTATAGTGACTATGCATGTTTGCATAATAATTAAAGGCTATAGAGCCAGTAATAGTGACTAGCACTAAATATAGAGTAGGTGCTTTTTTATTTAGTGTTAGAAGATAAACATAAATAGAAGTCAGTTTCAAACCTGCTCTGTAAGTCTTTACAGCTTGAGCGTTCTATTCCGTATAGGAATCAGTATCTTTGATACTAGTCTCTCTGAGACTCGGTTGTTAATACCGTAAGGCACAAGCTTACGAGCTAGCCTAGGAGGGTTAAACACCCTAAGACGTAGAAGCTCTCTGAGCTTGTCTTCCTCTGCACATAGTGTATACGTAACTTTTCTACAGTAGTTTGACTACTTCTTCTGCACATAGTGCATCGGCACATAGTGCATAAGTAGCATAGCTACAGTAGCTCGGCTACACCTGGTAGCACTTGTAGTCAATCCCGCACCAGGGTTTGCGACTACTTCTCTGTGTGAGAATGGACATCGATGAGATTTCAGTGGTTGGCCTGTCACAGGCACAACAGGAAGGGTTGCAGAAGCTTCTCCCTATCCTTGGCCTTAAGGGCGTGGAATACCTCATCGCCCAGGGCGAAGAAGAGGTTAACAAGCGTATGAATACGCTTGATGAATATAATAAAGCTCGAGTTGAGCATGTAAAGGCACAGATGCCTTCTTCTGCGCCTTCGCCCATGGAGACTATGGCTCAAGAAGTGGTCCGCAAACCAAACCCCATACAAATGGAAGTCGATAAGTTCGACGGCAAAGAAGGTGACAACCTTATGCTTTGGTTCCGACAGGTCGAGTCGGCTATGTTTATAGCCGACATCACCTATGAACCGTACCGTGTGGGCTTTGCCACGGGCAAGTTAGGTGGCTTAGCCAAACAGTGGGCATTCACATGTGGTGCATCATTGCAAGATGCTTTTCCCACATGGGCCGATCTGAAAGTTCAGATGACCCGGCAGTATGCACCGCCAAACCAAGCACACCGTAACCGGTCGCGGTTTTTGGCGTGTCGCCAAGGCAAGCGTGAGCTTGCGGCATATGTACAAGAGTTGAGAACTCTCATTGCTGCCATGGTCATAGACCCTATGCCTGAGGCAGTGACCATCACGGTCTTCATGGAGGGCCTCCGAGTTGGCGTTGCCAGAACGGAAGTCTTCCGGGTAACCCGTCCTCATTTGAGGAAGCTGTTGGAGTGGCATAGAATGCCGAGACCAACTTTAAGGCCGCTAGGCCTGCCACTTATACCTACTCGTCTGATGGGTCTGTACCCATGGACTGTGGTCAAGTGGAGGATGAAGAAGCGGAGCTTCAAGCTGCGTAGCAGCAAATTGTGCGCGGATGTTATATCTGCAAGAGCACGGGCCATTTGATGGCAAAATGCCTTGCAAGAAAGGCATATTTGGCCTCGAAGGGCCGACGCCCCACGGGTAAACCTTCTGGTTTGCCGCGGGGAAGCGGCGGAACCCAGTAGGCGCGGGGCGACCTACTGGGGAAGAACTGAGTTCTGTTGAGCCTCTAGGAGGTTGAAGTAAACAGGGCCCAGCCCCAAAGAGATCCGAACTCTCAAAAACGGAACGAGAATGCAAGCCAGGCTTGCTAGTCGTCGAAGGGACGGTTAAGGGCTATGATAAGCCATGGATCATTTTGATCGATTCGGGGGCATCGGGCAATTATGTGCGCCGTGCCACCGTGGAAGGTAGTCAGCAGTATGCTGAAGCGCTTGTAGCGCGTGAAAGTGACACAGTCACAGTTCGCTTAGCGACGGGTACGCGTGTTACGGCACCCAAAGTCCCGATGGACTTAGAGTTGTAAAGTTCTTGGACTTTAACAGCATATAACGCTGTTTGGTCTAAGACCTGGATGCGAGGTATGACCTCATCCTAGGCATGGCATGGCTAGAACGTCATGAGCCACGGATTGATTGGAGGTCGAAGACCTTAGGCGCAACGCGCAATGCCTTTGGTGGGGCTCTGGAGAGTCATAAACCTACATCTGCTAGGAAGCAAAAGCGCTTTTGGCGCGGATATGGGACGGAGTCGGTCAATATTTTGGATGTCGGAATATCCGACTGTGTAGACACTGTAAAATGTCGAGGACAATAGTCCTGGCGAGGCCCAATGACTGTCGATAGTGTGGTTGAGAACCCACTAGATGGCACATATGACATGTGCCATGAGAATGATGTTACATCATTAAACACCGTGAGTGGTGTTGGTGGCTGCAAGCCAGGATGTCAGTACATGAGTCCAAATGATATGGGTGACGAGGAACTGACCCTGGAGGGCCGGGTGAAGTCACAGATTGATGTTGCCTTTGAGGGCAACGAGGTGCATGCACCTAACAACGAGGTACTGGTCCTGGAGGGTCGGGTGAAGTCATCAATGGATGCTATCTTTGAGGATAACGAGGTGCATGCGCATAACAACGAGGTACTGGCCCAAGAGGGTCGGGTGAAGTCATCAATGGATGTTATCTTTGAGGATAACGAGATGCAAGCACCTAGTGACGAGGTACTGGCCCAAGAGGGTCGGGTGAAGTCAAAAATGACGGTTGTCTTTGAGGACAACAAGGTGCTAACACCTCATGACGAGGCATTGACCCAAGAGGGTGGGGTGCAGTCAGTAAACGAAGTGGTCTATGACCTTGAGGTGTGTACACCTGTGGAAGATGATGCGTCGGATGCTGAGAGCATCATGAGTAGCGATGATGATATTGTGAGTGACGGTGATAGCGAACAGCTATATACACTCGTCAATGGTCTGACTGGGGATGCTGAAGAGCCGGTGGCTCTTTCAGCTATACTCGCAGTAAGTGCTCTGTTAGAGCTGGAAGAGTTGTCCTTTGCCGAGTTTGGTATTGCCTTACAGGCAGGCGACATCGCCGAAGTGGTCGTTATACGACCTGAGGAGGAGTTGAACTCCTCATCGCTTTTGGATAAATCAGCTCTTAAAGATACCAAGAAGCCGCTGAATGCGCGTAGTGGATCACAGATCCTGAAGGGACCTTCGAATCCTTACTTTCCTTTGTTGAAGGAATATGGAGATGTTGTCTCCAGAGAACCTCCCGACGAGGTCACCTCCGGATAGAGGTGTACGTCATGAGATTGACTTGGTTCCAGGAACCAAATACTGTGTGACGCAACAGTGGCCGCTGCCACGAGAACAACGTGACGTCATTGACGAGTTCTTCGTGCGAAGCACGCGGCTGGCATGGTGCGTGAGCCCACGGTTTGTGTGAGAAAGCCTAATGGGAAGTGGCGAATAGTGCATGCTTACAATAAGCTGAATGCAGCCACTATACCGGCTTAAACACCGATTCTTCGCAAGGATGTTTTTCAGAACGATATGGTGGGATGTACAATGTACAGTGCCCTCGACTTAGTCGATGGATATTACCAACTGCTCATGCAAGCTAGTCATATCCCGCTGACAGCAGTCAGTACTCCGAGCGGTATACTCTGGGAGTAATTAGTGATGCCCCAAGGGCTATCTAACGCACCTGCAACGTTTAATCGTCTAGTGACGCAGTTTTTTCGTCCCCACAGGGCGTATGCACAGACATACTTTGACAATATATTCGTTCATAGTCGAGCCGAAACATGGCAAGACTGATGTGGAGAATCACATCGAGCACCTGCGAGCTGTGCTCGGTTGCATGAGGATGCATAAGCTGTATGCCAATATTGATAAGTGCATCTTCGGTGTGGAAGAGATTCCCTTTTAGGGATGCTTCATTGGGAAGCGAGAAATCCGGGCAGACCTTGTTAAGGTCAAAGCCATAGTGGATTGGACGGTTCCGAGGAACCAAAAGGGCTTCCGCAAGTGGTTGGGTTTGGTGAATTACGTAAGTATATCCACAACTATGCGGAAGTGGCTAGGCCATTGTCTAATCTCCTTAAAAGGATGTGGAATGGTGTTGGAACACCGAGAACCACGAGGCTTTGAAGCCATAAAGGAGAGTCTCCTTCAGGCGACAATTCTGGCCCTGCCTGATCCTGATCGCCCGTTTAGCGTCGTATGTGACGCTTCGGACTTTTCCATTTGCACCATTTGCAGTGCACTTTTGCAAGTCGTCTCTGAGGTTCGAGAACGCGTCATCGCGTTTGAGACTCGACAGCTGAAGTTGCAGAGAAGAACTATCCAGTTCATGACAAGAAGCTACTTGCGATGAAGTATTCCCTTGTCAGGTTCAGGGTACACCTGTTGGGCTCAAAGCCGTTTGTGATCTATACAGATCATGCGTCATTACGCACAGCAACACAGTCGCCTCATCTCTCGCAGAGAATGGCTCGTTGGCTCTCCTTTTTCGCGGAGAATAACTTCGAAGTGAAGTATAATCCGGGAAAACAGAATGATTTGACTGACGCTTAAAGTGAAGCTGTCACCACGAAATTGAGCGCGATTACATCCTATTCACTGACCGATGGTCTGTTGTACTATAGTACAGGGTCGGACGACCAGCCACGTGTTGTGGTCCCTCATGATGAGGACCTCAAGTATCACATACTTTATGAGGCTCATGATACACCACTTGGTGGTTATTTAGGTCGTAAGAAGACCTACAGCTCGGTGAGAACCCGTTATTGGTGCCCAAGCTATATAAATGGGCTAGTATGTATGCACGCACGTGTATGACGTGCAGAAAGGTGATCTCCTTGCCTCGTATGGCTGCGCCTTTGGCTAGTTTGCCTGTACCCTCGGGTTGTGGCAGTCCATTAGCATGGACTTTGTGTTTGGCCTGCCGCGCGATGAGGCACGCAACACACTGGATCAAGGTATTTGTTGGTCGACTGAGCAAGATGGCTCATTTACCAGCGGTGCTGGACTATGAGTCGTTCTACATCAGGGCTTTTGCGAGTGACGCGGATATGCTAGGTTTCATTGATTTGAGGCTGACAAAGTACCAAGTACCAAGGGCGCAGAGTTTTGTGTCGGTGGGGTCTCGAAGATATCTTGAGTGGTATAACCTGGTGTATGAATCTACCACCGACCAGGTCGACTATCATGAAGACATGACGGAGAAGGATGAAGGACCATTGGTGGAGGTATTACGGTACAGTACTCCATCTAGAATACTTCAGCGGCCAAGGATACTTGTTCCAGTAAGGACTATGGCATTCCAACTGAAGGTCGATCGGGGAAGAACCCCAGGTCGATCAGGTAGACCCTTAGGTCGACCACGTGGGCTAGACGAAAGAAGGTGAAGGATTGCTAATAAAGTAGCCACAAGCGGATGACCAAGTGTGCACGTTTGAAAGTGGGGAAGTCTGGGCCAAAGATGTAAACCAAGGATGGGCCATCATACCGGAGATTGACCTTTCACCCACGAGTATCAAGTTGGAAGATATACAGATTCCTGACTCTGACGGAAACACGCCAGAGGAGGTGGACCGACTGAGACAAATTTTATGGAGAAGACGACATCTACTCATGGAAAAGGGCAACGCCTTACCGCTGGCCGCTCGAGATGCTATCTGTGACATTGATGTGGGTAATGCCAGGCCAATTGCACAACGTGTACGGAAGGTGGCCCCTCAGTTCAAAGAAAAGTTGGCCTATCTGATCTAGGAACTATTATCTGCGAAGATTATCCAGCCCTCTGCCTCGCCATGGGCCTACACGTACGTGTGCACTTCCTGAAGATAAACTTTATATCACATGACCCATATGCACGATGTACAAAAAAACGGAGCTAGCCACGCATCAGTCATGTTTGTGCATTGTTCGAATCTCTATTCAGTCGAGTAAACAACATTCACTCGAACGTTGCAAGATGTAACGTAATCATCTACTAGCGAGAGAGAAAGAGACGTACAGACGGTCTATTCCACATGTTGGTTAACAAGATACCTTGAATGCCCTACGTCAGCGTACAACGACAGGGCTGAGGTAGGTCCAGAGTTTGGTCACCATAATAAGCGTCTCTTGGGTTTGTCCGTTGATGCTGCTTGGCATCATAGGAGCCCATGGTATGACGTAAAAGCCGCTCCCGAGACCTGAAGTGAGCGACTGCCAAAGTGATGACGCGTAGCACGGAAAGCCGCCAATCAAGTAGCTTCCTCTGGCCTGCCACCGCTCGAGCGGATGGCAGAGGCAGAGGCATGGCGAGACGTTACCTTACACATATCGGTCCCCGCGAGGGAGAGCTCGCACCGAAGGGAATGTCCGATAGGAGGGAGGCCTGAGGCGTGGATTGGCCTGAGCGTGGATTGGCCTGAGGCGTAGATTGGCTTGAGCTTGATACATTCTTTGCATTGTAGTTGATGATTTTTGCACTAAAACTACGTAACCGTTTTTTACAGCATTGTTGAATGCGTAATCATCTACTTAAGCATTTGGGAATGCGTAGTCATCTACCAAAGCATTTGGGAATGCGTAGTCATCTATTTAAGCATTTGGGAATGCGTAATCATCTACTTACAGTGCAATGAAGGTGTACTTGAAGTTCCCTTGTGATTGTTCATTACATGTCTTACTCAACAGAAGATGAAGAGCAATTTCGAAGACGGTTTACGGAACTAAAATCGATCAATCGACTATCGAACAACTGATAACATAGATCATTTGGTCTTAATGCATTCAGTCCCGTCCTTCAAAAAAGGCTATAGAATTAGGATATGTGAAGTATGCAATACATCCCTCGTTTGTTGAGACGTCCATTTTTGCAATGCCATTTGCTGTTTTTCTCGGTATCAACTCATACTCGACTATAAATATGAAGCGTATACTCACCCTCATGTGTTTTGTATTAGTTTTTCCTTCTACCATTCAAGCTGTCTCAAACTATTACATGATTCCAGCTAAACATGATGCCACAGGTAGACGATGTATTGAGCAATACCATATCAACTTCTCAACAAGACACTGGCAACAAAGCATCGAACTATATTGTTCAAGTTGATGACGTTCCACCAGAAACTGCGTCAAGAGACGCCATTCATACCTCTTCCAAGAAAACAAGTGTCGTTCCAAGCGGAACGAAGACATACGTTGTGGGACTTCGCTCTACAGCTGATGGCAAGAACTTTTGCAGTGCTTCGCTCATTACTCCAATTCACATTCTTACTGGAACGTATTGTGCATTGGACAACGTTCGTTGGGCCTCAATTGGCTCACACTATGTAAGTGGAACCCAAGATGGTGAACAGATCAAGGTTGTGGCAATTCTGAACCACCCAAAAAGCTCAAGAGCGGACTTTTCATTTGACTTTACTATTCTTGTGCTCGAAAAACCCAGTACGTTTCAGCCAGTAGCATTGGCTAACTCGGATGATTCCGATGTGAAGGACGGTGAATGGGCTATTAAAATGGGCTGGGACGACACTGGAGGCGCAAATACTTTGACAAATGAATTGATGCGTGCTGACGTTCAGTTGATGAGTAACTCGGATTGCATGAAACAAGCGAATATTACTGAAACCATGTTGTGTTCACGTGGAAATGTGAATGAAACATCATGCACAGGTGATTATGGTGGTCCAGTTATTGTCAAGCGTTCGAGCCGTGATGTCGTCGTTGGTTTGGTCTCCTGGGGTGATGACTGTGACAAGCCTGACTACCCTAGCATTTACTCGCGTGTATCAAGTGTTCGTGCATGGATCAACTCCGTTATAAATGGTGTATGTTTCCACTGAGCGAAGCGACTCAATCGGCAGTGCTTCGTAAGCGTATTTTGCTACTCATGCAAAATAGTTTGATCGATAGTTACATGCATAATGTTGTTTTCAGAATTTTCCATTCAGACTTGAGTCGTTCAGGGCTTTGTTGCAATACATAAGGTGAAGTGATTATTTTGAGCAATAGTGCTTCTGTGTTTTTCTTTGAGTCAGAGGTCTATAGCTGTTACAAAAACGTCCTGGTACCAAGATGGGGTTGTCTTTGGACTACAGTCATATGCTGACAGGCTCTGACCCCGTTGCATTTTTTTCTTCATTAAGCGCCAGCTGCCCACAAACACGGAAATTGACGCTATCGAGTTTTGAATGGTGCTCGTTTTCATTTGACGTGGCTGTCCATACGATGTACTCGAGTGAGTTTGTCAATTTCGCCAGAAGGGCCATTTCCGAGTCTCCATATCGGAGAAGATCAAGTTCGGACTGTCGGCGGCTTGCTACGAAGCGTTTGTGCCATGAAGAAAATGATTCAAATGGACAATGGGTTTACGCTGAAACAATTAAACATCAATGGAGCGTATCTTTACGACGTGATCTGGGATCGAATGTCGCTGACGACCCTGAAGCAAGAGGAAGCGCTGGAAGCGTATAACCGAGCACAGGTGGCCACTTTGGAACAAGAGAAGGAGGATACAACGGTGGAAGAAGGGAAAACGAGTGAAGTGAAAGGGGAAAGGGCAAGGACGGTGGTAGAAGGATTGACGGCGGGTATCAATCACTCTTGCAAACCACACGACAATGGTTGAACAACCGCAGTTGGATGTGCTAGTGGAAACTGTCGAACATCTGGAGATCACCACGTCTGAGGTACCGGCTACATACTGGATGACAAGTCATCGGCTGTTAGACGCTTTGAGTCGCTTATGACGCAGCCAGATGATGTGGAATGGCGCATCTTCGCCGTCTTTTAGCTGTCAAGCTATCACGTCATGTTCGGGTTGTGATGGCCGCTTCTTGGTGAATAAGTTACGTAGATTTTCAATATGACTATGTAGCGACAATGTTAGCTTTGTTTTGGACCGTACTAGATATTAAGGTATCGTATGTGTGTTGTAGTAATTCATGTATACGTTAGCCATGATTATACATCCAAGCCATAGACACTTTGCACAATGCACATCCTGCGTTTTGCCTAGTCATGACACTGCTTCCAGATCTGATGGTCCAAATTGCACTCCAAGTTAGGCAATACAAGTGCTGGTGTGTGACGGGGTTACACGAAGGTGTGTATTACCGACACACCTGCCACACCAATGTGGTGTGGCTGTTCCTTGGGTACAAAAGTAGGTGATGTGACCGTACCTGAAGTACGAAGGGTCACATCGTGGCAGAGAGCCACGTGGTCCCTATACTGATTTAAGTATAGTGACTATGCATGTTTGCATAATAATTAAAGGCTATAGAGCCAGTAATAGTGACTAGCACTAAATATAGAGTAGGTGCTTTTTTATTTAGTGTTAGAAGATAAACATAAATAGAAGTCAGTTTCAAACCTGCTCTGTAAGTCTTACAGCTTGAGCGTTCTATTCCGTATAGGAATCAGTATCTTTGATACTAGTCTCTCTGAGACTCGGTTGTTAATACCGTAAGGCACAAGCTTACGAGCTAGCCTAGGAGGGTTAAACACCCTAAGACGTAGAAGCTCTCTGAGCTTGTCTTCCTCTGCACATAGTGCATACGTAACTTTTCTACAGTAGTTTGACTACTTCTTATGCACATAGTGCATCGGCACATAGTGCATAAGTAGCATAGCTACAGTAGCTCGGCTACACCTGGTAGCACTTGTAGTCAATCCCGCACCAGGGTTTGCGACTACTTCTCTGTGTGAGAATGGACATCGATGAGATTTCAGTGGTTGGCCTGTCACAGGCACAACAGGAAGGGTTGCAGAAGCTTCTCCCTATCCTTGGCCTTAAGGGCGTGGAATACCTCATCGCCCAGGGCGAAGAAGAGGTTAACAAGCGTATGAATACGCTTGATGAATATAATAAAGCTCTAGTCAAGCATGTAAAGGCACAGATGCCTTCTTCTGCGCCTTCGCCCATGGAGACTATGGCTCAAGAAGTGGTCCGCAAACCAAACCCCATACAAATGGAAGTCGATAAGTTCAACGGCAAAGAAGGTGACAACCTTATGCTTTGGTTCCGACAGGTCGAGTCGGCTATGTTTATAGCCGACATCACCTATGAACCGTACCGTGTGTGCTTTGCCACGGGCAAGTTAGGTGGCTTAGTCAAACAGTGGGCATTCACATGTGGTGCATCATTGCAAGATGCTTTTCCCACATGGGCCGATCTGAAAGTTCAGATGACCCGGCAGTATACACCGCCAAACCAAGCACACCGTAACCGGTCGCGGTTTTTGGCGTGTTGCCAAGGCAAGCGTGAGCTTGCGGCATATGTACAAGAGTTGAGAACTCTCATTGCTGCCATGGTCATAGACCCTATGCCTGAGGCAGTGACCGTCACGGTCTCAGCCGTCCTCATTTGAGGAAGCTGTTGGAGTGGCATAGAATGCCGAGACCAACTTTAAGGCCGCTAGGCCTGCCACTTATACCTACTCGTCTGATGGGTATGTATGTACCCATGGACTGTGGTCAAGTGGAGGATAAAGAAGCGGAGCTTCAAGCTGCAAAGCATCAAATTGTGCGCGGATGTTATATCTGCAAGAGCACGGGCCATTCGATGGCAAAATGCTTTGCAAGAAAGGCATATTTGGCCTCGAAGGGCCGACGCCCCACGGGTAAACCTTCTGGTTTGCCGCGGGGAAGCGGCGGAACCCAGAAGGCGCGGGGCGCCCTACTGGGGAAGAACTGAGTTCTGTTGAGCCTCTAGGAGGTTGAAGTAAACAGGGCCCAGCCCCAAAGAGATCCGAACTCTCAAAAACGGAACAAGAATGCAAGCCAGGCTTGCTAGTCGTCGAAGGGACGGTTAAGGGCTATGATAAGCCATGGATCATTTTGATCGATTCGGGGGGCATCGGGCAATTATGTGCGCCGTGCCACCGTGGAAGGTAGTCAGCAGTATGCTGAAGCGCTTGTAGCGCGTGAAAGTGACACAGTCACAGTTCGCTTAGCGACGGGTACGCGTGTTACGGTACCCAAAGTCCCGATGGACTTAGATGTAAAGTCCTTGGACTTTAACAGCATATAACGCTGTTTGGTCTTAGACCAGGATGCGAGGTATGACCTCATCCTAGGCATGGCATGGCTAGAACGTCATAAGCCATGGATTGATTGGAGGTCGAAGACCTTAGGCGCAACGCGCAATGCCTTTGGTGGGGCTCTGGAGAGTCATAAACCTACATCTGCTAGGAAGCAAAAGCGCTTTTGGCGCGGATATGGGACGGAGTCGGTCAATATTTTGGATGTCGGAATATCCGACTGTGTAGACACTGTAAAATGTCGAGGACAATAGTCCTGGCGAGGCCCAATGACTGTCGATAGTGTGGTTGAGAACCCACTAGATGGCACATATGACATGTGCCATGAGAATGATGTTACATCATTAAACACCGTGAGTGGTGTTGGTGGCTGCAAGCCAGGATGTCAGTACATGAGTCCAAATGATATGGGTGACGAGGAACTGACCCTGGAGGGCCGGGTGAAGTCACAGATTGATGTTGCCTTTGAGGGCAACGAGGTGCATGCACCTAACAACGAGGTACTGGTCCTGGAGGGTCGGGTGAAGTCATCAATGGATGCTATCTTTGAGGATAACGAGGTGCATGCACTAAGAGATATAGTCCTGGAGGGTCGAGTGAAGTCATCAATGGATGCTATCTTTGAGGATAACGAGGTGCATGCACCTAACGACGAGTTACTAGTCCTGGAGGGTCGAGTGAAGTCATCAATGGATGCTATCTTTGAGGATAACGAGGTGCATGCGCATAACAACGAGTTACTGGCCCAAGAGGGTCGGGTGAAGTCATCAATGGATGTTATCTTTGAGGATAACGAGATGCAAGCACCTAGTGACGAGGTACTGGCCCAAGAGGGTCGGGTGAAGTCAAAAATGACGGTTGTCTTTGAGGACAACAAGGTGCTAACACCTCATGACGAGGCATTGACCCAAGAGGGTGGGGTGCAGTCAGTAAACGAAGTGGTCTTTGACCTTGAGGTGTGTACACCTGTGGAAGATGATGCGTCGGATGCTGAGAGCATCATGAGTAGCGATGATGATATTGTGAGTGACGGTGATAGCGAACAGCTATATACACTCGTCAATGGTCTGACTGGGGATGCTGAAGAGCCGGTGGCTCTTTCAGCTATACTCGCAGTAAGTGCTCTGTTAGAGCTGGAAGAGTTGTCCTTTGCCGAGTTTGGTATTGCCTTACAGGCAGGCGACATCGCCGAAGTGGTCGTTATACGACCTGAGGAGGAGTTGAACTCCTCATCGCTTTTGGATAAATCAGCTCTTAAAGATACCAAGAAGCCGCTGAATGCGCGTAGTGGATCACAGATCCTGAAGGGACCTTCGAATCCTTACTTTCCTTTGTTGAAGGAATATGGAGATGTTGTCTCCAGAGAACCTCCCGACGAGGTTACCTCCGGATAGAGGTGTACGTCATGAGATTGACTTGGTTCCAGGAACCAAATACTGTGTGACGCAACAGTGGCCGCTGCCACGAGAACAACGTGACGTCATTGACGAGTATTTTCGTGCGAAGCACGCGGCTGGCATGGTGCGTGAGCCCACGGTTTGTGTGAGAAAGCCTAATGGGAAGTGGCGAATAGTGCATGCTTACAATAAGCTGAATGCAGCCACTATACCGGCTTAAACACCGATTCTTCGCAAGGATGCTTTTCAGAACGATATGGTGGGATGTACAATGTACAGTGCCCTCGACTTAGTCGATGGATATTACCAACTGCTCATGCAAGCTAGTCATATCCCGCTGACAGCGGTCAGTACTCCGAGCGGTATGCTCTGGGAGTAATTAGTGATGCCCCAAGGGCTATCTAACGCACCTGCAACGTTTAATCGTCTAGTGACGCAGTTTCTTCGGCCCCACAGGGCGTATGCACAGACATACTTTGACAATATATTCGTTCATAGTTGAGCCGAAACATGGCAAGACTGATGTGGAGAATCACATCGAGCACCTGCGAGCTGTGCTCGGTTGCATGAGGATGCATAAGCTGTATGCCAATATTGATAAGTGCATCTTCGGTGTGGAAGAGATTCCCTTTTAGGGATGCTTCATTGGGAAGCGAGAAATCCGGGCAGACCTTGTTAAGGTCAAAGCCATAGTGGATTGGACGGTTCCGAGGAACCAAAAGGGCTTCCGCAAGTGGTTGGGTTTGGTGAATTACGTGCACAAGTATATCCACAATATGCGGAAGTGGCTAGGCCATTGTCTAATCTCCTTAAAAGGATGTGGAATGGTGTTGGAACACCGAGAACCACGAGGCTTTGAAGCCATAAAGGAGAGTCTCCTTCAGGCGACAATTCTGGCCCTGCCTGACCCTGATCGCCCGTTTAGTGTCGTATGTGACGCTTCGGACTTTTCCATTTGCACCATTTGCAGTGCACTTTTGCAAGTCGTCTCTGAGGTTCGAGAACGCGTCATCGCGTTTGAGACTCGACAGCTGAAGTTGCAGAGAAGAACTATCCAGTTCATGACAAGAATCTACTTGCGATGAAGTATTCCCTTGTTAAGTTCAGGGTAGACCTGTTGGGCTCAAAGCCGTTTGTGATCTATACAGATCATGCGTCATTACGCACAGCGACACAGTTGCCTCATCTCTCGCAGAGAACGGCTCGTTGGCTCTCCTTTTTCGCGGAGAATAACTTCGAAGTGAAGTATAATCCGGGAAAACAGAATGATTTGACTGACGCTTAAAGTGAAGCTGTCACCACGAAATTGAGCGCGATTACATCCTATTCACTGACCGATGGTCTGTTGTACTATAGTACAGGGTCGGACGACCAGCCACGTGTTGTGGTCCCTCATGATGAGGACCTCAAGTATCACATACTTTATGAGGCTCATGATACACCACTTGGTGGTTATTTAGGTCGTAAGAAGACCTACAGCTCGGTGAGAACCCGTTATTGGTGCCCAAGCTACATAAATGGGCTAGTATGTATGCACGCACGTGTATGACGTGCAGAAAGGTGATCTCCTTGCCTCGTATGGCTGCGCCTTTGGCTAGTTTGCCTGTACCCTCGGGTTATGGCAGTCCATTAGCATGGACTTTGTGTTTGGCCTGCCGCGCGATGAGGCACGCAACACACTGGATCAAGGTATTTGTTGGTCGACTGAGCAAGATGGCTCATTTACCAGCGGTGCTGGACTATGAGTCGTTCTACATCAGGGCTTTTGCGAGTGACGCGGATATGCTAGGTTTCATTGATTTGAGGCTGACAAAGTACCAAGTACCAAGGGTGCAGAGTTTTGTGTCGGTGGGGTCTCGAAGATATCTTGAGTGGTATAACCTGGATTCTCTCAGTACTCTTGCACGATACTGGCTGTTCATGCAATTGCAATTTACAGAGAAAACACACATCAATCTGCTGAACCTTTTAGACGGAGCCAGTGTTGCCTTAGAAACGACGATTCGTGCCACAAATAATCAAGCTTACCCAGAATATTTGGCTGGTATAGAAAACAGATCATCCGACGTGGCCGATCAATTAAAGCAGTACATGACCCCTTCATGTTACAGCGAAACGGCGTTGCAGGTCAAGAAAAACTACTTGCATCGCAACTTTCACGTCGAATGTGAAGATATGAAAATTGAAAAGACGCAACTTGCTTGCATCATGTACCACCGTTTGACAGAGAAAAAATACCAAGAGTGGATACATTTCACAAAGTTCTATACAGGAGCAAATTCTTCCAATGCTTTGATCGAGTATTTGCAACTCGGTGTGGACGTTGCAACTGTGGAAGACTTGACGGTTGTGCATTGTGCGGAAAGAACACGTCAAATACAGCACAAAAATGTATACCGAGTGGTACTTGAGTCGCGTGTTACGAACCTGGATGAAGTCGATTGGCGTATCGAGAGTACGTGTCTCATCGAACAAATAGAATTATCACGTCCTCAAGAAATATCGGAACGACAAGAAAGCTAAGTATTTAGCAATTTGTCATGCAAAATGATTAAAAGCTGATGGCGTGAAACAGTTTGGAAACAATACGAAGCGTTTTGTGGATAAGAAGAAATCAGGTAGAGCTGAGTTCATATAGCTTTTATACAGTTCAATTGAAGAGAGGCTGTAGAGGAGGATGTATATTTACATGAGTGAATTGCTTTGACGTCATGCAAATTTGAAGTATGGCCAGACCGCGTCATAAACAGCAGGATTATCGTGTTCATGTGGTAATCTTATGCAAGTACTTTACATACAGCTTTATTGGATTAATCTGAGTATGTCATTTTGTGCTTTCATGTAACCTTTGAAGAATCTGTAGTCGGGACATGTCAAGGTGACTTTTCCAGTAAGTTAATTGCATTCTCTTGGATACTCCTACAACTGTACAGTTGCCTTTTTTGCTAAGAGCAGTAGAGGCTGTGGTTACCTCAAACATGCACTTCTTCTTTATGCTGTATGCGCATTTTACTACTCAATCCGACATTCCTCATACGCATCATGCTAATCTTTTCAAAAGACAAAGCAGTTAAGTGCAAACAATACTCAAGAGCAAAAGTTTGTTTTGGATGAATGTCAGAAACACTTTTGAACAAGCGGCATCTCAATTATAGAAGCCCTTGTTATCATCAAAGTCATCTCAATTTTATAGAAGCCCTTGTTATCGTCAAAGTCATGCCTATTTGGCTTTAGTAACAGAGTTAATCCACGCTACCGCGGACGACACACGTGCGTAAATGGTGGGGAACCCCTTGGTGCCACAGCCATTGGTTCCACCGCCACTGATCAAACCAATTAGAACGTCATCGCTGTCTTTGACAGAATTCGTTCTGATCAATGGACCACCCGTGTCTCCCTGGCACGGAGACTTGCCTTCCACACCACCAGCGCATACGTGGGACGGTCCGATAGTGGAGCTCGTAAGCGCCGTACGACACGCCTCATTGGTAATCACCTGCTGACCCACTTGAAGGAGCTCAAGAGAGGCCATACCGTCAGCGGACGTGAGACCCCAGCCCATTGCCATTGCCCACGCACCACTTTGAATGCCCAAACTACCAGGTTTCGGAAGCCCTATTGGTGTGAACTTGCTACGTTTCGCTAGCGTTAACACGGCAAAGTCATTTGCAAGAGTCGCAGGATTATATCTCGGGTGGTTTGTGATATTTTTGACCTTTATCTCATCACCGTCGTTGTTACCGTTAATATAATGAGCACCAACCGATACATAATTCGCCTTAGCCACTGTAGTGCACGATGCCGTTGTTAAGACATGAGTGGGGGTGATAAGAACACCCCCACAAAAGCTGAAATTATCAGGACTGTTGGGATTGATCGTGGTACGAATGCCAGTCATGTAAGTTTTTGTTTGCGGCCAAACTATTTGGCCACCGAGTATACCTGCAGCCGGTCCAACCAGTAGCGAAGACGAGATCAAAGTGGAGATGACTTTCATTGGGAAGTAGCTTATATGGAGCGGCACGCAGATAAAAGAAGCGAGAGGAGTAGATGGCAAAAGTGGAAATGAGAAAAGCGACCAAAGACATGAATTTTTTTTTGTTGACGAATACGATGCAATGGGGAGAAATGCTGTTCCTCACTGTCACACAAAGGATACGAACACATCGCAAAACTCTCTGCACATGTGGGATTACAGAATGATGTGAACATAATGTCATTTGAGCACGACAAAACTCATGTTGGCACGATCGACCATTCGTGTTTTTGCAGATCACTTTGTAGAGCCAGGCGGTCTAACGTGTGTAGCAGATGGAATTGTCATGTATTCGAGTATAAGAAAGTGATAGATGCACTATAAGAAAAGAATAAGAAACGACGCGGAGGTATTCTGGAGAACGTTTTCCAAGCTTTGCGTAAAGAAGTAATCGCGACGAAGTCACCTCCTGATAGTTTAAAACAATTGACGGCCTCTAAGATGGGTATTTTTATCTGTTGTTTTTGCTGCTCTGAGTTGCGACTCAATATTCTCATCGGACATTACTATAACTTACGATAGTGAATAGGAAGTCGCTGACACGCAAGAACGCGCAAGGAAAAAAAGCCAGCGATGTAGGAGTAGTGCGTTTGAAATCTTGTTTGCATGGCCGCCTTCATCCGAATGGGCGCAGATCTGGCTTAAATTGATGCTGTCGAGCTTAAATTGTCTTGATGTGCGTACCTTCCGCGGTTTTGTGGCTCTCAATTCAGTGTTCCAGAGAATCGTGGTCCTTGTTGTGGTTCGATCTTCGTCTCCGTTGCATTACGTGCGATTATGTCTCGCATGTTGTAAAGAAAAATTGCATCGATTGCATAGCAATCGATATTTTAATCGTTGTAAACGAGTCCCCCCGACGAATGAGCCGAAGCAACGTCACGATTGTACGTCCATCATCGCCTGGGGCAAGTTGTGTAGCTATACGAACACCCATTGCACTGATCGATACATTCCACGTGTTCATCCTCGAACAGATCGCCCTACCCAATCGCACATCTGGTTCCACGATCTTAGCTGTTGTCGATGTAAGATCTGTAACTTTGCCTCAACGATTTGTCAGGATTTCTGCTCATCATTTCAAATAGGTACAGTACGCCCTAGATCGGAAGCTGGGCTTTGATCCATCCATCCAGCAGCCATCTGTAGATCTGAGGTACGATTCTTAACTGAACTGACGACAAGGGCTCTTTGCAACGTTTTACAAAAGCGCAGGGTCCGCCTATGACGTTTACAAAGAGTAGGGAAAAAGCAAAGCTCGAGCCTACGACTAATCGCATTGGTTCTAAGAAGCTGAAGGAAACTTACACAACATTCGGTTTTGTTTGAAAAGCTTGATAAATGGATGAGATCGAAAGACGTACAACCGCTAGTCATATTTAGCAAACCCTATTAAAATGTTATCTAGCTTCACCAGGAGTTTCGCATAATTGTCTCTAGTGGTAGCCACGTACCAGGGAATCGTAGTAGTTGCCCCATCCGGTACCTCAGCTACCAAGTGGGTACAGGAAGTATATGTGCAATCGGAACTGGGCTCTCTCCGCATCAGAAAAATTCAGCGACGCCTCCTAACAAGCAACGCGCCTGTCGAAGACCCTCGAGCACCGCGTCTGATTTTCAACGCGATTGTTATTCACGGCAAAGTTTTTCAAGCCCCCCCGTTTGGACGCTCCAGCAACTGGATCATCTACAGGCAGTTTCTTTTTGGAAGACATCCAACAAGATCGAACTTGGGAGACGCAAGTAGGTCCTGTCGATTGTACACGCTTAGAAAATTAGAGGCATTGGCCTCATTTCAGTTATCATTGCCATCAAAACACAGCGCATTAAACACACGCTTCTAACCCTGATCATTTGGGACGATACCTAGATGCAGACGTGACTGTCCCGGATTCCGATGAAGCCCGGAACACGTAAGTCTCACCCGACCGGGCGTGAAACACATCTTAGCGCCAATTGCCGAACATTTGCTGGGCCTGCCACATCGATGTGGAAGCACGCTGATGCCAGAAGCGCGCAAACGGAACAAATCCTTCTCCGGTCAACGTTCATGTACCGGCGTTATAATCATCAGCTATCAGTTTGTGGAAAAGGAACGACTTGGTAGTGTACCTCTCCGAACCCCTCCGCCGTTAGCCCTGAGGAAACCGGATTTTGGCCCCATAAGATAAAGTATTACTGGCAGACATTTAGAAGGAGTACAATCCCCTTGGATGTTTAATCCTCATGAGTCGGAGCTGTCCCGCTTCAGACATGACACAACTCACGATGTCTCCCTCGGACATCTCTATATCCAACGGGCAGGCCCCAGAATACGTCTTCGGTGGCATTCTCTCGCCCCCCCCACACCCCGTCATTTGCATTATAAACTTCGAGAATAGGCGATCAACGTCTTACTTGCATCGTCGTCACTCGAGGTGGGGATCCCGGTAAACTTTCTGACCGCACTGAGGCTTTGGCACGCCCCCCCCTCCTCTTTACTGAATCCATCGCATATGTACTGGTGGGACCGGGCAGAGTCCGGGGAACGCCCCTTGCTGCCGACCTCGGTCACCCTCAGTGCTGGGTTTTTACCTAATTTAGGACGGTATAACTTGGGTATTCGAGGGCTCCATTGCCGCCGGTCCGACGGGTCACGATAGAGCTCACCGAACTCGCAGAACACATCTTATTTGGAATGAAGTCGTCTTCTGTTCCATTCCCGACTCCCCGATATCCGTGGTCTGTTCCGCCTTCTTTCCCAATCATCGAGCCCTCCGGTTTTTCAAACAAGAAGCTTTCGCGTCCACCAATCGTCATCCCGCCGCACCGAAGCAGGCCATTGATCGACTCACCACCAAGAGCCGGCATACTTGGTGGAAACGCGAAGCTCGCGACGTCTAGGGGACACGACGTGTCATCTGGGGTCGGATTTTGGCTCAACTCCGGGCACTAATCTAATGGCTCCACTGCCAGGCTGAAACGGCCGTCCGCGGAGCCCAATCGTCTGCATGTAAGGACATCTTGTTAATGGAATCGAGGGGGCCATTTGGCTACAATAAATGGGCCGCCAGCTGTACGCAATTCCTGAACCCTCCAGCGTTGTTTATGTTGTTATTTGCCAACCAGAGATCTTGCACTAATCAGTTATAGAAAATCTGTTCTCTAGAAAACAGCAAGAAATGTGACTAATTGTTTATAGCTGCTTACTGAAAGTTCTGGCGACTGACCACAAAAACACTATTGCCAAGATTCCAGCAGACCAAATGGACTCCATCATAACTTCACCTACAAAGTTTAGAACGATTCAAGTATGAATGGAAAATTCTGAAAACAACATTATGGATGTAACTCTATCGATCAAATGTTATTTTGCATGAGTAGCAAAATACGCTTACGAAGCACTGCCGATTGAGTCGCTTCGCTCAGTGGAAACATACACCATTTATAACGGAGTTGATCCATGCACGAACACTTGATACACGCGAGTAAATGCTAGGGTAGTCAGGCTTGTCACAGTCATCACCCCAGGAGACCAAACCAATGACGACATCACGGCTCGAACGCTTGACAATAACTGGACCACCATAATCACCTGTGCATGATGTTTCATTCACATTTCCACGTGAACACAACATGGTTTCAGTAATATTCGCTTGTTTCATGCAATCCGGAGTTACTCATCAACTGAACGTCAGCACGCATCAATTCATTTGTCAAAGTGTTTGCGCCTCCAGTGTCGTCCCAGCCCATTTTAATAGCCCATTCGCCGTCCTTAACATCGGAATCATCCAAGTTAGCTAACGCTACTGGCTGAAACGTACTGGGTTTTTCGAGCACAAGAATAGTAAAGTCAAATGAAAAGTCCGCTCTTGAGCTTTTGGGTGGTTCAGAATTGCCACAACCTTGATCTGTTCACCATCTTGGGTTCCACTTACATAGTGTGAGCCAATTGAGGCCCAACGAACGTTGTCCAATGCACAATACGTTCCAGTAAGAATGTGAATTGGAGTAATGAGCGAAGCACTGCAAAAGTTCTGGCCATCAGCTGTAGAGCGAAGTCCCACAACGTATGTCTTCGTTCCGCTTGGAGCGACACTTGTTTTCTTGGAAGAGGTATGAATGGCGTCTCTTGACGCAGTTTCTGGTGGAACGTCATCAACTTGAACAATATAGCTCGATGCTTTGTTGCCAGTGTCTTGTTGAGAAGTTGATATGGTATTGCTCGATACATCGTTACCTGTGGCATCATGTTTAGCTGGAATCATGTAATAGTTTGAGACAGCTTGAATGGTAGAAGGAAAAACTAATACAAAACAATGAGGGTGAGTATACGCTTCATATTTATAGTCGAGTATGAGTTGATACCGAGAAAAACAGCAAAATGGCATTGCAAAAATGGGACGTCTCAACAAACGAGGGATGTATTGCATACTTCACATATCCTAATTCTATAGCCTACGGGACTGAATGCATTAAGACCAAATGATCTATGTTATCAGTTGTTCGATAGTCGATTGATCGATTTTAGTTCCGTAAACCGTCTTCGAAATTGCTCTTCATCTTCTGTTGAGTAAGACATAGTAATAAAACAATCACAAGGGAACTTCAAGTACACCCTTCATTGCACTGTAAGTAGATGATTACGCATTCCCAAATGCTTAAATAGATGACTACGCATTCCCAAATGCTTAAATAGATGACTACGCATTCCCAAATGTTTTAGATGACTACGCATTCCCAAATGCTTAAGTAGATGATTACGCATTCAACAATGCTGTAAAAAACGGTTACGTAGTTTTAGTGCAAAAATCATCAACTACAATGCAAAGAATGTATCAAGCTCAAGCCAATCTACGCCTCAGGCCAATCCACGCTCAGGCCAATCCACGCCTCAGGCCTCCTCCTATCGGACATTCCCTTCGGTGCGAGCTCTCCCTCGCGGGGACCGATATGTGTAAGGTAACGTTCGCCATGCCTCTGCCTCTGCCATCCGCTCGAGCGGTGGCAGGCCAGAGGAAGCTACTTGATTGGCGGCTTTCCGTGCTACGCGTCATCACTTTGGCAGTCGCTCACTTCAGGTCTCGGGAGCGGCTTTTACGTCATACCATGGGCTCCTATGATGAAGCAGCATAACGGACAAACCCAAGAGACGCTTACTATGGTGACCAAACTCTGGACCTACCTCAGCCCTGTCGTTGTACGCTGACGTAGGGCATTCAAGGTATCTTGTTAACCAACATGTGGAATAGACCGTCTGTACGTCTCTTTCTCTCTCGCTAGTAGATGATTACGTTACATCTTGCAACGTTCGAGTGAATGTTGTTTACTCGACTGAATAGAGATTCGAACAATGCACAAACATGACTGATGCGTGGCTAGCTCCGTTTTTTTGTACATCGTGCATATGGGTCATGTGATATAAAAGTTTATCTTCAGGGAAGTGCACACGTACGTGTAGGCCCATGGCGAGGTAGAGGGCTAGATAATCTTCGCAGATAATAGTTCCTAGATCAGATAGGCCAACTTTTCTTTGAACTGAGGGGCCACCTTCCGTACACGTTGTGCAATTGGCCTGGCATTACCCACATCAATGTCACAGATAGCATCTCGAGCGGCCAGCGGTAAGGCGTTGCCCTTTTCCATGAGTAGATGTCGTCTTCTCCATAAAATTTGTCTCAGTCGGTCCACCTCCTCTGGGTGTTTCCGTCAGAGTCAGGAATCTGTATATCTTCCAACTTGATACTCGTGGGTGAAAGGTCAATCTCCGGTATGATGGCCCATCCTTGGTTTACATCTTTGGCCCAGACTTCCCCACTTTCAAGTGCCACTTGGTCATCTGCTTGTGGCTACTTTATTAGCAATCCTTCACCTTCTTTCGTCTGGCCCACGTGGTCAACCTGAGGGTGGTCTGATTGTTATCTATATCTTTCTTTGTGGCGTAACAAATGTAATTTAGGAATCATTTTACCCACGCATTTGGCCCATCACCATATTAGAATCTCCACAAATAATAACACCTCTCCTAGCTTGATCATCCAGCAGATCGAAACACATCAGCAGACCTCAATATTCGGCCTCATCTATAGTGAGATCCGTCTCAATTGCAAATTAATCCGCTACGATATTTTGTTTTGGCAGTATCATATGATCGCCCCTTTTCGCACTCGCAGATCCAGCAAAACTAGTTTTTAGCAGACTTTTGCTTTCATTTACAGTCGGCAAAGGTAAACTGATCGTCTATGTCGGTTTCTTATGAGGGCAATCACGATCAACCCTTCGTTTTCTTTCTTACGAGATGTAGTCCCCGCGGCGAGAGCGTCATCCATTTCATCTTCGCCTTTCTCGCATTCCTTATCTTCAGCGTCCCGTTCGACGGCAGAGCAGCTCACCTTCCTTATCGTCATAGGCTGGGAGATTGTAATAAATGTGCTAGTGTTAAATATCGCGTAAACACTTTGATCTCTTACGATACTAGCATAGTACAATAGACACATTATACACGTAACAGTTCTAATACGTCTTTTTCAACGATCCCATAATCCATCTCATCTAATGTGCGACTGGTCAATGTGGCCAGCCAATATATACCATCATGTTTTGGAGTAAAGCTGCGAATAACGCCTACTTGCTTGCATAGACCTCAACCACTGGAGGTAGATCGGGATCAAACTACTCAAGGATATAGATATTTGCGATCTTGGATTTCAATAAGCAAATGCGACCGTCACTTCCACCTGCATTAGGATCGTCGTCTGGCTTGATGTTGGACGTCAACAAATCACTCGATCTACTCATCGCGAAAAATGATCTCCCCGTAGCTCGTATAGAAAAAACGCATATAACACAAAATCTGCGATGAATGTCGCATCTGAAAAATCTCGAATCACTAGTATATAATCTACTTCCGCGTATATTGCGATCGATTGTATAATCAGACTTCTTAAAAATGATTGCATCGATTGCCATGTAAGCGTGAAAAAATTCAATAGCGAGATCTTTCGGATGTGCCTTCAGTCCAGCAAGTGCAATCTGTTGGCCCAGTCAATTCAATTTTCGACATTCCCACAAACGTTTCGCCAACGTGATTGAGAGATTCCTTTTATCACACGACTCCATCAACTTTATCACTTTCTCATACAAAGCGACTGTTAAGATGTACATGTTCCAACATGTCGTTAATATATGATTCTACCAAGTACTAAGGGATTTGATCACTTTCTGGTTCCCCTTCCGTAAACATATTCTATGATTGAGCGATCCAGTGTAGGTGCTCTAAATAATTTCTCCTTGAGTTTCCACAGTATTTTCTCCTTGCGTCTAATAAAGGCAAAGCGTTCTACGCATTAACTTTAGCCTAAGAAGCAGTTTCGCTTTCTCAGTATGGATGAAGCGACGCATCTTGACCTCTATGTAAATTATGACCGTGAAATTTGAGACACCGAATCTACTTCGGGTCGTAATGCCCAACGCTCGCTAAGCGGCGAGCTGTAGGCTCTTCATGTGTCATGTCCCCAAAGAGAGCATTTATTCTGCGTCAAGCGCCACCATTCCCTCTCGTGAGGATAATGACGAAGAGGTAGGTATTCACACTCTTGACGTTCCCTAGAGTCTTCAAGTTGCTGATCAGATCAGATCGGCTGACATGACACGGCTAAAACACACGTTTTTACGTCTGACTATGGGTTTGTTACCCCTGACACTAATAAGGAAACTCGACGAGCTGCATCTCAGTCACCCAGCTCCTACTACAGTGGGCCCGAGGCACGTACAGCTTGAGAGATCTCAACTGCACTGCGCTTCGTAAGTAATTCCTTACTCCTCACTAGTTCACACTAAGGTCGTATTAGAAACTACTGTCGAAACAGTCACGTAGTGTGCCATTATCGCACCTAAATAACGTCCCTTATCGAATATATTTTTCCAAGATGATCACTGGTTTACCCATTGGTTTACAAGAGTTTGTAAGCTCAGTAGTCTCTACGACTTACGCTTAAGCTGAAGGGGTATGACGTTAGGATAAAACATCGCTTACGCTGTACTTTATCAGCTTACAATGCGAAGCGTCAACTATCATCTACTTCCAAGTCGAAGACTTGTGGAGCTCCTGCTTCTGAAGCAGTTGCCAGCACCTGTCACGCAATTGAGTTACCAGCAATTGCTTCCAAGAAAGATCAGCGGCAAAGCCCAACTACTTACCTTGCTTCCCCAGATCCTAATGCTAGGAGTCGTCAACGACATCAGGTCAATCTTGCTAGAAGTAACATGAACTTTCGCGATTCATACGATTTTGGGTATCCCCTCCACTTCACCATGCAAGACATCGAGGTCCACTTTCGAGAGCAATGGTTGACCGAGGACCCATGGTCTATGCGAGGTCTATCACAGACCACCTTGCCTCAGGGTCATCAGGTCCCTGCAAGGCAAACATCGCGAGGGTCGCCCGTCGCTAGTCACGTGGGACGAATGCCACTAGGACCGACCGCCATGTCGCTGCTGCAGGCCCGAGCGGAGAGCGCGAACGACGAGCAGCGAGCTTACGAAACGGTTCCGTGTGTACAACCAAGGAAAATTCGGGCTTCTGATAGGTCAAATTTTCAACCAATCAGAAATGAGCCAAGACCAGTACCGAATTACACCTCGTCACGTGACGAAGCTGCCCGGGGAGGAGTGCCTACCAACCCGGTATGTAAATTACAGGCATTCTTCGACGTGGCGATGGCAAGAACGCCAAGTACCACAAGCACACATCGATGGAAGTGCAGCCAGAGGACGACAGAGGGCGCAGAGGCCAACGGCCCAGCTGGATCCAAGTGCAGGTATGCAAGTTGCAAGAGACCAACGGATGACTGACGTGGAGATGGAATCGGTCGGTTTGTGTGAATACGACCCAGAGGACATGGACCTATGGCGAGAATGGCCAATGCCACCCTGGGACAGGTGCCCAACATGGTCCCTCGTATCAAGCTCTCAGCGACCTCGGATCTCAAGGAGTTTCACGGAAAAGACCACAATGAGGACCGAGCACGCAGCTGGGTGACCACTGTAAAGACCGCGTCCACGAGGGACCAAGCGCCAGATGGGGAAAAGTGTCTAGTTTTTTTTGGAGGACTTCTGACCGGACCTGCCCAGAACTGGTACCGCCAAATCTGCTCAAAGAAATCGGGAGCATTTATTACAAGAAAAACGGATGCAATTCTGCGGTTTGAGGGTCCCAGTGGCCCGACAATATTACTACGCGAAGAAAAGGTCGGACGAATCCCCGCTGGACTACCTATGTGTCTGATTGTATTGGCCTTCGAGCGAAGATCAAGATCAAGGATGGGCCGCCCAAGATTCAAAAGGAATATGTCGAACACTACATCGAGACCTTGGACAACCCCGACCTGGCGAACCAGTTGACCGTGTTACGTTTGGCTGATGTGATGTGGAAGAGCTGGAGGATGTGCTGAGGGCGCGTCAACGGACGAAGGCCCGACGAGGCAAGATGTTGTTCGGGTCGAGCAAGTATCGCCAGAAAACATCGATTCCCCCTGATCGGCCAAGAAAGTTGAATCGCCGCTCTGTCCATGCAGTTCAAGCGACCCAGGAGGGATTAAGCTCCGAAGACTCCAGTTTGGACAGTTCGGATAGTGACGGTGACCTACGGAAGGTCTACCTCATGGCGACGGAGGCGGAGAAGGGCTTAGGGTCAAGGACCCAGGGACTGACCCATCAAAGATGTCGACCAGCCTTGACCCTCGACCAAGGACCTTGGACCCCACACGACGTCGGCAATCCCAAATGCAAGATGTGCTCATTGTGGGTCCAGGAAGCATGGAGACTTGGGTCGTTGGAAGAGCTGACCTGTGACCGCTGTGGAAATAAGGGTCATCCATCAGACCGTTGCCTGCTTGTGTATCGAGGCTGTGGAGAAACCCACGAGGTTGGAAGTGTCCGACGGAAGAGTTTTATACTTGATTCGCCGATGGTGTAACCCGACTAAGCACGCTGGGATGTTGCCGGAAAAGGTCGAGCAAATGCTAAATTAGGACGCTCGCCAGGTTGGAATCTGGTACGAGCCAAGCGCTCTATTTGTTGTATCTTTGCATATGTGGAAAAGCAGCCCAAGGGAGAAAGAAGCACACAGGATAACTCGATGGGAAAAATTTGTTTGAATTTTGGAAGCTACCCTATGGTCCATGTTGCTCTTTCCGTGCATCTAATGATTTTGCTTAAGAAAGTGCAGTGATGGAGTTGGACCTACTGCCTGGCGAATCGAGGGGGTATTGAGAATACCATGCTCTTACGAAATGGTTCGGACAGGCCAAGGCTCTGGGAAAACCAACAACGATCGAGCTGACTTGTTGTTCGATACTGGCGCCGAGATATCGATATTGTATATCGCCTTTGCTCGTAAGGTAAGCTGCCAGATTAATGAAAGTGAGCGCCAAGAATGTGTTGGTATCGGGGAATCCGTGTATACCACGGAAGGATGCACCCGCATCAAGGTCTCTATGAACGGGAACTAGTCTCCATTCTAAGGTGTGGGTGGGCCCACTGGTGGGTCAAGATGTAGTTTTAGGCATGGACTTCATGGTCCCAGCCGGTATTCGACTAGATCTGGCGGATGGGACACTATGTCTTCCCGATGAGGTTCGAGTCCAGTTAGCAGGACAAAGGACCCTTTACGATGACCGGGTATCAGACGTGAAGTTGGATCGACACGTGCAGATACCGGCCGCAACGTACGAGAAAGTGCCTCTAAAAAGGTCGACCTTGCACCAATGGAAGCTGTGGGTCACAAGGGGAGAACGATGGATCACGACTGTGAGCCAAGGGGTAGGAAGTCGGAACTTCCTCAAGGTAACCAATGTCAGACCCAACCCCGGATATTACACGAGGACACCAAAAAGGCATGAGCCTGACGAAGAACTAAGTACCAAGGGCGCAAAGTTTTGTGTCGGTAGGGTCTTAAAGGTATGCCGAGTGGTTAAACCTGGAGTATGAATCTACCACCTACCAAGTCGACTATCATGAAGACCTGACGGAGAAGGATGAAGGACCATTGGTGGAGGTACCAGAATGAAGTCATCAATGGATGTTATCTTTGAGGATAACGAGATTCAAGCACCTAGTGACGAGGTAATGGCCCAAGAGGGTCGGGTGAAGTCAAAAATGACGGTTGTCTTTGAGGACAACAAGGTACAACACCTCATGACGAGGCATTGACCCAAGAGGGTGGGGTGCAGTCAGTAAACGAAGTGGTCTTTGACCTTGAGGTGTGTACACCTGTGGAAGCTGATGCGTCGGATGCTGAGAGCATCATGAGTAGCGATGATGATATCGTGAGTGACGGTGATAGCGAACAGCTATATACACTCGTCAATGGTCTGACTGGGGATGCTGAAGAGCCGGTGGCTCTTTCAGCTATACTCGTAGTAAGTGCTCTGTTAGAGCTGGAAGAGTTGTCCTTTGCCGAGTTTGGTATTGCCTTACAGGCAGGCGACATCGCCGAAGTGGTCGTTATACGACCTGAGGAGGAGTTGAACTCCTCATCGCTTTTGGATAAATCAGCTCTTAAAGATACCAAGAAGCCGCTGAATGCGCGTAGTGGATCACAGATCCTGAAGGACCTTCGAATCCTTACTTTCCTTTGTTGAAGGAATATGGAGATGTTGTCTCCAGAGAACCTCCCGACGAGGTTACCTCCGGATAGAGGTGTACGTCATGAGATTGACTTGGTTCCAGGAACCAAATACTGTGTGACGCAACAGTGGCCGCTGCCACGAGAACAACGTGACGTCATTGACGAGTTCTTCGTGCGAAGCACGCGGCTGGCATGGTGCGTGAGCCCACGGTTTGTGTGAGAAAGCCTAATGGGAAGTGGCGAATAGTGCATGCTTACAATAAGCTGAATGCAGCCACTATACCGGCTTAAACACCGATTCTTCGCAAGGATGTTTTTCAGAACGATATGGTGGGATGTACAATGTACAGTGTCCTCGACTTAGTCGATGGATATTACCAACTGCTCATGCAAGCTAGTCATATCCCGCTGACAGCAGTCAGTACTCCGAGCGGTATACTCTGGGAGTAATTAGTGATGCCCCAAGGGCTATCTAACGCACCTGCAACGTTTAATCGTCTAGTGACGCAGTTTCTTCGGCCCCACAGGGCGTATGCACAGACCTACTTTGACAATATATTCGTTCATAGTCGAGCCGAAACATGGCAAGACTGATGTGGAGAATCACATCGAGCACCTGCGAGCTGTGCTCGGTTGCATGAGGATGCATAAGCTGTATGCCAATATTGATAAGTGCATCTTCGGTGTGGAAGAGATTCCCTTTTAGGGATGCTTCATTGGGAAGCGAGAAATCCGGGCAGACCTTGTTAAGGTCAAAGCCATAATGAATTGGACGGTTCCGAGGAACCAAAAGGGCTTCCGCAAGTGGTTGGGTTTGGCGAATTACGTGCACAAGTATATCCACAACTATGCGGAAGTGGCTAGGCCATTGTCTAATCTCCTTAAAAGGATGTGGAATGGTGTTGGAACACCGAGAACCACGAGGCTTTGAAGCCATAAAGGAGAGTCTCCTTCAGGCGACAATTCTGGCCCTGCCTGATCCTGATCGCCCGTTTAGCGTCGTATGTGACGCTTCGGACTTTTCCATTTGCACCATTTGCAGTGCACTTTTTGCAAGTCGTCTCTGAGGTTCGAGAACGCGTCATCGCGTTTGAGACTCGACAGCTGAAGTTGCAGAGAAGAACTATCCAGTTCATGACAAGAATCTACTTGCGATGAAGTATTCCCTTGTTAAGTTAAGGGTAGACCTGTTGGGCTCAAAGCCGTTTGTGATCTATACCGCTCATGCGTCATTACGCACAGCGACACAGTCGCCTCATCTCTCGCAGAGAATGGCTCGTTGGCTCTCCTTTTTCGCGGAGAATAACTTCGAAGTGAAGTATAATCCGGGGAAACAGAATGATTTGACTGACGCTTAAAGTGAAGCTGTCACCACGAAATTGAGCGCGATTACATCCTATTCACTGACCGATGGTCTGTTGTACTATAGTACAGGGTCGGACGACCAGCCACGTGTTGTGGTCCCTCATGATGAGGACCTCAAGTATCACATACTTTATGAGGCTCTTGATACACCACTTGGTGGTCTTAGGTAGTGAGAAGACCTACAGCTTGGTGAGCACACATTATAGGTGGCCCAAGTTGTACAAATGGGTTGGTACCTACGTACGCACGTGTGAAACGTCTCAAAGGGTAAAACCCTCGCCTAATATGGCTGCGCCTTTGGCGAGTTTGCCTGTACCCTCGGGGTTGTGGCAGACCATTAGTATGGACTTTGTGTTTGGCGTGATGCGGCAGGAAACACTGGGATTGTGGTCTTTGTAGACCGATTGAGCAAGATGGCTCATCTAGCGGCAGTGACGGACTCCATAGATGGAGAAGGAACAGCTAAGCTGTTTATGGATCGTGTGTTTCGAGCGGATTGCCTGTGACAATCTTCTCGGATAGAGACCCCCGTTTACGGGTAAGTTTTGGACGTCCGTCCTTAAAGTGCTCGGCACTCGACTGGACATGTCCACGGCGGATCATCCGCAGACCGATGGCAGACTGAACGCGTCAACCGCGTTATTGGCGATATGCTTCGCAGTGTTTGTGCTGAAACACCCAAGCAATGGAGCACGATGCTCCCTCTCATAGAGTTTGCGTTGAACAACGCGGTGCATGCCTCGACAGGCTTCACCCTATTCTATATGAATGACTTGGTCAACCGTTGAGTTCCTTTAACACTACCCCCTACCACATCAGGGCTTAGTAAGGGAGAGATAGCCGAAGGCTTGGCTGATATCAGCCCTGTTGCTATGCGCAAGAAGGTGGAAACGTTTCTGCCAAACCGTTCTGACGTATTACGTCGCGTCAAAGACGCTATAGCTGAAAGCCAGGATGTTGAAAAGGAACAAGCAGATACCAAAGGCAGGAAAAACGATCATGGGCTCAAAGTGTGAGATTGGTTCTATTAAACGCTAGGAATTTAATGACACGTGCAGTGTCTGCGGTATATAAAACCAAACTGCGTCCACGCTTTATTGGTCCTTTCAAGGTCATAAGCAAGAAAGGTTTAGCCTATACGCTGAAACTTCCAAAGAAGATGCGAACGCTCCCTGTGTTCTACGTGGGCTTACTAAAGCCATATCTCAACCCAGCCTCGGTGGACTTTGAGGTGCTGTGCCCATAGCCCCGGCCGAAAGAGGCGGGAAGTACTGCACCGGAGGTGCATATGGAAGCTGAAGACGCACCAAAAGATCATTGATCGATGGGTCACCGATCCACGCCAACGATGACTGATGAGCTGGGTCATCAACAGCTTCGCGTCGAGCCTCTTTTGACGCGATGTCTTTATCAGGGCCACGCCCAGTATCTGGCAAAGTGGAGGGGGTTCCCTCAGTCGTACGACTCATGGGAGTACGAGGTACCCCTACGGCAAGCTGCCCGGACGTCGTTGAAGCTTTTGATTGGGAAGATCAAAAGCGGCGACAGCAGTATCCGGATTCTTTCTAGCACTAAGTGCTGCGGAAGCAAGGTCAGTAGTTAGGCTTCACCTTTGACCTTCTTGGGAAGAAGTTGCTGGTACCTCACTCGCGTGAAAGGTACTATTATCTTCTTTAGAAGCAAGTTTACGACACTTTGGGGCTTTATATAAGCAAGGGTTAAACAATGTTGTGCTTTATAAGCAAAGTAACACTGTGGGGCTGTATATAAGCGAGTGTGAACCACTATGAAGCTTTATCAGAAGTGTACAACACTTTGAGATTATATAAGCACGTGTTTTAAGCACTTAAAGGCTTTCCAAAAGCAAGTGTTCAACACTAAGGTGCGTTACAAGCACGTGTTACACACTTAGATGCTTTATAGCGAGTGCTGAACACGAAGGTGCTTTACAAGCAAGTGTTTAGCAAAAATGTGCTTTATAAGCAAGTTTTGTACACTTAGGTGCTTAATAAGCTAGTGTTATACACTATGGTGCTTTATAAGCTAGTGTTATATACTATATGGCTTTATAAGCTAGTTATACACTATGGTGCATCATACGCTTAAGTGAAGCGAAAATATTCTTTTTAAGCAAGTGTTGAACACTTGAGTGCTTTATAAGCGATTTATAAGTGTTAGACACTAAGATGCATTGTAGCTAGTGTTCGACACTAATGTGCATTATGAGCTAGTGTTAACGTTACGGTGCTTTGTGAGCGAGCGTTACACACTTATACGCTCAATCGCTTATAAGCAAGTGTTTAAAACACTGAAATGCTTCAAAGCAAGTGCTTGGCATATAATGCTGTACAAGCAAGTGTTCGTGAACCCACAAAGGGTATTAATAATACCAAGTGCTAGGCATTTAACGCTTATAAGCAAGTGTCGTCACACTTAATGCTTAGCTTGAGTGCGATGCACTATATGCTCAAGGAGCAAGTGTCGTAACACAAGGATGCTTATTAAGCGTGTGTGCAAATCACAAATGCTCAAGGAACAAGTGTTAAAAACACAGAAGCTTTGGCGCAAGTGCAAGCGCTTATTGCGAGGCAAGAAAAATGAGGAGAAAAAAATCGATTCTTCCAATTAAGTGCGAAAATTCGTGGGTACATTGGGTCCCACGGATTGGTGGGGGAGGATGTAACGGAGTTACACGAAGGTGTGTATTTTACATACACACCTGCCACACCAATGTGGCGTGGCTGTACTTTGTGTACAAAAGTAGGTGATGTGACCGTACCTGAAGTACGAAGGGTCACATCGTGGCAGAGAGCCACGTGGTCACTATACTTATTTAAGTATAGTGACTATGCATGTTTGCATAATAATTAAAGGCTATAGAGCCAGTAATAGTGACTAGCACTAAATATAGAGTAGGTGCTTTTTTATTTAGTGTTAGAAGATAAACATAAATAGAAGTCAGTTTCAAACCTGCTCTGTAAGCTTTACAGCTTGAGCGTTCTATTACTCCTAAGGAATCAGTATCTTTGATACTTTTCTCTCTGAGACTCGGTTGTTAATACCGATAGGCACAAGCTTACGAGATAGCCTAGGAGGATTAAACACCCTAAGACGTAGAAGCTCTCTGAGCTTGTCTTCCTCTGCACATAGTGCATACGTAGCTTTTCTACAGTAGTTTGACTACTTCTTCTGCACATAGTGCATCGCCACATAGTGCATAAGCAGCATAGCTACAGTAGCTCGGCTACATCTGGTAGCACCTGTTATTTGCACACACGCTTTATAAGCATCCTTGTGTTACGACACTTGCTCCTTGAGCATATAGTGCATCGCACTCACGCTAAAGCATTGAGTGTTACGACACTTGCTTATAAGCGTTAAATGCCTAGCACTTGGTATTATTAATACCCTTTGTGTGTTCATGAACACTTGCTTACTTAGCACAAGGTGCCTAGCACTTGCTTTTAAGCAATACAGTGTTCGCCCAACACTTGCTTTTAAGCATCACAGTGTTCACGAACACTTGATTATAAAGCACTTGTCTTAATAGCGCTAGCTCCATCATGGATGAAGCAATGCTTCACGACATTTTTGGGGACGATGACAGTGACGTTGCCTCTACGGGCGGAGGAGCCGAGTCGCCTTCGGGTCAAAGTTCCCCAAGATCATCACGCTCACCGAGAGAGGGACGTCGATCCCATTCTGTGTCTTCTACTCCAAAGCAGACGACCCCTTTGCGCCAAGCGCCTCCTCTTCCCTCGCAAGAGGGTACAGACGAAGAGGTAGCCAACCCTCTTGACGCTGCACAGCGTCGTCAACTAAATGACGAGGCCCGAGCGGCTGCTTTGGCACGACGCAAACAAACATTTTCACGACGTGATTATGGGTTCGTGCCCCGGGACCCCAATGAGGAAGCTCGATGAGCTGCATCGCAATCCTTGCAAACCTATATCATTGGATCCCATGCCCGTACGGCCTGCGAGAATGCCGATGGTGTTGCTCTTCGTGAGCGGCTTCTTACTTTCCAGGAGTTTACGATGAAATTGTATCAGGAGCGACTGTCACGACAGTCATGTGGGGTTTCCGTGCACCCACTAAACGGCATACTAGTGGTGCTTGCACCAGGTGAAACATCTGCACAAGATGATCACCAGTTCACCCGTCGGGTAGAACGAGCATGTAAGCTCTCAATTTTGTCAAACTTGCGTTTAAGCGCTAAAGCGCAAGACATTTGGTTGGAACGTCGTCTACGTTTTAACTTCGCTAAGCTTAAAGCTAAACGTCAATTACCTTCCACATACAGGTCAATGACTTGTGGGGGACAAGCTTCTAAAGCGGTTGCCCGTACCTCTCACTCGAGTGATGTACCGACATTGGCTTCTTCTGAAGGTCAGAGACGAAACCAGGCCTTCTGACCCTACTTCCACAGCACCTAGTGCTAGAAAGCGTCCAATGACAGCTGTCTTCGCTTCTGACATCCTGGTCAAAAGCGTCAACGGCGTCAGGGCAATCCTGCCGGAGGGGTACCTCATACTCATGAGTCATACGACTGGGAGTAACCTCTTCACTTCATCAAGTATTAAGTATGACCCATGTGACGACGCCGAGCCAAGAGACGTTACACGTGGAACTGTTGATGACCATGGTCATCAATCAAAGTCGGAGGAGGTCGATGACCCATTGACCTCTCATCTCTCTAAGATAGAGCGTCGCCTGACGCTCCTGGAGCGTGATACCCTTGCATCGGTGAGGTCTCACCCGTCATCGCTCGAAGACCGTGTCGATCGACACCGTCGGTCTTTCAAGCCTTATTGATCTGAGGTCTTGGATCGCTTAACGGCGATTGAGCGCTCTCAAGCCGAATTGCGACGTCAGGTCGACCTCCTGGTACGCCTCCAGCGTCCATATGCACCTCCGGTGCAGTACTTCCCGCCTCTTTCGGCCGGGGCTATGGGCACAGCACCTCAAAGTCCACCGAGGCTGGGTTGAGATATGGCTTTAGTAAGCCCACGTAGAACACAGGGAGCGTTCGCATCTTCTTTGGAAGTTTCAGCGTATAGGCTAAACCTTTCTTGCTTATGACCTTGAAAGGACCAATAAAGCGTGGACGCAGTTTGGTTTTATATACCGCAGACACTGCACGTGTCATTAAATTCCTAGCGTTTAATAGAACCAATCTCACACTTTGAGCCCATGATCGTTTTTCCTGCCTTTGGTATCTGCTTGTTCCTTTTCAACATCCTGGCTTTCAGCTATAGCGTCTTTGACGCGACGTAATACGTCAGAACGGTTTGGCAGAAACGTTTCCACCTTCTTGCGCATAGCAACAGGGCTGATATCAGCCAAGCCTTCGGCTATCTCTCCCTTACTAAGCCCTGATGTGGTAGGGGGTAGTGTTAAAGGAACTCAACGGTTGACCAAGTCATTCATATAGAATAGGGTGAAGCCTGTCGAGGCATGCACCGCGTTGTTCAACGCAAACTCTATGAGAGGGAGCATCGTGCTCCATTGCTTGGGTGTTTCAGCACAAACACTGCGAAGCATATCGCCAATAACGCGGTTGACGCGTTCAGTCTGCCATCGGTCTGCGGATGATCCGCCGTGGACATGTCCAGTCGAGTGCCGAGCACTTTAAGGACGGACGTCCAAAACTTACCCGTAAACGGGGGTCTCTATCCGAGAAGATTGTCACAGGCAATCCGCTCGAAACACACGATCCATAAACAGCTTAGCTGTTCCTTCTCCATCTATGGAGTCCGTCACTGCCGCTAGATGAGCCATCTTGCTCAATCGGTCTACAAAGACCACAATCCCAGTGTTTCCTGCCGCATCACGCCAAACACAAAGTCCATACTAATGGTCTGCCACAACCCCGAGGGTACAGGCAAACTCGCCAAAGGCGCAGCCATATTAGGCGAGGGTTTTACCCTTTGAGACGTTTCACACGTGCGTACGTAGGTACCAACCCATTTGTACAACTTGGGCCACCTATAATGTGTGCTCACCAAGCTGTAGGTCTTCTCACTACCTAAGACCACCAAGTGGTGTATCAAGAGCCTCATAAAGTATGTGATACTTGAGGTCCTCATCATGAGGGACCACAACACGTGGCTGGTCGTCCGACCCTGTACTATAGTACAACAGACCATCGGTCAGTGAATAGGATGTAATCGCGCTCAATTTCGTGGTGACAGCTTCACTTTAAGCGTCAGTCAAATCATTCTGTTTCCCCGGATTATACTTCACTTCGAAGTTATTCTCCGCGAAAAAGGAGAGCCAACGAGCCATTCTCTGCGAGAGATGAGGCGACTGTGTCGCTGTGCGTAATGACGCATGAGCGGTATAGATCACAAACGGCTTTGAGCCCAACAGGTCTACCCTTAACTTAACAAGGGAATACTTCATCGCAAGTAGATTCTTGTCATGAACTGGATAGTTCTTCTCTGCAACTTCAGCTGTCGAGTCTCAAACGCGATGACGCGTTCTCGAACCTCAGAGACGACTTGCAAAAAGTGCACTGCAAATGGTGCAAATGGAAAAGTCCGAAGCGTCACATACGACGCTAAACGGGCGATCAGGATCAGGCAGGGCCAGAATTGTCGCCTGAAGGAGACTCTCCTTTATGGCTTCAAAGCCTCGTTGTTCTCGGTGTTCCAACACCATTCCACATCCTTTTAAGGAGATTAGACAATGGCCTAGCCACTTCCGCATAGTTGTGGATATACTTGTGCACGTAATTCGCCAAACCCAACCACTTGCGGAAGCCCTTTTGGTTCCTCGGAACCGTCCAATTCATTATGGCTTTGACCTTAACAAGGTCTGCCCGGATTTCTCGCTTCCCAATGAAGCATCCCTAAAAGGGAATCTCTTCCACACCGAAGATGCACTTATCAATATTGGCATACAGCTTATGCATCCTCATGCAACCGAGCACAGCTCGCAGGTGCTCGATGTGATTCTCCACATCAGTCTTGCCATGTTTCGGCTCGACTATGAACGAATATATTGTCAAAGTAGGTCTGTGCATACGCCCTGTGGGGCCGAAGAAACTGCGTCACTAGACGATTAAACGTTGCAGGTGCGTTAGATAGCCCTTTGGGGCATCACTAATTACTCCCAGAGTATACCGCTCGGAGTACTGACTGCTGTCAGCGGGATATGACTAGCTTGCATGAGCAGTTGGTAATATCCATCGACTAAGTCGAGGACACTGTACATTGTACATCCCACCATATCGTTCTGAAAAACATCCTTGCGAAGAATCGGTGTTTAAGCCGGTATAGTGGCTGCATTCAGCTTATTGTAAGCATGCACTATTCGCCACTTCCCATTAGGCTTTCTCACACAAACCGTGGGCTCACGCACCATGCCAGCCGCGTGCTTCGCACGAAGAACTCGTCAATGACGTCACGTTGTTCTCGTGGCAGCGGCCACTGTTGCGTCACACAGTATTTGGTTCCTGGAACCAAGTCAATCTCATGACGTACACCTCTATCCGGAGGTAACCTCGTCGGGAGGTTCTCTGGAGACAACATCTCCATATTCCTTCAACAAAGGAAAGTAAGGATTCGAAGGTCCTTCAGGATCTGTGATCCACTACGCGCATTCAGCGGCTTCTTGGTATCTTTAAGAGCTGATTTATCCAAAAGCGATGAGGAGTTCAACTCCTCCTCAGGTCGTATAACGACCACTTCGGCGATGTCGCCTGCCTGTAAGGCAATACCAAACTCGGCAAAGGACAACTCTTCCAGCTCTAACAGAGCACTTACTACGAGTATAGCTGAAAGAGCCACCGGCTCTTCAGCATCCCCAGTCAGACCATTGACGAGTGTATATAGCTGTTCGCTATCACCGTCACTCACGATATCATCATCGCTACTCATGATGCTCTCAGCATCCGACGCATCAGCTTCCACAGGTGTACACACCTCAAGGTCAAAGACCACTTCGTTTACTGACTGCACCCCACCCTCTTGGGTCAATGCCTCGTCATGAGGTGTTGTACCTTGTTGTCCTCAAAGACAACCGTCATTTTTGACTTCACCCGACCCTCTTGGGCCAGTACCTCGTCACTAGGTGCTTGCATCTCGTTATCCTCAAAGATAACATCCATTGATGACTTCACCCGACCCTCTTGGGCCAGTAACTCGTTGTTATGCGCATGCACCTCGTTATCCTCAAAGATAGCATCAATTTGTGACTTCCCCGGCCCTCCAGGGTCAGTTCCTCGTCACCCATATCACTTGGACTCATGTACTGACATCCTGGCTTGCAGCCACCAACACCACTCACGGTGTTTAATGATGTAAAATCATTCTCATGGCACATGTCATATGTGCCATCTAGTGGGTTCTCAACAACAACTATCGACAGTCATTGGGCCTCGCCAGGCCTATTGTCCTCGACATTTTACAGTGTCTACACAGTCGGATATTCCGACATCCAACATATTGACCGACTCGGTCCCATATCCGCGCCAAAAGCGCTTTTGCTTCCTAGCAAAGGTGAGTTTATGACTCTCCAGAGCCCCACCAAAGGCATTGCGCGTTGCGCCTAAGGTCTTCAAACTCCAATCAATCCATGGCTTATGACGTTCTAGCCATGCCATGCCTAGGATGAGGTCATACCTCGCATCCTGGTCTAAGACCAAACAGCGTTACATGCTGTTAAAGTCTAAGAACTTTACATCTAAGTCCATCGGGACTTTGGGTGCCGTAACACGCGTACCCGTCGCTAAGTGAACTGTGACTGTGTCACTTTCACGCGCTACAAGCGCTTCAGCATACTGCTGACTACCTTCCACGGTGGCACGGCGCACATAATTACCCGATGCCCCCGAATCGATCAAAATGATCCATGGCTTATCATAGCCCTTAACCGTCCCTTCGACGACTAGCAAGCCTGGCTTGCATTCTTGTTCCGT